TTGTATTTGTGCACTGCAAACATGGCGTGTTTTATTAACACGGCGGAGAGAAGCGGAGAGCGAGAGTGGAATGTGTTTGCTCATATGTCCTGTCAAAGACAAGTTAATTATTTTAACATGTGTGCGTATGCGACTCTCGGCTCATATTGTTGTGTTTATTTTTGGCCATCGATTTTCACACGGTTTTACAGCCGACACACACACATACACCCACGAATTAACAAAGGAAAATTTGAATACATAAGATCCTGGCTCAATGGCTTGGCATATTCCACGCCTTATTATAAGCTCTCCACTCTGTGTCCTTCCCGCTTAAAACAATGCTCGTCTGCAGGGTGCCGAGTGCTGAGTTTTTCCAAATATTTGCACAATATTTGTCAGAATTAATTAACAATATGAGTGAAGGCATCAGTAGCAGGAGGCAGCACCCAGGACGAAGGAGGCAGGAGTCGGAGAATGTTGTCTCAGCATATTTCAACTTGTTTACTTGAAAGCGCTTTGCATAATTTTTCAGACTAACAGACCGAAAAAAAATGTGCAAAATTTAATTAAATTTATGCAAGCATATTTCTGTGGATTTTCAGCAAAACAAATAAACTATGCTATTAGAATATTACAGTAACCTATTTCGTGATTAAATACCTAGAATTTTAATTGAGAAAAGTTCTCAGAGGAAAGCCCTTTCGATTTTAGTTATGTAATTTACACTGCGATCCATCACTCGCTCACCATTTCGTCATTTATCTTCCCAAAGTTTGAGGCTCTTTGGCTCATCATCTAGGGCTAACAAGGCAGCCGAAAACCTGGTCATAATTACCCCACCAGATTACACATTGCCTAACAAGGCCCATTCATTAATGTCATCAAATTCTTGAAGGACAGGCAACAACGTCCTCCCATTCGACTCCACAAATCTGCAACATTATGTCAACACACACAAACACAAACAGAGTTAGCAAATGGCTCACGTTAATGGGAAAATCCCAGGACTCTGCCAGGACATACCCCCTGGATTTACCAACAAAGTTGCAGTTGCTGCAAAGGCTATAAAAAGCAGCAGTAGCAGCAACACCAACAGCAACAATAAAGCTGAAACATCTAGGCTGAAGCTGGAATCCGAGATGGTTTTGGGTTGGGTTCTCCTGGTGGTCCTCCAGGTGGATGCGAAATTTTCCGGAATAAAAACCGGTTCCGGTTTTTACGGCACTGCTTGCGTTAGTTAACATTTTGGCAGCAAATTATGGTGCCAAGTGCTGCAGGTGCCAGGTATTTGATGGCATTTTCCATTTAACAACATTTAATAGAGGCAGAACTCAGCTGGACTTTTAATAAAATCTTTAAAATAAATGCCAATAAAATCTAAATTACAACTCTGATTTCCTGGCCAATTATCACGGCTTGTTGCACTTTATAATTTTCATCTGGTTGTTGAGCAGAAAGTGTGTACATTATTATGTTCGGCATGGAATGAATGGCTTATCCTTGATGTTGAAAAAGTCACCACTCTGAAAACTGTCTCCCTGACTCTCTAGGAAACTTGAACAACTTCAGGCTTCTTCTCGGGCAATTCGAGATTGCCTCCACTCCGGGCCGCATCGTTCCTGGCCTTGCCATTCCGCCCACTTGGCTCTCGGCCAGTTTTGAGCCGTTCGCGCGCATTTCATGCTGCCTGTGTTTACAAGCTAAATTCATTTGCCGCCCCTCGTCAGCAATGTGATGATATCCATGTACCATCTTCCATCTCCCAGCCAATAGTCTCACTATTCACAGCCCACCTTCTGGTGTCCTTCCATTTCCAGAGCAGGTATTGCAGCTTTTTTTTTTGTTGTCCTCCCTCTGTTTCAACCACCTAGCCATTATTGCTGTTGTTGGCCTGGCCTCTTGACAATGCAGCCGGTGATGGGAAAATGGCAACAACGTGGGCAACAGGAGCCTCATCAACATCATCAGAATCTATTGCCTAACGTTGACTTGACAACGAGGAGGGCACTTGAAAAAATATCTCTACTCTGAAGCACTTCAACAACACAAGTATATGCAAATTGTGAGAGTAATTCAAGGACTAATAAGCATATTTTTTGCGAGTGCATTTTTATACCCTTGCAGAGGGTATTATAATTTTGGTCAAAAGTGTGCAACGCAGTGAAGGAGACATCTCCGACCCTATAAAGTATATATATTCTTGATTAGGATCACCTCCTGAGTTGATATGAGCATGTCCGTCTGTCCGTCTGTCCGTCTGTCCGTCTGTCTGTCTGTTTCTACGCGAACTAGTCTCTCAGTTTTAAAGCTATCGTCTTGAAACTTTGCACACACCCTTCTTTCCTTTGCACGCAGTATATAAGTCGGAACGGCCCGGATCGGCCGACTATATCCTATAGCTGCCATATAACTGATTGATCGGAAATGGTATAACTTTGGTGTTTTTAGAGTTAGAGAGTTCAAATTTGACATGTGAGCTATTTTTGGCAAAACATTACGTCATGCCAAATTTCATAAGGATCGGCCGACTATATCTTATAGCTGCCATATAACTGAACGATCGGAAATGACCCAACTTTCGTGTTTTTGAAGATAGAAAGCTGGAACTTAGTACAGATTTAATTCTTGGTCAGTTGATCCAACCTACCAAATTTCATTAGGATCGGCCGACTATATCCCATAGCTGCCATATAACTGAACGATCGGAAATGGTATTTGGTAGAAATATCAACATTCGTATTTTTGAAGATAGAAGTTTGGGACTTTTTTTTAGATTTTGTATTGTAATAAATTGGATTATATATTCCTATTCCCATAAGGATCGGCCAACTATATCCGATGTTTGCGATATATATCCGGTTTTAACTGCAAGGGTATATAAACTTCGGCTCCGCCCGAAGTTAGCTTTCCTTTCTTGTTGCTATTGTTCCAGTTGCCATAACGATATGTGATAGATAAGCTTATGCGAACCACTCAACGTTAATGCTGCCATCTTTCAATTTGTGCAAGGACTCTAATTTCCAGCCAAAGGGGAGCAATGGGTGGGGGACTTTATTGCATTGCCCCTCCATATACCGCAACCCCCCGCTCTCCACACGCTCTCCAAATCCCAACATTATGACTGACTGACTGACGTTGGCCATATCGTTGACTGCCATTGTTAAGGCTCAAACAATATGGCCACAAAACTCTGCTTCTGGGGCGATGATGGAGGACAGTTTCAGTTGCAGTTGCTCGGCCACTGACCATTTTCCAAGTTAAGTCGGATTTATGTTGATGATGTCGAGTCGAGTTATGAAAGTCGAAACGCCAAGTTTTAGTCTCAATTCCAATCCCAGCTCCTTCACCATTTTCTCTTGGCCTGGCCAACGTTTTTTCTCTCCCGTTGCCATGACACGAGCTATAATTGACGTGTCCAGCGTGTTCCTGGTTTCAATTTTGAACTTGTCACTGGTTTTCGCCACTTTTCTAGTCCCATCCTAGTCTGTGGTGGTCTTGAAATATATTTATTTTTAGAGAGAAAAAATATACAAATTATTTTAATGCACACATGAGTGTACATTTTTAACGAACTTTTATTTAAGAAGTTAAAACTAAAGACTGAAAAACTAAATAAGAAATATTATGGAGAGTACTCTGTAGGGTTGTTGGTTTTTGAAAAAATATCGTATTGATGATATTTGCTGTGAAAAAAATATCAATCGATAATATTCAGAAACATCACCAAAAAAAATCGATATATCGAGTATTTTCGATATTTTTAATAGTCAGCTAAAACTGAAAAAAGGTTATTTTTAAATTTAAAAAAAGGTTTTAATATGTGTTGTCATCCGCCATGAACTGCAAACAAGACATATTTTTTATTTAAAAAGTGAATTGAAAAAACAACAAATATTTATACCCACTCTCAAGCAACTTTTATTTAAGTTCTTTGAAATAAAAAATAACAAAATTATTAAGGACATTGTATTCAAATTTATTTATAAAAAAAACTTAATACAAAAAAAAAAGTTTCATGGAATTCATGGAATATGTACTTAATAATGCTAATTACTTAATTCTCTTATTTAATGCTCTTAATTACAAAATAAATCTTTCTTCAATGATTTAAAAAAAACTCTTTCGGTTATATGCTGGTATGTCATTCGACTACGGGAGTCACAGACAACACATTTAATGGCAGAAGCCAACCGTTCAGATGGAACCGAACTTCCAGGCGTGATAAGAAAACTTAAAGCAACCTTCGCTAGCATCGTCATCGTTGAAATTTGTGAGTTCCAGAATTCCAACGGATTTGTCTCCCAAATACAAAATGGCATACTCAAGTAAACCTGCATTTCCTTTCTTTCGCAACTAATATCGGAGAACACCAACTCAAAAATATTATTATCGACTATTTTTGCCCAAAAAATATCACGATAATAATATTTTTTTAAGAGAAAATATATCGATATATCGATATTTTGATATATTTCCGACATCCCTAGTACTCTGCCATTTAATCACTTTCCTTTTCTCTGGAAAAAAAACTACAATATTTCTAAAAACTAAACCAAAATCCCTTCAACATTTGTATGTACATATGTTTCCTCTGCAAACAAAGTTTTCTGGTCAAAGTTAAATGTATATCCTCTTTTTGGCACATGTGTAATGTCATCAACCCATAGAAAAGGAAATGAAATGGAAAGCCACATGGCGGCATTATGGATTAGTTTTGCAGCTTTTTCCTAGAGCTGACGACTAACATGGAACTATTTTCAACTGTCACTCAATGTAACAAGGATTTAAGGATTTTCAGCAGCAAAACTTTAACAAAAATGATTATTTAATTAATTAAATAAAAATGTCTATAAAAACTGAACTATAGAGGCATTTTGAATCGCCACTCTTTCAACCATTTAATTGCCATTTCAATAGAGTTTTAAGAAAAAAGAAATCCTTTCACTATTGTTAAGCAATTGTTGCATTCAAGATTCTTTCTGAATATTCATGATACCATAATGTTTATTTTATTCCAGATGGCGAATTGAAATGGCAGCAAAAATGTAAACGCCCCGAAGAGCCAAAACACTATAGAAAACGAAGAGCTTGGTAAATAAGCGGATAAACCAAGAAAAAAGGAAAACAAAAAGGATAACGAATAAACTAACAAAAAAAAATCTGATAATAAAAAAAGAGAAAAAATCATAAACGAAAGAATGCCGGGAACTGGTGTCCTGTGAGCTGAAAATGTGATGCGAAGGCGACGCAGATTGCAGATTGCAGCCAAGGACCAAAAGGACCACGAGGACCGCTGGTGCGCCAACAATCGGTGGGGCAAACAATGAGAACTAATAAAGCACTTAAGCGGATAGACGACGACCAGCAACAAGGACATCTAAGTGGTGGAAAGATTCCAGCTTCGGCAATCAAAGGACGATTTCCCGTGCAACGTGCATCGGATTGATAGCACGCAACGGGGCGTATGATCAACGTGCAACATCCTCATCATCATCACTATCAGCATCATCATCAGATTGACAGCAGACAACAGAGAATGGCTGGCCAGGATTTGCCACAAATTGGACGCGACACGGGCCGCCGGGGGACTGTATCCCAGTTGCGTCATTCGAAGGACACCAGCGCTGACTGCGACTGTGACTGTGTGAGTGACTGCAACTGTGACTGCAACACCACCGGCCCAGCTTCCAGCGCAACCACACCGCTGACAGCCAACGGTGGAACCACCATCGGTGGCTCTAACCTGGCTGTTGTGCAGAAGGACATTCAACAACGAAACCACCTGCTAAAGATGCCAACAACAACCACATTAAAAACAAGAACAGAGAAACCAACGATAAAAGCCAACACCGCCACCACCACTACCAAATCATCATCGGGAGGCAACGCATCCTGGACATTAAGGATATTAGCAAAATGCACTGGCAGCAGCAGCATCAGTGGCGGGGTCAGCAACTCCATTTCCTGTCTGCTGTTCTCGGCTCTGATCCTGGGAGTCCTTGTGGGCAGCGGCGAGGCAGGATTCGCCTGCCTCAGCAATCCCTGTGTATTCGGTGTCTGCATCGATGGCCTGAACAGGTGAGTGGTTGCAACATTTTGGTGGAATCAGGTCGTGAGAAATTGCCAAAAATGTGTTCCAAAAATTATAGAAAAAATATAATATCCTATAGCCCTATCTAAATTTCGCTCCTCTTATAAACTATTAACTTCGTAGACCAATAAACCCGTCCAACACACTTTGAGTGGCAATAAACTTGTGCCACTTGACCATCCGAGGGACTCCCGTTCGGGTTCCCAGTTGCCCAGGAATACGATACCAGAACCAAGCCCAAACCCTTCTACTTATATGGCAGAGGCCCTCGATAGCCAGCCGGTTGATGCCGGCACTTTGGAGGAATATGAATTCGCCACAGATGTTCTACCTCCCACTCTCAACATGCCACATCCTGGCTGGGATGCCCTTTCCCTCCCATCCAGCCGTCCTACCATCCTTCACACTTTTTTAATGCATGCCCATTTAAATGGGGTTAAGTTGCGGCCACTGCAAATGTGAGAGGATGAAGAAAAAAGGATGTGTGGGTGGCAAGGATTTCCATAGGGTGCACGGAGTGCTGAGTGGGTTTCAATTGCAAGCAGCTGGAAAATTATTAACTTGCATGGCAAACCAAAGTGCATTCTTAATGCAGAAAATTTACGACGAAGATATGCTAAATGTTTCAGATTTTATTTCAGTTTGGGGGAGGAATATTAAAGGATCAAATAGTTAAAAGAAAGAGTCTATTTTAGGGAGAAAATAAAATAATTATAAAATAGTTATATAAAATTAAAATAAATCTTTAAAGTTGAAAGCTAAATAAGGTAACTTCAAGATCCAATCCCAGATGTTGTTTTTTATTTTATCAAGGAATATTCTACTTTATATCTTCCATCTAAGTACTATATGCAAATCCCATTCTAAACATCTAAACGGAATCTTCAATTCATCTTGAATTCAAATCAGAGAAGCCCTTGAAATGGCTGCATTTTTCGACATTTTCCAAAGAGGGGCCAACTTTGAGGCTTAACTGCAGGGCGAATTCCATCTCCCCTCCATACATACCTACATATATTTATATAAAAAAGTTCAAATTGCACAAACAAGATAGCAGACGATGGCAGAGTCTTGGATTTTTTTCTATTTTCCCGCACCCAAGACCGACATCGCTCTTCTTGACGCCATTTATACGACTAAGTAACTGCCATTTTATTTTTCTGCGAGAACTCTCACTTCGCGATATATGCAACCGCTAATCCTGCTCCTAAAAACATCCAGAACCACCTAACACCCAACAACACCCAAAAACCAGCGCAAGAAATAGCGGTTAAGATATTTTTTTACGATAGCGGGAAAGCTGCAAGTCAAATCCGAAATGCGAAAACCAGAAGCTTGAAATGTTTCCTTGCCAGGATAAAAAATAGGAAAAAAAACTGTGAAAACTAAACCAAAGGCGGCTGGCCAAACGGGGGCGTGTCCGGGCCAAGAGTTGGATGGATGGAAAAGTTTATGTGCCGGCAAGCGAAATTTATAGCTGCAATTAAATTTAACACGATGCCATGAGATTTAAACGGATTAACTGAATAGTTTTCGACCATCTTCAAGTTTCCCGGCAGCAAGTTCGAAAAAAAAGCCAAAACAAATTCAGAATAATCGTGGAGGAGTTTATTGACAATGCGGAACATTGATATTTTATTGGCTTAGCCTGGTTTATGCGTACGATAAGATTGCTCTTAACTGTTTTATGAGTTGGCTCTTAAAAGTGCAGAGCCAGTCGGGCAGGCCAATAAAAATTGATGAGATGTAGAGGATATGATTTGCCTGGCAAATTGCTAAGGCAATTATTGGATGCAATAGAGATTAATAGTTGAGAGAATAAATTAAAGTAAATATATGGGCCTTTGAAATAAATGTTGGTTATTTATGTTTTGTGGTTATCTTATTAAAGCTTAAACATTAAAGGCTTCTCTACTAAGAAATATATAGAAACAAAACTAATTCAATTGGTTAGTCTCCCCAAAGTGTCCAAAAAGTTAAATATAGAAAACCACTTTCACAATAATTTTTCAAGATAAACCTTCCACTTTCTCCCAAGTCCCTGAAGCATTAACGATGACTTTTCACTCCAATATTCTGGCAACAAAGTAGGTCCACATCCAATGCCATTATGTAGTCATTTCCCAATTGCTTCTCGGTTCTCGTTTCTAGAATCTAGATGCTGACTTCTGAAGGCAACAAATCAAATGGCCTCCAGGGTGAAAATGTCCAGCCAAAGGCTATAATCAGCCTGAATCTCGGGGGCTTTCAAAGTCGGTTCTGTTCAGAAAATAACAACTGAAAAACATGAGTGTACCCGGGGTACTTATCTCCGTGCTTAGTCCAGTCCGTGTAACAGACAAGTGCACCGGTGGCTCAGCCTCATCCTGCATCCTAATGTAATCCATTATAGAGGACAATAGTAAGCCAGCAGTCGCCTCCACCTGTCTGGGCGAGGGAAACTTCTTTAATTAAGCTGCTGTGATGCTCTGGTTACCTGGCGCACTATACTTTCTGTTTTTTTTTCCCCAGCCATGTTTGCGATGTTCTCTGCAATTTTCCAGCAACACTCCTCTCCAGCAACACAGATCCCCTGACACATTTTTTCCAACTTGGTAAGGGTTTTGGGCCAAGCCTTTTGCATTTCCGTTACCGGTTCCGTTTCAGTTTCAATTTCAATTTGTTTTGCCGGCAGGCCGGGCAATGAAATAGAAATGGAAAAACCCAATCCCAAATGTCTACCAAATATTTATTTGCTCAACTCAAGTGTAATGTTCCGCCGCCGCCCGAAAAAAGCCAGTTTATGGCACTCAGATGGCCAGAGGGTAGGGTATTTCACATTGCAGGAGATCTTACCGTGAAATTCCAGTATAATTTATTCAGGAAAATGTTGCAATATACATAAAGGAGCTACGGCAACTAACTAACAATTGTTTTGCCGGTCTTTGGTTGAGATCCCCAAAGTTTTGGGTCATTATTATGAAATTATTAACGGTGTTTGAGTGAATTATTTAAATGGGGAACTACGTTTTAAGGTTGGAATCCCAAAAAGTACCTTTAGGAGCTAAGCTTTTTGTTTGCAAGAGATATCCTTGATGAAATATACACTGTTAACATGCCCTCACTTCAATTACGTCAAACTGCCTTTTTCGTCCTGGGTTGTGTACCGTTATCTCTACTCCCTCGCACTACCAATCCTGCTATATTGGCCCATTTGGTGAAACTATTTTTATCTAAAGCATTTTGTTCGCTTTCTCGTTTCGCCCACAAGCCTCTAACTATACATTTTCTTTTATTTTTTTGTGCCGCTGCTACTGCCGTTTTTTACCAACGTTTGATGCATCATTGACACACCGTTCCACCCCCCCACCGACCGCCCAACGTGTCCTGATAATAACAACAACTGGATATACAACAACAGCTCGTACTCGTGCTACTGCATTGATGGCTACACAGGGATCCAGTGCCAAACGAATTGGGACGAATGCTGGTCGGGCCCCTGTCAGAATGGCGGGACATGTGTGGACGGTGTGGCCTACTACAATTGTACGTGTCCGGAAGGATTTTCCGGTAAGTGTGCTCTACACGCTATCTCTACACACTCACAGCCACACACCCACCAACACACACACACACACAAATTTGCTGCGGGTGGTGCCTCTCTGACAGCTGAATGCGGTTTATTTTTGGGGGCAGCATCCAGTTTAAATGCATGGAACTACAACGTTGCAAACTCCACAGAGAACAAACATTTGCATTATGGTACAAAATATTTGGGGCTAAAAATATATGAACTTTTTTTGGTTTTACTTTAATTTATATTTTTACTAAAACAGCTTGAAAGATCGTGTAAGTCAATTATGATATATTCTTACTTGTCTTAAGATTAAAACTCTTTAACCACCTTAAAATCTAGTAAAATGGAGACTAATCCATGGAGGCTTAATACGGTCCACAGCGAAGGACATATCTATACCCATAATCTTCCGATCCTGAAGCAGAATACCTTAAACGATTTGTAGATCGATTATCTTTTAATGTACATCAAAATCTAGAAACAAAATATTCTTTAGATTTTTAGGGCAGTTTTTTTTTAGGAGTAAAATTAGAAATTGTGAAAAATTCATTAAAAGGACTATATAGCCTACAGCGAAAGCCATAGCTTTGCCAATTCTCATCTGGTTCTTAAGCGAAATACCTTTAACGATTTGTAGATCAGTTTTGTATCATATTATAACCACAGGGTTAAACTTCCCTAGGATAATATTTCAATTTTGTAGATCAAAACCTTTCTTAAAATATATATCTTTGAATATCTTCAAGTATTTTAATCCAATTCCTTTAATATAAACTTTAGTCTACGAATCTACGAAGACTACTCTCAGTGCATTAAAATAAATGGCAAATAGTGTGGAAAAGGGTTGGCTTGTAAAGTGTGGAGTGGCTGGCTGGCTGGCTGGCTGGCAGGGCTGAGTGGGCGAAGTCCCTCTTCCGTGCTGCTCCACGTGCGAAATGTATTTTTATTAAGCCAACATAAAAAACTCAGTTGCGCTTGGTTTGCACTTGGTCTGGTCCTGAGCGGAGACAGATCCCCGAGCCGAAAAACGCACACTCCAGCAAATAGAGAGGAATTCCTGTCAGGACATACACACGGGGCGCCTTGTTTTATTTTCCCCTTTTCCATTTTTTTTTACCCCCAAACGTATTTGTAAAATTTACGCGGTACTTGTAAGGGGGCGAGGATGAGGAAAGAAAAAAATATAACATACAATACTCGTTCTTACTTATTTTCCCGACATTTGCTCACAGGAGTCTATTCTTCTTTTGAACGCGTCCTGTGAGAGTGCCAAAGGAAACGACTCGGGGAAAATGTAAGGAAAAACAAACTAATGGAAAATGGAAAGTCATTGAAGTGCAGCAGCCTTTTATATTCTCAGATCAGTGTTGATTTGGCCAGAAGGAGAGCTTTTTGAGAGGTTTATTGTCACTTTTCTAAGCAAATAATTTACACATTTTAATTTTGAATAGACCACACAAATAAAATGTATTATTATTATCTATTATATTCTTATATTCCTGTAAGAAGAAGGAGGAAAAGTGGTAATGGGAAATCCAAACCCAAAGCCAAAGCCAAAGCTGGCAAACCAACTTTAATGTTGTCTATTGTGGTAGTCCATGTTGGGTGCTTAACTTGCCACTTGCCACCGTGGCTACGACTACTACCACGACGTGTCTGTGTTGGCCAAGTACGGAAGTCTAACCATGAATGTATCTAATGTTCATCCTTTTGGCTTCGTGTACTTTCCACTCGTCCGTACACACATAAACACATTTACTTATGGTACGTGTGAGAAGCACTTAGTGTCCGTCCCTTTGCTTTGCTTTCTTACTATTTTTTTCCACCCATTTCCACATTTTTTTTTTTTGCAAATCCCCCACCATCCACCACCAGTTTTATTCTACCACAAAGTTGACTTTATAAAATTTAGTGAAATTTATAGCCAACGTATCTAGGTGTAATACGTGCTATATATTTGTTGTGTCTTGTAGTTGTATCAACGGCCAAAACTAAAAACCGAAATACAAATTGTAGCAAATTTGTTCAAGAACTTTTCCTGATGAGTTCCAGAGAGTAGAACAATCAGACCAGGGTGTGGGTTAGCTAGGGGATTTCCAAACTAGACCAAAGTCATTGACTGGACTTGGTCTGGAATATGGGTATTCCTGTTGAAAAATATTTTCTACCAGTATTATATTACTTAAATTTTTAATCCAGAATCTGTATTAAGGATATTCAGTATTTATCCCATTATCCTCATTAAAATCGTAATAACTCCATAATGGATTCCTCCCCTCCATTTTCATCACTCATACGACCCGTTTAGCAAAGTTTTCTCCCCCAAAACAATTTTTTATCGTCGGCTCCCCGGGCAACCGAAACAATTGCATTAATTTAACATAAATAGAGCAGAGAGTTGCTTGGAATCATAAAAATAAAGCCCACAAAGCATAAACATACAAAAATATATATATACATATATATAAAATTATGCACTGCAATCTTTTCAGGAAACTAAGCGATTTCATTGCAAATTGCTCTAAAAAAAAAAAAACTTGAAAAAAAAATAAAGCAAAAAATGTGCATAACAAATTCGGCGCATAAAAAATGAAAACGAAATATGCTTTTGGCCAGGACAGCCGCGAATAAAAAGCCACACACCACCATACACACACACACACAAATACATATAAAATATATAGATTTTTTGCCAAAAGCAGGCGAAACGTTGGAAAAATATAGCTATAAACTATGCAAAAAAAGTCTACGGTGGAAAAAATTGGTGAATGCTGAAAAACAAAATTAAGCCAAAAAGAACAAAATGAAGTAAAATTTTTTAAATGAAATGCATTCCATGAATAGGAGTCTAACACAAAACAAAGCGAAAGTAACGGATGCAAAGAGTTTTCGAGGAAAAGCAGCTGTAGAAAGTAAAGGGAAAAGCACGAAAAAAGCGGGAAAATGAGGGCCTGGCGGTGGAAAAGGATGGACAAACGCCTCGGGGCATTATTTAACCGCTCATTGAGTTTTGGAAAGCTTTCACCTTGGCCACCTGGCCATCCTTCTAGGAGCATTACAAAAATTTCCACGCCCCACCGAATGCAAATGAAAGAGACCTCTAGATAGTGGTAGAAAGAGAAAGCATGCTTCTAATTAATTTGATGAGCTTCCTTTTCCCAGGAATTGCATTTCGCATCTATAATATATTTTTATTTTTTTGGCCCATTTTAGCTTTGCCGTTTATGCCTTTTGAAGTGGTTTGCAGGCTATACTAGGGAGGACATGCCGTTATGCATATTGTGATTTGGCCTGTTCCACTTACCAATGGCTTAGTTGTGCTGCCGGTTTGTGGGGCTTTTGGGCCTACAAGGTGTTGCCGCTCATTGAAAAGTGCCCTTTGATTGGGTTTTCCCTTTTAGTTTATCACTCTTTGCCGGCTTTTGAAACTTTGATTTGGTTGAAATCACTTTAATTAACACAGTTTCTGAAATATAAAAAAATATATAATTAGTAATGAACATTTTTAGCACTTAACTCAACTTGATCTAGATGACTTTTACGACCATCCTTGGCATTAGGACCATAAACAATAAATTCACAATCCTTGTAGTAAACTGCAATCCTTAACAGCTTAACCTTGCTCTCCTGACACACACACATGCACACACTGCCACACAATTACACTCACGGCGCAATCCAACAATAAAAGCTAGGCAAGCCTTTGTCCTTTTGCTTCTTGGCTCCATTCCTTTATGCAATCATTGCAGCCACCAAAGTCAGTTAACGGTGGAGGGGGGCAAACGAAAGGAGCGAGAGGTCCTAGAGTCCATTGCAGCGAAAAAACAATAGAAAAGCCAGTGGGGTGGGGGGGCAGATCCTGCCAGCCAGCCTGCAGGATGGCAGAAGGTCTTCCTGGCCTATTCTCCATTGAAATTTCGCATTTCACATTCATGCAAATGCAGCAAATCAACAATGAAAAAATAATAAAGCCAGGCCCAAGAAAATTTTCAAAACGAAGCTATAAATGCTCTTTATAATATATATTATTTAGGGTTTTCAAACTCTGCCTTACTAGCTATTGCTTCTATAGGAAAAGTTCTGTAAGAGTTCTGTAAGTCTTTTTAGGTAAACCCTTTACTTGACTTGATTTAATTTCCTTTTAATACATAAGAATGTCCTTAAAAATTTATATATATTTATTAACTGCTCCTCTTAACTAATATACCCCGAAAAACTGTGTAGTGTACAGATATGGAAATGCATTCAAATTACAGCAATGCAGTTTGTGGCGCGACTTGCTTTTGCTCTGAGCAGTTTTTTTTTCTCCACTCACCCGCTTGATATTTTATCGTAATTTTCCTGGGCATCCGCTTTTTTTTAATACTTTTTTTTAAGGATTTTTTTTTGTGTTTCTTGAACTGCTTCATCAGCGGTTTTTTGTGAGCCAGCGAGTGCGTGTGTGTGCATAAATTTGCACCTGTTCGCCGGTGTGGTGTTCCAATTTCCCGCGCTCGCTGGCAATTTGCAAGCGTTTCCACGTAGCCGTGGCGATACGTTCAATCAAGCATCAGGTTGCTCAATCATTGATTGCTGGCTTCATTTCGACTGCAACCTGCAGCGAGCATAAAGTTAACAGCTTTCATTTTTCCGCAACTTGATTTATTCCCTTAAATACTCTTCAATTTTTGCCAATGTCGGCTACCTCTGCGATTTCCATAAATTTTGCATTTCAATTACTCAGCGGAGAGCACAAACTAATATATATATCATTTATAAATACATATGTTTATGACAGATAGAGGGAGGAAGGGGCCCGCTAATCAATTGTCCTTTGGGATTTAGTGTTGGCGTTCAATCCTGATGTTGTTTTGCGACAGCAGCCTAAAATATTCATGACATTATTGATTTTATAATGGGAACACCAAAGTTTGATGAACTTTTCGAAGGGGTGCGTGACGGCAGGGGTCAGGATATTTTTGTTTGCCAGGGATTAGCTGTGTAATCGAATGCTATTAAGATTTTTATTTGTTCACACAACTGATTCGATTTAATTTTAAAACAAACAAACTACATTAATTAAAGCTGGAAATCCCATCCACTTCCTTTGATTTTGAATTGTTTTTAACGCCACATTAGATTAATCTTTCTGGTAAATGGCATACAAATAAATGGGTTTTGGGTAACATTAACTGATTAAGGCGCAAAGGAGACCCTAAACCAAAAGCTTTCAATGCGATCTATCGATTAATTGCTAACGAGAAAAGTCCCACAAGTTCATTAATTAATTAGTTGGTAAAGAATAAGCAACAAAATCGATTATATTTCGCATCAAATACACATTTTTGCTCAAGACCATGTGTTGGTTTCTCAAAAAGTTGCCAATCCTAGCAACCAACTGCTTTGGCCTGACAATAGAAAATTACAAATAACATAAGAAAGATTTTTCTTTAAAATCAGAGCTTGGGAAATGTGGTGCAAAATGCAATTAATTAAACCCCCAATATAGAGAGGGCAGGAGAAACGTTTCGTAAATGTAAGGGTTCTTCGGTGTTTTCCCGTGAAAATGAGCTACGCTTTTCCACTAGCAACGGCTTGTCATTGTCCTTGCCACTGGCAAGGATTCATTCCTCTTACTAGCAAATAAAAACGGAAAAAAAGAAATGGAAACTAAGCAATTGAATGAGCAACAATGCGCACCACAAGACATTCAAGTGCAGGCCAACCACACTGCATCCACTCTAAACGAACACTGTCAAAAAAAAAATCATAAAAAATAAGAAGAACATCATATCTTTTATTTTAAAAAATATTTATTAGTAGGTAATATTTAAGAAATTTTTTAGAAACAGTAAGTAATAGTTTTGGAATAAGTAAACTCCCCAGATACATTACTTTCTCCAAGTGCCAATATGCGGATTTTGGGGAAAACTAGTGACAGGAATTGCTTGGATTTTAGGGAAGGACGGGGGCCTGAATGAGTGAATGGATCCCGTGATTAGTTTCTCCGGCGCATTTGAAAGCAACGTTAGGCAAGGGGAGAATGGGGTGGCATTCTCCCCCGAGTGTATCCAGTGGCAGGAGATGAACCCAAAGTGCATTTCATTGCTCACTGTCGCAGGTCGCAGCTAGCGATTTACGGCAATGGATTCGGATTTAACTCCCCCTTGGAAAAGCCACCCATCATCCACCCACTACTACCAAGGCAACCCAATTCAATGATAATAGATTGCTCTGGCTAGGATTAGTTTGGCATACAAATTGCTAGAGGGACGTGGCTCAAATCCTAACAAGCTAAATGCCATTCTTAGCGCTAGGTAATTGAAGAATTTCAAACGAATAAACCAATATACTTTTGCCAGGATTAATTCTAAGGAAGTGGACTAGTTTAGAGAAAGGTAAAAAAAGTAATAAGTAAATTGGTTAATCTAGTCTTGGAAATTAATAGGAGGTCCAAATAAATCCAGACTTTTCATTCATTGTTCTGATTCCTCGTAATTATGATTCAAAACCAAATCCTGATCTTCTGAAGGACAACAACAGCCTGTAACTGGAGCAGTTGGCTGCTCATTCATTCAAGGATTACTGTATTCATTTCCCCATAAAAAGGGGGCAAGTCAAGGTAGCTGGAGCTGAATGTATCTGAATATGCGAACATAAAATGCTAACGAAATGTGCAATATTTTCAACTCATGCACCTTTTGGAGACGAAGTCTGATTTCGAATGCACATTCGCCCTCTGCACTTTTTCCGCAATATTGTGTACATACGGTATATGGTACTTCTTGGGGGGAAAATAAGAAGCAGAAAATGTGTAAAGATAAAATTCAAATTTCAATTTGTGCATCGACTGGGCGGGAAGGACGAAAAAAGGACGAAATTGGCAAGCAGCCCCGAGCAGCACGAGAGGGAAATGGCCATGTTTATTGTGACTCGAAGCCAAAACAAATGTTCGTACCTTGTTGCACAAATGTTTACAGTTCGCTTCCAGCACAAGGAGCAAATACTAAAAGCAACAAAAAATATGAATAAAGGGCAAAAAATGTTGCACAAAAAAAATGTAAATAATAAGAAAACCATAAAGAAGCAACTGAAGCACCATGACTGCCAACAATGGGGCGAACAACGAGAAAATTTAAAGAACTTTTTAATAAAACCGGTGGGAAGTACTATTGGATCTTGTAGAGTATTCTTCTTTTTCACACTAAATGGATTATTATCAGTGATTTTTTTCCTGACTTTATCAATATTTTATCAGCACTTAAATTTTGATTAATGGTTCATGTTTTGTTTTCATTTTCCTTTCAAATATTCCAACAATCGACATGAAGAACGTCAGAAATGTGCGTCCTTTTTTTTTGTTTTTTTGTGGAATCCTCGGATGAAAAAAATACGAGGAAAAAATCGGACAACCAAAGCCCATCCATTAAAAAAAATCGAGCGGGTGAGGACGAGGGAAAATTGTGCGTCCAATTCGAAAAAAATTCATTCATAAAACATGCCTCGTAGATTGCGGCAGTGAGTGAAGCATTTTTCCTGCCCACAGAAATGACCGAAGCCACCACCCTTGCACATGCTGAAATAAAATGAAAATCGATTTTCACTTTAACGACTTCACACATATAGAATGTGTACTGTAGTGGGGTGTATGCTATACTGCTGCTGGTGGTGCTGTTGGAAAAGCCAAGGAAAAGTATTGAAAAGGCCCCCAAACGAAACCACAAACGGAGCCAAAACAATGAACAAGAAAAGCCAGAAATCATCGTGAATGCATCGGGCATAGGTATAAGGGTGTATATGGAAAATCGTTAGGGAGGTCACCACGTATAGGTAGTGCTGGTGGTTCTCTGGTCTACTGAATTTGGGTTAAGAACTGTGCGTGTGCGAAGATGGGTGTGAGGGGAATGAATTTCCCTGCTCGGTATTCTCGGTGCTTTCTGTGTGCTTGACCACTTCCTGTATTTGTGCATGAATTGGAGCGTAATGTGACATTTCATGTGGATCCACAAAAAAAAACCAGAAGGAAGGTAACAAAAAAGAAATTCAGCCAGAGAACTCGACCAGTTTGGGGGACTTGGCAACATGTCGTATGCGCAATAACTAAAATTATGCCATTTGCTAAGCTAAGCAGAAGAAATATCTGGTTAGCAAAATTAGAAGATTCTTTTTGGGAAGTTTATGCTACATTTTGGGGCATTTGGCAAAAGATAATTTTTTTATCAAGAGTTTTTTTAAAAATGTAAGACGAAAATTTAAATTCATACAGATATCTAATTATAAATCGGTAGGTTGTACAAGCACCTAATTACAAAAACCAGATATAATACAAACACATATCTTTCTACTAAGCCTTAAATTAAAATTTAAATAAAAAAATAGATAAATAATAAATAAAAACATCCTTCCTTGTACAACACGTCGTATGAGCAATAAATTAAGCAATAGCACTCGAAAATCATACAAAATAAATCCTCAAGAATAACCATTTTCATCTTCATTACACATTGGATCGTCAAATAAAATAAGGCACCCAGAACAATTTAGATTTAACGGCAGGACATAAAGCAAATTGAAATATTTGTAGGAGTTTAAAGCCAGCCTCATAAAGCTGAACGCGATTGCCAGTGTTGGCCGGGCCATAAACAAATTGAAATGTGCAGCGATGTCCAGCAGCCGCCGTCGCCTTGACGGCACTTTATGGTCAGAATGGGGGAAATTGAAACTGAAGCCGATGCTGTTGCTGTTGCTCCGTCGATGGCTATGAAATACGCGAAAGTGGCAGGCTGACTGCAGAATCCATTACTCAATTGAAGAAAAGATGCTCGAGCGATAAATTAAAATGCCTTTTTTATGCCAAACAAATAATTGCTATACTCTTACTTTAAATTCAAAGAACCATTCGACAATGTTGCTTCTGGAAGCTCGGAATAATTACGCCTAAATGCCTGGAATAATAGCCTCTGACTCGAAAGCAATTAAAATTGGCCGAAAGCATAACATTGCAAGGGAATCTTAAATTTGCATGCCACAGTTGCAATTTCTGAGATGGCATTAATTAGCTGCCAGGAATAAACACAACTGGCCCCAGAAGTGTGTGCAACACTAATGAATTAATTTAAATTATGCTGTAAATGAGCATTTAAATGGAAATGTAATCAGAGTGCCGGCTAAGACTGGAAATATGCAATAGAAATTTGCAATCTTAGCTTCTCGACCAAAAACACACAATATCGAAATGCTTGCCAAGTACCTACACAGAGTCCTGGCTTGGGTATCTATTGGATGGACAAGAACACACAGATACACAGCCAGAGATACGGATACATGTACAAGCACTAGTCATAAGGCAAACAAATGTCATCGACTGACATCCTGCTCGACTGCCAGGATTTTCAGTATCCTCTGTAAGTGGCGATGGTGGTGGTAGTACCCCGTTTTTGTGTTGATTTAGTGCTTATGCAAATTTAATATATGTTCCAAGCCAACCCAACCCAGAGCCAGCCCACTTTTTCCCCATCATTTGCATAGACTTACATTATTGTTGCATTATAAACCCAGACAGAAGGACCAGACACGCACATTTATCTTTTATGACCGCTCGGCAGCTGCAACTCTATTCCCCTTCTTTTTTTTTTTTTTTTGGGCGTTTTTGTTATATCCTTGTGTGTCCTTGTCCATCAGTGTGCATTTTGTATTATTTATGAGTTCAAGTGATAAATTGTCGGAGGATTGAAACGCCCTCTCAATCGCAGTCCACTTGAATGCAATTTTCAGCATTAAATTAAAGGGGAGTTCCTCGTTTTTGTTCTCTGGCGCATTAATTTGCGCCAAGTGCAAAGAAATTTTCAAGCCGACTTTTTTGAGACTTTTGTTTCGACACTTTGAAGTGCTCCTTTGGTTTTATTTTCTTTGGTCCTCTGCAGAGCGGCAAGGAAAACTTTCCTTGCCAGACAAGATAGGAAACTTTGTAGAACGGAGGCGGAAAAAACTTTAAGCATATTTCTCGCCAACTTGTTGCCAAAAAAGAGTTTTCGGTAAGATGGCGGTGGTGGTGGTGGTGTTGGCTCCGGTGGCAGCGAAACGAAAACAAAGGCCCAAACTCAAAAGGCATTTCTATGCCGGGCAAAAAATTCTCAAACTTCAGCCATACAAAATATTTCGCTGGCAATAAATTTGCAAGAGCTCCAAGAACCCGAAGAAAAAAATATATATATATCACTCATACGCAGCGTTGCACTTGCCGGAACAACAGTAGGATACCATTCACAGGGACTGGTGGCTGGTAGCAAATATCTCTTTTCTGCCCCCGAGGCGAAGATTGTCTGTCTGAAAGGCTGACAGTTGCTGCCTTTTGGCCAAAACACTGAGAACAAGTCAACGTCGCTGCAAGTTGTTGAGCAGAAAATTGAAAAGTATTTTCCAGCATTTGTTGCCATTGTTGACTGTCAAAGTAGATGCCCCACCAGGGGGTACACTACTCGGCAAGCTAAAGTACTAAATACTAACAGAAATATATTCCTAAAGATAAACAAGTTTTTCTGTTGGACAAGATATTAAAGTAGTTTTTAAGCTATAAAATATAAGAGTAGCTAAGTAAGGGTATCATTTTTCCAAACCACTTTTCCAAACAGTTAACCACTCTGCTTTCTTTGGCACTTCATGCACTTCAGTTTGAAAGACAGCTACAAATTTTGGCATGTGTGCTTTATATCCTTGCCATCCAACCCCCCCAACCATCCACACAAACACGCCCAAAGAAATATCCTTCTGGGTGCGTGTAAATATCCTTTTGAATTGTTTATATTGCTTGCAACCAAATCAGCACTTCTAGGGTTTGTTTTGATTGCTATTGATGCGCTTCTATCGAAACGTTTTCTTTTTAAGAGACCTGGGGAGCGTTCACAAAAAAATAGATTGAAGAGGAAATGAAAATGGAAAAGGAGATTTCCATGGCAAGATATAATGAAAGGTCATTCAAATGCAACTCAGAAGTGCTCACTTGTTTTGAAATGGTTTGTAGAAGTGAAAGGACTTGAGGGAAACTATCCATCCTTTCTTTATTTGTTGAAACTGAATGCACATTTTTTTACCAAAAAATCATTAAGCTTTATCAAAGGCAAATATTTTAATTAAAATCCATAAGCCAAACCACAAAGCTAAATGACAAAAAACTAATTTTACAAACAGTATCGATATCAGACGCAATTAAATTATGTCCATTTTCTACAAAGAAATCTGCAAATGAACTCTGACCCTCGAGCAGCATATTTATTTGTATAATTAAAACACAAATCAGAGTCAGCAGGTGGCTGGGTGTCCTTTGACACAAAGATTGTTTTCACATCCTTTTCATCTGGCTTCCTTTCAGGATCCAATTGCGAGGAGAATGTCGACGAATGCATGTCGAACCCCTGCCAGAACGGCGGACTTTGCAGGGACAGGACTAATGGCTACACATGCACCTGCCAGCCGGGATACCTGGGGGATCACTGTGAGCTGGATGTGGCTGTCTGCGACACAGGTGAGTAACAATGATGAATGTCCTTTTTGACGGGCAGACAGGTAGACAAGGACGAGACAGCGGTTACAAACAAATTGAAATTAAATTTGAATTTAAACATATTATTCAGAAATACTTAAAGCTAAGGTTTCAAGATGTATTCTTATTCCTTTCCGAACCAGGAACTGGAGCTCGATGCCAGCATGGTGGAGAGTGTATTGAAGGACCTGGCTTGGAGTTTACCTGCTCCTGTCCTGCGGGCTGGCACGGCAGGATCTGCCAAGAGGAAATCAACGAGTGCGCCTCCTCGCCGTGCCAAAATGGAGGTGTCTGTGTCGACAAGCTGGCTGCCTACGCCTGTGCCTGTCCCATGGGCTACACGGGCATCAATTGCGAGGAGGAGATCCTAATCTGCGCGGACAATCCCTGCCAGAACAATGCCCTGTGCCTCATGGAGGAGGGCATTCCCACGTGCTATTGCGTGCCGGACTACCACGGCGAGAAGTGCGAGTTCCAGTACGACGAATGCCAGTTGGGACCGCGTTGCATGAACGGAGGAGTCTGCATCGATGGCGTGGATACCTTCTCCTGCTCATGTCCTCCTTTATTGACTGGAATGCTCTGCGAATGTTTGATGGTTGGCGAAGAGTCCTTGGACTGTAATTACACGGCTCCAGCTACGCCGCCGCCAGCTAGGGGAACCACCACAACGTCAACGGTGGCGCCTCCGACCGTGAGACCAGTGACGCCACCAGAAACTACGGTTCCCCCGAAAGTCAGCGAAGAGGTCACAACCCCAGGTTCTGTTTCCGTATCATCTGCATCCTCCGAAGAAGCTGTATCGGTAGAGATCAGACCACAAACCCTGGCGCCACCCGAAAGCGATAGCCACAGTATTTCCAGAGAGCAAACTACAGTAGCTCCACCGCCTCAGGAGAGGGAACCTAGTTCCGAGTCTGAACCGGAAACCGAGGAGGTAGTGGTGATAACTGCTACCACGATAGCACCACGATCCTCTAGTGCCTCCTCGGAGGAGTCAGCCAGCATCTACACCACCCTGCCCCCGCTGCCAGGCACTTCGAGGGAAGTGGATTCCGGGGGCGAGGTGGTCACCTCCGAGGAGTACACCACAGTTCCTCATTTCGATGTGAGCGTCAGTAAGAGTGAGAGTGGCAGCGCAGAGGCCACCACAGCAGGACCCACTGTCCCACCCAGCATAACCATTGAAGTGGATCTCACCTCAGTTTCCACAAGCAGCAGCAGTAGTAGCTCCGAGTCCGTGGAAATAATGACAACACCAGCTCCGACCTTTACCCAAAAAGTAACCACCCTGGAAACTACGATTTCTGTGGAGTATGTGACCCCTACGCCGTATTATCCCACGGAGACCACCACACCGCGAGTGGTGCCAGTACCGCGACCCACTTTCGCTACCGAACCGCCGCTGGACGTGATGGAGACAACTGCTTCGACGCACCACCTCTGGACAGAGGTGTCCACTACGGCGGCGCCGTTCTTTACGGAATATCCAGCCGAGGTTATGATAACCACCCATCGCACCAGTGCCGGGCGGTTTACTACAGTTCAGCCACCTCTTCAGGTTACCACGCTGGGACCAGAGTCCGGGGAGACTTCCGTGGAGACGGCAACGCCTCACATAGTAGTCACCATTATAGACACAAAGGATATCGTCACCCCCACGATTACAACTACTGGAATGCCAACAACCCACCACCACGATCATCATCATCATCACCACCACGAACACGAGGAAGTCACCACATTGCAGCCAGGAGAGGATGATGATGAGCACCACCACCACCACCATCATCACGACCATCATCACCACCATCATCCCGAAGGAGAGCTCACCACTCCGATGCCCGTGGAAATAACGACAGGACAGGCTCTGCAAACAGAAGATCTGATTGAGGTTCCGCAGGTTGTGACAACGGTGGAGCCCTTCGCCCCACCAGAAACCACGGTGGTGCCAGTGGTTGTGCCTGTTATTACTGCTGCTCCCATACCGCCAGCTACGGTGGCTCCTACTCAAGTAACTGAAGCGCCCACGGCTGCTCCTACGGCGGCTCCAACGTTGCCTCCACAAACTTTGCCTCCTCAGACCCTTCCTCCGCCGACCCTGCCTCCTCTGACTCTGCCCCCGCAGACCTTGCCTCCTCAGACTCTGCCTCCTGAGACTCCTCCTCCCATAACTATTGCTCCTGCAACCCTGCCGGCCGCTACCCTGCCACCTGCTACCCTGCCACCTCCGACGATACCGCCAACTCCTCCCTCCACGCAATCTGCACAAACTCTGCCCCCACCCATCCATGTCTACACCACTCCGGACGGGCCAGCGCCCACTGCGCCGGACCGGCAGACCAAGACGCCGGTCACGGAGAGCAGCGAGGAGGTGGAGGGCGCCAACACAGTGGCTACCGGCGGCCGAGGCGCAGGAGGCCTTCCCGAGGAGAAGGCGGCGGACGTGGATTGCATCAAGCTGGGCTGTTACAATGGCGGGACCTGTGTGACCACTTCAGAGGGATCAAGGGTGAGTTTTTAAATTAATTATGTTTATGGATAAAATATGATTATTTAAATATGATTATTACTATTATTTAAGATAGGCATAGAGGGGAAACAAATGATAGGAATGCTATCCAATAAATTTTCACTGTTTTACATTTTTTAAATAATATTCCCCATAATCATTTCTCGCAGTGATTAGCCGGCTGAGTAGGTCAATCGATTGGCGGCCTCTGGCACTTGGCACCTCAAATGGGAATCGAGTTGTTTGTTCGATTCCAAAACAACCAAAAACTAGGCGCACTGAGGGGGTTTGTTTGTTTGTGTTTACCAGGGAGTTGACTTCACAATTTTCAACCCCATTGAGTTGCTAATTGGCCATATTGGAGTTGTGGACCTCGAGGTTGTGATTCCAGGACCACCTCCAACTATTAATAAGTCATTAAGTATTCCAGGTAGAGCTTCAATTGCCAAGGCAATGTGTAACTAGGCAAGGTAACATGAAAAGGCATTGGAGATCCTTCAGAAGCCAAAGTCATACTTTCTCTAATTAAAGAGGATTTTCTATAATGTTATACTTTTAAGAGGAAAGCTACAATGTTATAATTTTCCACATTTACGAGTCCCCAACTACAAATTCCAGTTTACGCTTCTCGAATTGCACTTTAATGAGATCCTTTATTAGGGTACTCTCGAAATGAAGGCATTAGCAGTAACTATGCCAGGACCACACCCACGGGCGATGCACTGCCACCGACTAAATTTGCAAATTGACAACCAGAAACAGCCTCCTGGATGCCTGGCTGCCCAATTGCACAGGTGCCTGCCCGCACAGATGCAGATACAATTTCAGATACAGATACAGTAACACAGATGTGCCCAGGCTTATACATAAATAATCATACAGATTCTATGGCCATGATGAGGGGTGGCGATAAAAGGGGGTTTAGAGGTGCTGGGAAAAGCGATGCCCATAAGCAGATTTTCCACACAGATTGTTGTCAGGACAACGGGCAGTGAGACAATCGAAATGCCGGCTGAATGGAGGGCATATTTTAAGGTTACAAAGGTGAAAATAATTCAGGGTGTTTCCTCAAAATTACACAGTTGAAATATTTTAAAAGTCTGGGAAAGGGTTTTCTTATTTTTTAAACTTAATAAAGTAAGTTATACAAGTCCAAGACCTCATCCTCAACAGAAACTATCATATTTGTCTAGATTGTCTAGATTTCTTAACTTCGCCAGACTTTTCAAATCAAACTCCAACAAAAAAATACATTTTGAAATATATTTTTTGTGGCCCATTTCCGGTGAAAAGTTGTGCAAACGAGCCAGCCAGCCAGCCCAGGGCACTTATGCCATTCCACATCTGCCACACGTGGCATGCTCCTTCCACCTCTGTAGGTTCTTTGCAAATGCCAATTGCTCTTGTAAAATGAATAGTTAAGAACTTTATGGAAATAACAGAGGCATTAACAACGGCTACAAATTTTCCAGGTAGAAGGAAATCAGACGGAAAATAGAAGAAATGTTTCGGGCCAAAATGTTCGGCAACAAAGCCACAAAAACTTGCCAAGTTAGAGGCCTGGCAAAGTATGGCTATTCAACTATTTATGAAAATTCTTGTGGTAATTTTACAAAAAAAAGGAGAGTAAAAATATGAAACAATGGGGGAGAAACTATCAAAATTTTTGACCGGAATGGAAAACTGAAAACCATTAAGTGCAGCCAGAATATATGAACTATTCCCAGCGTGGTAGCATGCTACAAATTTGTAATAACTGCTAATAATGGCCAGTAAACTGGAAAATTGCCAACAACAGTAAACTGTTCAATTATTTTTCTAATTTCAGTTGAAATTGATAATGTTCGTGGGGTGTCTAATTTGCGGATGGGCTTAGGAAAACCTTCAACACCTTTTTTTCTCCAAACAATGACTAATGTAATTGACGCCCTTTGGGGTCTTTCATTATTAATTATTCATCGCCCCTCGAAGGTCAGCGGGCATTTCAATATCCCGATGACCCCAATCGCCGAGAAGTGTATTAAAACCACCTCATATACCAGGCCAGGTCAGGTCATATGTCAGAAACGGCTTTAATGTCGGTCAAATTAGCAGGACCACATGCAATTTCAGTTTTTTACGACCGGAACGTGTGAGGTCGATATGAGCTGACAATGTTTGGCTAATTTATGGCCGCCAGCTCAGGTGGTGGATGGCCCGGCACTGGTCATTTATTTCGAGTGACATGCGACAGGATAACATGATATTGTTGTTTATTATTTTTTGTAAAATCTGTTTAATACAGATATGTGGCTGCCTTATCATTTTAATGAACTAATTTAATTAGTCATACATGTTTTAATGTTTTATCCTTGATTTATTAGCTAAGGTATGGTGTTCTTCAAACTTTTTGTTAATGAGTCAGCCAGTAGATAATTTACTGGGAAAGTTTTTCCGCCAAATACATAAATCTCTAAAAACCAGCTAGGTGAAAAATTCTCAGCGAAAAGCCACCACATGTTGCCAGTCTAACAAGAAATAAAAAGATGAAATTTTCATAATACACTTAGTGTGTGTGTGAATGACATAACGCCGCAGGATAAAATCCCGCAACCCACACACTAAGACAACTAAAGCAAATAATCAGAAAAAAGACAAAATATTAAGTGGGGAAAATGGGGAAAATTATTTCATAGAGCGTGTGCCACTTTATTGTTGCCAAGTAATTTAACTAACTGCACAAGCACTCACAAAAGTATACACACACTCAGTAGCTTTGTTAATTTCAAGATTTTCTCTTTAAAAGCACTGGAAGAAATTATAGAGAAGAAATATAAATAAATTAAATAAATGGGTGATGAACAAGTGGCTAGTAATTATCATATGCGCCTTATGAATTATGTGTTAAGCTTTCTTTAATAAAAACCTAAAATATTTTATTAAAATTCCCCTTATTTTTTCCTCTCAGTGTAGTAGATTTTTCCATCTTTTGCCATGTCGCCTTCTGCATTTGTATAAAGAGACAAAAAGGCAAACGAGACAGACTGTCTGCGAGACAGACACACACTTACATATGTCAGCTGTCATATTGGTTAGGCAGCCATTGTGGGTGGCCCCCGCCGAGGGGGTCAGCTAGAAGCTGAGCTGGATGGGGCAGGAGTGCCAGGCGGGTGTCAAGAGGTGGCAAAAACGCGCGGGGCGTGGCAGGAAGGAGTGCAGGCAAAGTGGCACTCACACTCGGCGAAAGTCACTCGTAAAGTGGCATTAAGCACATTTCAAGTGCTACCCCGCCGAGTTTTTGGTTTTGGAAAATGTTTGCCTGGCTTTTCTCCTATTTTCCCCTGCCACACCACTGCCGCCATCCCTTTTTGCCAACGGCTCTGTGTGTCTACTGTCTGCATTGCGTTGCTTTTGCCACCGCCAATGCCACTAATGAAAACTTTGTTGAGCCCTTTTAGGCTCCTCCATCACCGCCACATGTCTCCCCCGACTTAATGCGTCCTCGGCCGTCCTCCGCAGCCTCCGCAGTCTCCAATTTCTCTATTTCCCCATTCAGATTTTCCTCCGATTTCCCAGCCACCCACTCCCTTTTATGAAAAGTGAGTGCACTTCTGTCATTCGGGCCATTTCTAGCATTTGCCTGTTGACATTTCCAAGGGCGTGTTACAATTAATTTTCATCTGGCCAACGCAATGAAACGCAAATAGGAAAGGCCGAAAAGTGCCAAGGATTATGGTTCTATGGCTCTATGGTTGCTCTTTTTTAACCTTAATTCAGCCAGAATTATTATCAAATACTCATATTTCATTGAAATGAATTTATGACCTAATGATTCCGTTTTAAAGTTTAAATTCAAAACGTAATGCCAGGTAATATTCACATTTTCCACTCGGTATAACATACTCATTTCCGCTTTAAGTCTCCCACATGTTTTCCCTCGACTCATTACTCTTACATTTTTGTTTAACCCTTTTTTTGGCTGACCTTTTTTTGTAGTTCTGGCCAACATTCATTATGCGGCAGCCAAATGCCGCAAGGTCAAAAGCTTTAATTAAAATGTTTCCTGTTACGAGGAGCACAGATGCCAGTCGCCAAACAAAAACTGTGCAGAAACTAAATTCAGTTCTCGATAGAAAATAGACCAACCAGTCCACATTAAATTTAAATAATCCTCGCAACTAGAAAATTTTCATTATTTGCCTGCTCAAGGTCATGCGAAGAAGTATGCTATGAAAAATATAAAACGTATAATTGCCGGAGATCCGTGACCTGTAAACAAAAGTGCACTCGGAGGGCGATATGAAAACATGAAACGTCTCTCATCTTCCCAGCAGGCGATGATATTAATGTTTTTCACTCGCAAACAAAGCCTGGGATATAAAAACAGAAACAGCGGAAATTTGATGCCGGCGAAAAAAAAGGATACTTGCTGAAGAACAAAAAAGGGGTTTTTGCGCCATTATACGCTCAAGCCTTTAACATCGGTTAGGAATTTCCGCTGAGCCACGGGTGCTCTTGGCGGAATAGGGATCAGGGGCTTGCATTCACCCAGAAACGTGACAAGCTATAAAGATTTTCATAATTTCTGCAGATTGAAAAGTTAACTAAGCCTTAAGAAATATTTAAAGCCATTTGAAATCCTTTTAAACAATATCTTAGGATTTCTAATCATGTTAGAACAAAGGCCACAGCTTTAAACTCAAAAGTATAACTCGTTAATTAGGTAAAAAGTTTATCACAAATTTTTGTAATTATTTTTGGTGGTGGAGCCCCCACCTTCTTAACCTCAAGCAACTCTGGTACATATGGACAACTTCCCATTAAAAGGATGTCTTTTTTTGTACCCCAACCCAACAGCCACATCCCGAAGGCAGGTTCCTGCCATTATTCCCTCAACTCCCACACTTGCACTTCATTTACCCAATTTTCGGGTTGAGACGGGCGGGTTGAAGGTAAAAATTACAAGAAAAGTTTTCAGTTGCTGTGCGTGGCATTTTCCTTTTCCCGTTTTTCCAACTCCTGCTTTCCTTGCCACCGCCACCACCGCCGCTTGTTGCAGTTGCAGTTGCAGCTCCACTACAAGTGTCCCTTGGCGCGGCATAAATTATTAAAGCCAGGACAATGGAGGACGACGGCAATGCCGTCGAGGGAGCCAAAAAGTTAATTCATATTACTTTTCAATTTATTGGCATTTTTGGAACGTGCTTTTCTTATTGAAAGGCGACCAGAACAAATTAAATTAAAATTGTTCAAGTTTTGCTCCTTCGTCCTTCGTCTTTACAAGTTTTCTTGGCGGGGAAAAGTTTTTGGAGCCACTACTACTATTTTATAGCTACTCGAAAATGGGTAAACTACGGGTTAACCTTTGATGGTTGATTTTTGATTTTAAAGATTTAGCTTCCATCTTTTTTAAATTATTAAACTATGTATGTCCTTTTTTTACAGTGCGTTTGCCGCTTTGACCGACAAGGACCTCTCTGTGAACTCCCCATTATTATCCGGAATGCCGCATTCTCGGGCGACTCGTATGTGTCGCATCGTATCTATAAGGACATCGGTCAGCACGAGTCCTTGGACGCCGTTCTGCCCATGCACATCCAGTTGAAGGTGCGAACACGGGCTACCAATGGACTGATCATGCTGGCAGCCGCCCAGGGCACCAAGGGTGGCCACTACATGGCCCTCTTCCTGCAGAAGGGCCTGATGCAGTTCCAGTTCTCTTGCGGCCTCCAGACGATGCTCCTCAGCGAGCTGGAAACGCCGGTGAACACAGGCCACGAAATCACCATTCGGGCTGAGTAAGTGAAAAGATGTCGTGCCACGGAATGCAATTAAATGGGCACAAAGGACATACACTGGGGGAAAAGGGTGGTTTTTTGGAGAGTAGGACTCTACATTTCCTTCACAGTTGCTTGCCAGTTTTTAAAAAATGTTTATGGGTGATTTGGAAATACTTTACACCTTAAGAAACCTTAATTTTTCTCACAGTGTACTTGTGGGGCACGCCCCCATTTCACGGGTGATTGAGAGAGGCAACGCCTGCTGAACTGCTGAGCCGTCGGCATGTTAATTAACTTTTTAAACCGCGCAAGGTGGAGGTCAGCATATGGGTCAGTGTCAGGGAGTCAGGCGGTACGCCCGGCCAGGACGTACCAACGTCCATTAAACTTGGCCGGGTCGGTCTGGGCCGGTCGGCGGGCGTCGAATTCCATTTGGCTTCGTTCATCCGCAGTGGCCACAAATTATAATGCTTCAAGTGTAAAATAAATTGCAGTTTTTTAGGTTCTCGCCGCGTTCTCCGCCCTCCACTTCCGCCCTCCGACCATTTCCTCGAACATTAAATCCTGCGGGCTTTCCACTTGCCATCCATGCGTAATTAGTTGGATATTTTTTTCTGGTTTTTGTTCTGGCTGGGTCTTCTTTTAATTTCTTTGCCTTGCTTGAAAATTTAATTTACCGCATTTAGAAAGAGGTGGCCAGGAGTGAGTGGAGTAAGTAATGTGGGGGAGTCGTGCGTAATTAATCGTTTAACTAACATTTCCTGGCCAAAGCCAACACTTGGCAAATGTACGAGAAAAACGGGCAAAAAGGACTCCGAAAAAAGTTATTCAAATATTTCCACTATCGCAGACCATTGCATACGAAATGGGAAAATAAAGTTTAAATTAGTTTTGACTCGAATTACTGGGAAGGAAATAGGAAAAAAGGGAACATTTCAACATAATAAGTAAATCGATTAAGCTTGTTAGGGATAAGTGTTTTATTAAAGATTCATTTTGAGACTTGTGGAAAAAATGTCCATGGAAACTATTATTACAATTTCCTACCTGTTGACCTAATAGTCCTTTCTGCAAATAGTACTTCAACATTTAAATTACCGCCACTTAAAGTCATCAAATCAATCAAATGCCACAATAACACTTAATACTTTATCGTGATAATCGCTTGTTTACAATTCAGCAGTGAGCCATTTCTTCCACAAAATATGCAACAAAAATTGCCATAAAAAATGAGCAATTTATGGGTCTAAACGCATATGGAAAATGACCAAATAATCGTTTTGACCAAATAAAATTCGGCTGAAGCCAAAACTTGAAATCCAGGCAAAGAAACTTCCCCCCTGGCGAATCAAGGATAGACGAAGCAGTGGCATAAACAGGACATTAAGGAATGCGTATATATATCAAAAAGTGGGACAAAAGTGAGAGCCAGGACTCTGGCCATATAAATAATTTACCAAAGTGAGAACAAAAGGGAAAGTGAATGGCCAGGGGCCGACAGAGGGGGGCGAGTGGAAGGGGGAGACGCATTCACATTTTACGACTATCGAATCGACCACAAATTTACTTTTTAGCACTTGGTCCCAGCTCGGGGCGAACCAATGTCCGATGTTAAAGGCTCTTTGGGTCTATGTAATACACTGGAAAAAATGATCTAAAGTTCTAAAGCAAAAAGCACTAATTAGAAGGGAAATATTTTATATATTTTCATATAGAAAGAGTATTTTACAAAGGCCTTTGTTAGTTCTACTTTTTAAATATATCCAGCATACTTAAAAGCTTTTATTTTATTAAAAACTCAAACAGTTTTTTACAGGCTTTTATAGAAAAAAAAACATCTGTTTTCACTACCTATTTTTCCCCAGTGCATATGTATATTATATTATATTCCTCTCGCCTGTTTTGTGGGATGTTGTTTTTGTGTTTTGGTCTGGCAAGTGGATTTACGAGCAACAAATTTATGTTCGTTGCCTATTTTTATTTGCCTTGCGTGCTTAATCGTCCGAGCCAAAGGACCTTTCCGCCCAGGGGCCACTCGATGACGACAAGGACGCCGACACCACCGACGACGACCATCATGATGATAATGATGAAGTTGGGGGTCGGTCTTCCATGAACTATAGTTAGCCCCACACTCAGTCATAGTCCCGGAGGCGAAGAAATGCCTCACACTCCGATGAGCCTAATACCCGGCACAATTGACATTTTACTTAAGGACCTTCCATCGAACTGGTGTTGCGCACAATTAGTGTAATTAGAAAGCAATAACAATTACCGTTAGTCAAGCCTAATTGCAGCCGCATTTCTTTCCGCTCTCATTTCTGCCAAGAACTCGCTTTTAATTATTTCGAATTTTCATTCGTAACCATTTTATGAATTAAGTTCATTAATTAGGATGATTTGCTTTTGTTTGTCAGCTTCCGTAACTAAAAACTTTTCAATTGGCGATTCAATTGACCGTGTCAATAATTCTCCGTAGCACCACTACCCTCTCTAAGGACAATGCTAATTTAATTTGTTGTTCAATCGAACTAAACTAATTGAAATTTAAATAAGATTAAAGGGAGACTTTGGCTGAGTTTTAATAAAAACATTTTAATTAAATTTTAAAGACTTAAGAGCTCAATTATAGGTTGGTGGGTCAACTGGATAAATGGGGAATATTTTAAAGGATACAATCACTTTTTTGTTTTGAAAGGAAAGCAAAATACATGCCACATATGCTGTGTAAACTAAATGCAATCAGAGTAAACTTTTTTCATTTGAGTATCAGCCAGCATATGGGTAACTTTTTTACTGCCGTCTGCCTCCATAAAATAACAATAAAATGTATACACGCATATCCTTCGGTAAGCATTTATTGCACTGACTTTTTGTATCCAAATATTTCCATTCAAATGCAATAAACGCGAAGATATGAATCCCAGTTCGTCCATCTCCGAATAACAAAAAAAAAAAAGCAAAATCGGAAAATTCTTTTGACAACAAATAAAATCGGAGGCCTCATCACAACAAAGGACATTCAAATAAAAGCATCCGAAATTCGGACCAAGAGCGGCAATAAAAATTGGTAGTCCCCCTGAACCCACTCCATGCAGTTGGAATTCTCTTACGAACTTTTACCTGGGCACTTTTTACCTCGATCACATCAAAGGGTCGAGAAAAAATTCCATCTAGGGACAGACGCAGCAAAAATTTGACAGTCGATTGACATTATAGCCCGTTGTTGGGGGGATTGGTAAAGGATATGGTAGACAGTGGTTTATTTTTTGGCATTAAATATAAATGGTGGACAGCAGAATTTAAAATTTGGAAAATAAAGACTTTCAGGACATGTTCATGCTTTAAATGATATTTTTTTCAAAGGAATATTTTTGCTTCTTGTTGCCAAATTTTTCCATGACTTGAACCACTGTCGCTTAAATGCGACCACGAGGAAAGGTCAACAGGCAAGAAAGGTAACCAAACAACGGCCAGAAGGATAACAGAGTTCCTGCTGGCAGGAACCCTTTTCTGTGTGGACGAGGGTGGTAGATTGTGGTGTCATAAATATTTGCACGCATCGGCATGTTGGGAATTTTTTTGTCCTTAAAAGTCCTCCCAAAAGCCGGTGAATGCATGACGAGGGAGGAGTGTCACTCGCTCCAAACAGTAAGTGCGGCATATTAAATATTTGATGCACTCTGGACCAAAAAAAATCTCAATAAAAAAAAGTGAAATGGGGGAAAATAAAAAGTGAAAAGTGAAAATGGAAAAGGGACGGAGAAAGGGAAAGGGAAAAAGAAAATCGAAAGCAAAAAGGGTTAAAGAATACTTGGAATTTTTGTTGCAGATTGGACTTTAGCCGGAATTACACACACTGCAACGCCTCGCTGCTGGTGAACGACACTCTGGCCATGTCCGGGGATCAGCCCACCTGGCTGAAGCTGCTGCCGCCGCGCCTCCACACCCCGGAGGCGATCCTGAACACCTGGTTGCATTTGGGTGGGGCGCCTCAGGCGCCGATTGGCCTGATTATTGAGTTGCCACCAGCCCAGAGTGGCACTGGATTCACCGGCTGCCTCCATACGCTGAGAATCAATGGCCAGGGTCGTGAGATATTCGGGTGAGTACATACACTGAGAGAAACAGAATATATGACTTGTATATACGATTTGGGCCTCTAATTAAGCCTTGGATATAATGACTTTATTTTAGTTGGTAAATGGAATTTTTCTCAGTGCCTATAACCTCTTACCTCCTTCCATCATTGTATGCCCTCTGGGCATTTTTGGACGGGGACTGGAGAAGCTCAGCTAATGAACAGCTCCCAAAAAGTTACGACTTCTTTGGGGCGAGATGGAAATGGATGGTGTTCTGGATATGGGGACTGGGATTGGGTGTCGTATCTCTGGCCGGAAGGCAGGCCGCTCTTAAATGTTAATGCCGCTTACGGCAAAGAAACGAGAATAAAAAGAAACCATCAAATGGCCGGCACACAAAGTTGCAGGTGGCATACATAAGCCTTTAAGGAGTTGCAGTAAAGAACTTCTCTCGTATAAGCAGATCAAATTAACTCTGCTTACATAAAAAGATAAAACCGGAAATGTCCGGGATTACTGAAATATATAGCTAATAGCTGAAGGCCATAATCTGAATGGTCTTACACGTGTCCCTCATGTGGGCTTGTCAGCCACATAAAAAATAAGTAATCTAATGAGGACTTTAGTCCTCTTCACCTGCTTTAAATTTCTACGATTTTAATTCAAGCCTCTTCATAAAGCCTTCAAGACTTCTTGAGCTCTGCAAGCCCCTTGTAGTTTCTTAGAGTTTCTTTGTCAAAAGAACTTCTTAAACATAAAAGCAATGACCACGGTAAAAGCTTATACTACGTATATATTATGGCCTCTTAACGAGTTTTCACTAAAAGGCAACCGTCAGTGAAAATGCAGCCAAACTCGATGAAAAGGACATTCCACAAGGAGGCTAGAGACGAGGGCCGGGCGTCAGGGAGGGCATTGCGGAAGCCATTCGTCAGCGTGCAACGTTCATAAAAGCTCGCGAGCTCAAACAGATGGCCCAAAAAGCAAGAGGGGGTGGGGGAATGGAGTGGGAGGTCAGGGGCTGAAGTCGGACACATCCTTGTCGACGCGCTGACAGCTGTGGGCTGTTTGTCAAATGGCGCACAAGGATTACAAAAAAGACACACCGTCCGCTGGTATTGACATGTTGAATTAGACGAGCTCATGAAATTAGCTTAGACACCTGACTCATCACCCTTAATACATTTTGTACAGTGAAACAAAACGTTTAGGAAACATTTTAAATAAAACAAAAAATTAAAAATACCTTCAGGCGTAGCCGAAGTTGATATAAAATAGAATATGCAGGATCTTCCAACTTTCTATATTTAAAAACACGAAAGAAGGCTCATTTCCGATAATTCAATTTTATGGCAGCTATAGGATATCGTCCCCTATGAAGCCCACAGTGATGGCTATATCTTTCCCAATTCCTTTCCGATTCTCAAGCGGAGTACCTTAAACGTTTTCTGGATCGATTATCCACCATTCTGCATGAAAATCCTAAGACAAAATATTTTTTCGATTTTTTGTCCATTTTTCGTGATGGGTCTCCTTGAAAATGGGATTTCCCCCTTAGGGTCCACAGTGATGCCTATATCTTCCCCAATTCTTATTTGATTCTCAAGCGGTTTCTCTAAATGATTTCTAAATCGATTCTTTAAAGTATAAAAACAATATAAGCTCAAAGTTCAAATAGTTATGTACTTTTAGAAAGTATTCCTGTTTTGTTTTTTACATTTTTTCTCTCTCTGCAGGGATGCCCTGGATGGATTCGGTATCACTGAATGCGGCTCTTTGGCCTGTCTATCGAGTCCCTGTCGCAATGGCGCCGCCTGCATCAAAATCGAAACCAATGAGGTGGACGAGAACGGCGAGAAGGCGGAGAAGTGGAAGTGCAAATGCCCCACCGGCTACATGGGACCCACCTGCGAGATATCCGTGTGCGAGGACAACCCCTGCCAGTACGGTGGAACCTGTGTCCAGTTTCCGGGCAGTGGATACCTGTGTCTGTGTCCCTTGGGCAAACATGGTCACTACTGCGAGCATAGTAAGTATACTTTGCAGGAGCAGGAAAAGATTATTCAGAAAACTAAATACTTTGGAAAAATAATACTCTCCAAACAGATCTTGAAGTGGCGTTGCCTTCGTTCTCCGGCAGCGTTAATGGACTCTCCTCGTTTGTGGCGTACACAGTGCCCATTCCCCTGGAGTACTCCCTGGAGCTGAGCTTCAAGATCCTGCCCCAAACCATGTCGCAGATATCGCTACTGGCCTTCTTGGGTCAATCCGGCTATCACGACGAGAAGAGCGATCACCTGGCCGTGAGCTTCATCCAGGGCTACATTATGCTCACCTGGAATCTGGGCGCAGGACCTCGTCGCATTTTCACCCAGAAACCCATAGACTTCCGGCTGGATGCTCCGAGGGTTCCCTACGAGATCAAAGTGGGTCGAATTGGACGGCAGGCTTGGCTTTCGGTGGACGGAAAGTTCAATATCACGGGTCGCTCGCCGGGATCGGTTAGCCGCATGGATGTCCTGCCCATCCTCTATCTGGGCGGCCATGAGATAGCCAACTTCAATACTCTACCGCACGATCTGCCGCTGCACTCGGGATTCCAGGGCTGTATTTACGATGTCCAGCTGAAGGCGGGACAGGTGACAGTGCCGCTGCAAGAGACGCGCGGAGTCAGAGGTCGTGGGGTGGGTCAGTGCGGCACCAGAGAGTGCCACCGCCATGCCTGCCAGCACGATGGTGCCTGCCTGCAGCATGGTGCGACCTTTACGTAAGTGATCTTTGATTTCAAGACTATAATATCAAATAATTTAATTAAAATTTTGGAAACCAAACAGTTGCATCTGCCAGGAGGGCTGGTATGGTCCTTTGTGTGCTCAGCCCACAAATCCCTGCGACTCCTTCAACAACAAGTGCTACGAGGACTCCACGTGTGTACCTTTGGTGAATGGCTACGAATGCGACTGCCCAGTGGGCCGAACGGGAAAGAATTGTGAAGAAGGTAAGACTCATTCTTCAAACATCCTTAGGATAATCTAATACTCTATTCTTTCCAAAAGAAATCCGTTCCCTTAGCGATGTATCCCTGACCGGAAGGCGTTCCTATTTGGCCGTTCGTTGGCCATATTTGTATGATGGCGGCGACAAACTGGGAGCTAAGCGATCCCAAATGGTCAGCTACCGAAACTTCACCAAGAAACTAATGCCTCCCAAACCGATCACCACCCCGAGCACCCACTTTGTGATGAAACTATTGAACGAGGTGGAGAAACAGCGCAGCTTCTCCCCAGTGCCACTGATGGGCTCTAAGACCTTTGAGGAGCATCACAGGGTGCAGTTCTTCTTCATTGAGTTCCAGCTCCGGCCACTTTCCGAGCGGGGACTGCTTCTGTACTTCGGAACCTTGAACAACAACCAGGACAAGAAGATTGGATTCGTGTCGTTGTCCCTGCAAGGTGGAGTGGTAGAGTTCAGGATCTCGGGCCCCAGCAACCATGTGACCGTGGTGCGGAGTGTCCGAATGCTGGCCATCGGCGAGTGGCATAAGATCAAGATGGCACAACGAGGTCGCTGGCTAACCCTGTGGGTGGAGGGCAGCGCCTCCTCAGCCCTGGCACCTTCTGCTGAGGTGCTGGTGGAGCCCGACTCGCTGCTCTACATTGGCGGCCTGAAGGATGTATCCAAACTGCCGCACAACGCCATTTCCGGATTCCCCATTCCCTTCCGGGGCTGTGTCCGGGGACTGGTGGTTAGTGGTACTCGTATTGTGCTCAACGAAACTAATATTGTGGGTAAGTAGAATTCTTTTCATACTCTAGTACTGTAGTTTTTTGGGATGAATTCTTAATAATTTAAATAATTGAATTTATAATCTCAAATTAATCATCTTTCTTAACTTTTTTTTTGCAGAATCGCGGAATATTCGGGACTGCGACGGCACCGCCTGTGGCGGGGACTCCTGCGAGTCTGGCGGACACTGCTGGCTGGATGAGAAACTGCAGCCGCATTGCATTTGTCCGGAATACGCCAAGGGCGATCGTTGCGAATATTCGGAGACCTGCAAACTCATACCGTGCAAGAATAATGGAAGATGTCTGCGAAGTGGGCGCTGTTCGTGTCCAAATGGCTGGGGAGGCTTCTATTGCGAGATAGGTGAGTACCAAGAATCAAATAGAATCGCCAAAAAATCAAAGCAAAATCAAAGTCAATGACCTGAGGGTGACTCAGTTAGTCGCCAAGTAAAAAGTGATTTAGTTACAGCTCAATAAGCGTGACAACCATAGCAATAAATCATATTAATGCCGAGAAAAACAAGTTTCATAAATCCTCTTTCGGGTTCAGTTTTCAGTTCAATTCTCGAAAAAATATGTCACGAGTAAAAGTTTTGTTTTCGCAACTCCGAACAGAAGCCGAAATGATTTTATTATTTTTTGATGATCTCTTTTTAAGCTTTTGGCTTTGTCGAGTTGCTGGGCAAACTTGTTTTTCTAAGCCGCGGAGTAGAACAACATTATTATTATAATTAGAAGTAGACAGCAACAGCAAATAGCCATTAACGGCAGCATTTGGATTTCGGATGGTTCAGTGCACAGCGGGGTCAGGAAGTTGGCCGAAAAAAAAACCAAAAAAGCCACAGAAATTAGCGATCTGTGATTCTACTATAAATCTGCATAATAATAATGTGGGGAAAATTACTAAAACGTTGCCCTGATTCTGGCAAATAATTTTTGCTTTATTTGGAATAAAATTTAATAATATTTCCAAAGAAGGGGAAACATTCCAGATAAGTTATAATTAGGTTATTTAAACTCCCATACAATTATTTTTAAATGTTTCCCTTCCCTTTTTTAAAATGACTTCAAGTATCCCGGCTCTAGAATCTTTTACAGACAATTGCAATTAGCTAATCAGTAATTTGAATCTTTTATTGCCGTCCCCGCAAATGCATTATTCAAAACAATAATGACACCAACTGAAACATCAATCAAATGTCTGCAAAACCAGCTTTATTTCATGATATGAAATCGGCAGATGTTTTTTGTTATTTGCTTATCCATCGGATGTTATGCGTTTGCCGATCCAGCTGCCGGCCTTTCACTTATTAGCAAATTGTGAATTAACATGCCACTAGAAAATACAAACACACTGCCACACAAGAGCTGCCACTTGCAGCTAAAATTAAAAATCAAAGAAAATGGGAAAATCCAGGGGAAAACTGGGAAAGCGATGAGTGCTAGAAATGCATGTTCCCGGAAAAGGCAAAAGTCAATATCAAGATCAGGGCCCAGGCACTTTTGTATAGAAAAGATAAAAAACTTACAAGTGGAATGGGAAAAAAGTGAGAGGAAGTGTAGAGAAAATTAATAACCGCATGATAATAAAGATTAATCTTTGCTTGAAGTTCAGGTTCTGAAGATGATTCATGACGAATAACGATACAAAACTGGAAAGCAAGTAATTTAGAAATTGAAAAAAATATGGACAAGTTAAGAAAAAGAAAAGTAATGGAATGAGCTTGTACACAGAAAGAAAAATAATAGTTTTATAAACTAATATAATTTTCTAATATATCACATAAATAGGACTAAAAGATTAATCACCACGTCTAGAACCTGATTAGAAAATGTTATAAAAAAAAAGATAATCTAACTTTAAGTAGAAATAATAGGCAATCGTATATAAACGAGATCAGGGTCTTAAGATGAAGATGAAGATTCAAAAAGCGAAACAAAAGACAAAGACGAACAATGCAGTTGGTGCGGCAAGCTGATGCTGTAATTTAATTATGTATCTCATGCAACATGTTTAATGCAACAACACCTACCTCTCCAACCCCCTTAGTCTAAATATCTTTTTCTATTTTTTTTTTTGTATTTTTCAGCCATGAGCAAACCGACTACGCCGAGCTTCCGTGGCAACAGTTACCTGATCTTGCCGCCGCCGCGAATCCCAATGAAAGACAAGAGGCGCGGCCCCTCCCTCTTTGTCCGCCCCCGCGAAGCCATCCAAGTTTCGCTGAATTTCTCCACCATCGAACCGGACGGATTGCTGCTGTGGAGCGAGCACGAGAGGAATAAATTCCTGGGTCTGGGCCTGGAGGCTGGTCACCTCAAGTTGGCCAGCAATCTGCTGGGCAGCATCAACGACACGGTGAGAGCTCCGGCAAGTGGCTTTATATCCGATGGAGCCTGGCACTGGACCAGTGTCCTGCTAGACCGGACGCGACTGGAGCTCCAGCTGGACGGCGAGGTGATCTTCACGGAGCGACTGCCGGAGAACAGTAGGCCCTCGCTGGCGGCGACCACAACGACACCCACAAGAACAACCACAATAATGTCAAGACGCAAGAATTCCAGCAAAGAGCCAACAATTAGCTACGAGGATGTCTTTTATTTGGGTAAGTCTTAAAATTCAAACTTAAAGTTCCCAAAAAAATGTATTCTACGAAATACATAATAAGACAATCTGTAAGATACTGTATCTGCTCTTATACGAAAAAAGTAAACAAACACAAACAAGGAGCACATCAAAATTAAGCAAACAAAAACTATAAAAATTAATCACTCACCTCACTGACTTTAATTAACACTTTGATGCACTAATTCCACTCACTATAGCACTAAACAATGCTTAGAATTAGTATAAAAACTAGACAGAAACTGAAAACCACTTGTTGAATGTTACGAGTAAATACTGAAAGTGAGAGGGAGAAAGAGATACAGCTAAAGCTGGTCTGCCAACTGGGTGGCATAAAACAGCTGTTACAGCCGGCTTACAGTGAATGTTAAGTGGCCTTTAAGGACAGGCAACTGTCAACAGACTAAAATACATAAAAAGTAGTTAAAGAACCCCAGCAATTTAATAAAAATAGATACAAAATTATTAGTTTATATAAAATAACTAAATTACCATTAAGAGCACGAATCGTTGTTAAATCCCTGTTAAGTTAACGCTCTGTTAATAACAGTTCGATTATAACACATTTTTAGTATAACACTTGTGCTAGCAACCTTACCCAACACTAAAAAATTATTTGAATTGGATTTTATTCATTTACTTTATTTTTTTTCTTTAAAACAGGTGGCTTTCCTAACTTGGACTCGGTAAGCAAACGCACGCAAGGCCGTTTCTACGAACCCTTCAAAGGATGCCTGCAAGACATTCAATTTGGCGCCGAACCCAAAGCTATAATTAGCGACTTCTCGGCATACCAGGGCGAGAACATTGGATCCTGTGATTTGCACGGTGATGAGCCCCTTTAATTGTATAGAAAATGAATAAAGCTAAATCAAAAATCGGTAATATCGAAGCGATTCTGTAAAACATTCAAATATTGTGACTTATCAAGAATCCGATTGGAGAATCTTTAGAAGCAAAAAAAATAAAAAAAAGATAACTACTTGTAAGCCTAAGTGATAAGCGAGTTTATAGAGAAAAAGTAGGGGGGATTTGTCCCTTCTCGGAATCAATATATACACACAGTTTTGGGGCAAAGCTATCGAAAAAAAGACAAAAAATGGAACGTAATTTTGTAAATTTTATAGAAATAAATGAAAAACGAAAGAAAAAACAAAATTTAGACTTAAACCAAGGAGACAAAATGAAAATAAATTTATTGATTTATCAAAACAATACCGAAATTAATACAAAGAAGGACAAACTCTTGAGACAAAATTGTAGCCTAGGATATAAATCTAGAAATTACCAAATACCAGATACAGATATAAACTTCTCTTACGTAAGTGATATTTCATGTGGAATAACGATAATGGAAAACGAACCCGAAAACGACTCGAAACTTGTTTGTATGTAAATTGTTTTTGTTGAGTCAAACTTTTGTTAAAAAAACAAAAGTTTTCTTTTTTGTTCTCTTCTTCGAGCAAAACTAAATTAATTGTGTCTTACATTTCTATAATCAACTATCTACAATAACTGCCCTTGAAAACTTTCTGCCATTTTGTTTATTATTTTTGAAACTTTAATTTAATTATTAATGTTATATTATCTATTGTTTCCTTGTTATCTCTGTCTTTGTACGTTAAATAGCATAAAGCTCTCCTGATTGAAGCCATTTAGTTGCCTTGTAGTAAGTTAGCATATATGTAGCTCTCTTTGATTTCTCTAAAAAAACTAACTAAATATTCTGATACGAGAAAAAAAACCGAAACGGGCATACTGAAAACCTATGCTAGTCACACAATATAATTATTCTTATAAATGGAAAACAATGTAGCAAGAAAGACAGAAACAAAATTATATATACAATACTTATACAATACAAAGAAAAATGAAAAATTGTAACCAAGATGGTAAATTAAGCATGTATTTATTTCGAGAGAAAACTTAATCAGTTATAATTTTAATAAAAACAAAAATGAAAATAGAAAAGTTAATAAACCAAACGGATAAATCGTTTCATTTTACAGTCGAGTATGGTCTTTCAAAATGGCTGACATAAACCGCCATGTTAACTTTTTTCAAAATGGCTGCCGTGCAATTCAATGGCTTTTCCGCCAAGGTTCCACGAAAACCTGAGGGCAACTACCTTGATCACTATCCATTCTTCGCAGTTTAACGTCCTTTCCAAATTTTGATTGAGACAATGGGCGTCCATGTTGGGCACTGACATCCTTTATTCTAATAACTATTGCTGCAAAAACAATGAAACTATTTCATCAACGGAAGACCAAACTTTCCATATACAAAACTAACCCATGTCCAAAAAACATTTGTTTATGTTGATGTCTTCCTTAGCCGATGTTTCCGAAAAGAGTAGGTCATTTTCTTTGCAATACTGCTCCGCCTCTTTGGTGGATACTGCCCTACCTCTTGGCACATCCACCTTGTGGCCTACCAAACCAAGAACCATCCACGTGCCTCTCTAAAACATTCAAATACACTAATTATTGGATCTCTAATGGGGGATAGCAGCTTACTCTTAATTTTAGTTTCACAGCCCATTCTTTGGCCGCATCGTAGCTTTCCCGATCGTGAATATCATACACCAGCAGTGCCCCATGAACCCTTGTATAATTATTTAACAAAATATCTTTGAATCTAGAAATAAGACAAAGTTATAAAAATAAAATATAGCAAATCAAATCACTTTTTCGTTTACCGTTCATGCCCTGCAGTATCGAAAATTTTTAGTCTTACTTTCAGACTTGGATCAGGTATGGTTTTTATTAAAAATTCCACTCCCTCTGAGGTCTTGGGGTTCTCAGGAACGGCATTATTCACATAACGACACATTATGGACGTTTTACCCACCTTGGAATTTCCCAGGATAATCACATTATAGACTGACGTTTCTGCCAACAAATCCATCTTACTGGAGCTCTGATTCGAGATTAATTCAAATATAGAAAACAATACGATCTCAAGCTACGAATATCTGGCTGAGTCACAAAATTTAGTAACATGTGACTACGTTTATTTATATTAAAAATATTACATTTAATGCGTAAATGGGGCTTTTAATAAGGTGGACAATCTTCACTTTTTTATTTATTTTTTTTAAACCAAAGGAAACCATGAGATTTACAGCCTTGATTCGTGATTCTTTCATTGTAACATTTTTGTAATCTGTCTGCGACGTCCCTTTGCCTAATTTTAATTGCTAAAAAAAATAAATAGTTCATAAATACGTAGAATAAAATACCCTTAAACTAACCAATGTCCAAAAAACATTTAGTAATGTTGATGTCCTCCTGAGCAGATGCCTCCAAAAAGATTAAGCCATTTTCTTTGGCAAACTGTGCCGCCTCTTCGGTAGATACTACCCTATTTTCCAGAACATCCACCTTGTGGCCCACTAAAGCCAGAACTATCCATGGGCTTAGCTGAAAATTTCAATATTAATTATACAATCCCAAATTAAGGATTCTGGCTAACCTTTGCTTTTAGTTTCGCAGCCCATGCTTTGGCCACTTCGTAGCTTCTCCGATCGTGGATATCGTACACCAGCAATGCCCCATAAACCCTCCTTCTCATAAACAAAATATCTGCGTAGCTGGAAAAACTTCATAGTTAAAAACTAAAAAAGTAAATGCACTCTTTGGACTTACCGTTCATTTCCCCCCGTAACGCTGATTGTCAATCTCACCCTCAGATGGGGCTCGGGTATCATTTTTGTTAAAAATTCAACTCCCCGCGTGGGTATGGGGTCAATTAAAAATTCTTCATTTACATAGCGCCAAGCTATTGAGGTTTTTCCCACCTGGGAACTCCCCAGAATAATCACATCATAGACCGCCGTTCCAGGTATCAGCTCCATCTTAATTTAGTAAGAAGTACTTAAGTACTAAGTCCCGACTAAATTTAAATAGCGAAAAGCAATACGCTCTAGATGTGACTGGATGTGATTCACAAAAATATCACTCCTTGAAGTCATAATTTTCTGTAGAAAAGATGATCATCATTGGGTCCTCCCATCTGTGGTCAATTATAGAAAGATAAAAAATTGCTCCCAAGCTCATACTGTTTCAAAATATTTCTCTTTCAGCTTTAGTCATTATACCGTGACATTACTCATAAGACCTATAGGATATTATTATCCCTATATGGTCTTCCCATTATATAGACAAGGTTATATTTCTATTCGCTCTTCCAATTAATTACCGCAAGCAATTGTATAGTGAATCATACATATGATTACATACGATGTTTTCATTTATTATAATTTATAAATGTTAAATTTAAATACATACAGACAACATAAAAATTATAAATTGGAAAGGAATAAGCATCGGATCTGATCATAGTTCTCGGGTTTTGCAATACAATTTTTGATCAAATCATAGATGTTTGTGGAACGATTCAAACAAAGTAGATGTTGTGTTTTGTTGTTCGGTTTTTTATTTACGTTTCTTTTTGCATTTTGCATTTATGGTAAAGTATTCAAGATTTATATTTAAGACTTCACGTTACTTCTTTCGCTTCGCTTAATTGCATACTAGATGTAATTTTAAATTTTATGGTTTACGATAGTTTTTTTTGTTTAATTTCCTCTCGTTTATGTTTAAAGATAGTAGCATTAAATCTTCGATCGTTGCTAGAATGTGGAAAAATAGTTCAACGCAATACAAAACTAAAAAAAATTAAAAATTATGCATACTTTTGTTTTTTGTGGTTTTGTTTTTCATTTTCATATGTGTATATATAATTTATATAAATTGCAACTATCACACGTGTCCATCCCACACGACTTCAAGTCGAATCCGTATAGTAATCCATGACCGACCCGGATCCGAGACTTAGAGCCGTAGAGAGACACACTCATTGCCACATACCGAGGCGAGCGAGGATCTTCAGCCGCTGACCCGAACTTTGCTCATTGTGGTGTTTGTTTTTCATTTTTTTTTTTTTTTGCATTTGGAACGCTGCTGAGAACAACTGCAACTGGAATTTTCCTTCATTTAATTCGCTTGGAAACTGACTGAGAAATTCAAAACTTTACAAATATTATTTGCTCGCTCCTTTTGTTTTTATACAGTGCGATTTCAAAACTTTCTACGACACATTGAACTTTGCAAAAACCTTCTGCGCTTTCTCTAAAAGATTTCTTTTATTTTTTTTTGTAATATTATTTGAAATGGTTTATGTCGGTATTATACTGATAGTGTAGCTCAATTGCGGGGCGTGTCAGTTTTTGGACAGATATCGAGTCAAATGGGGGGCGGGGGGAGATATTGAGGTGTGAGGAGAATATGTAACTAACTTTCCGTCATATTGGGGAGGGGCTTCATCCTTTTAACTTTATAATTAATATTATGCGGTTTCTATCATTATTGTTTTTGCCCCATGAGAGAACCGATTTTTATGTACTCTCTGTTATATATTTTTTTTCAGTTAAATTTTTAAATAATTTTTTTATTCATAATTATCAGCATAAACTTTTCAAATCTCTCGTTGGAAATTTCATTTTCTGCAATACACATAACAATTAATTAATAATCTATAAATTACAGAAGTTAATTGCAAGACGAACCTACAAAAGGACATCACTTGCAGCAGTTGTTTGTCGGTCGATTTGTTTCGTTCCCGTTCGGCCTTATGCTGGTTCCCTGATTGTTGGCGCCATCGTTCTTAGGTAGTTTCTTGGCTGCAATTACGAGAGCGATTAGCAAAGTTTCTGCAGTTGTTAGTCGGACAAGTTAATAGCCTACCAATGGCCAAGAAGATATCGTTGACGTTCATGCCTGTCTTCGCAGACGTTTCCATGAACAGCAAGCCGTTCTCCTCGGCATATTGCTTCGCTTCATCGAACTCCACGACACGAATGTTTGACAGATCCGCTTTGTTGCCAGCCAACGCAATAACAATATTTGGTGAGGCCTTAAATAAGTTTAATTTTTGTTTAATATTTATATTTTAAAAAACTCCAACAAGAACTGGCTGCTTGATCAAGGCCCCTCCCAGAAAATTAAAAACAATGGGGTGTGAATGAATGCCGCATTGCCTGGAGTTGAGTTCAGTGCACCCACTGCGAGGGCACTTAATAAACAACAACAAAGACAGGAATTTATATTCATTCAATAACGGAGCGTTCTGCACGAGATTGCATTGACCTTGATAGCAGTGCCAGAAGCGGAAGAATTGAGGTGCACCCATGGATGGATGACACTTACTTGTTTATGCAGTTCCTTGACCCAAGTCTTCGCCCTTTGAAAACTGTCCTGATTCTGAATATCATAGACGACGATGGCGGCCTGCGCTCCCCGGTAATACATAGGAGCTAAGCTGTGGTATCTGTAAGATAAGAACATGTATTGTTTAGATAAATATAATTTAATTTTTAGTTAAAATGAATCATATTTTTCAAACTATATTTTTTGAACATTATATTCCGCATGATTAACTTCAAGTTCCACATGAGTTGTTATAACACAAGATCTTTATCATTCTTCAAACACTAAAGTTATAAAATGATTTGCAAAAAAAGAACTGAGATAATTACCGCTCCTGTCCAGCCGTATCCCAGATCTCGAACTTGACAACAGTGTCTTCTATGCAAATGGTCTGTGTGAGGAAGGCAGCACCTATCGTGCTCTCCTGGTACTCGTGAAACTGTCCCTTGACGAATCGCAGGACCAGGGAGGATTTCCCAACAGCCGACTCGCCCAACAGCACCAGCTTGAATTGGCAACTTTTATTCTGGGAGGTGCCATTTGGTCGCTGCGCTGTTCCGGCGCCACTGGCACCGCCGGTGCGTGGTGAGGTTGCCATGTTCGGATCGGATTAGAGCGGATGCGGATCCTCCTCTGAGATGGCAACTGATGCGTTGGCGTTGTCGTTTGTGGTTACTACGGACGGTTACTGGCTCTCACTCCCTCGGCTGAGTCTGATAGATCGCTGGCGAGTATGTGGATGAGTTATCTGATGGAGGAAGGAAGACATTAAAATAAGTAATCTCTTTTTACAGTTAAAGGTTATTTAATTTCGATTTCTTTCTATGTATTTTTAAAATATAAAAATCATTTTTAAAAGAATTGTATTTCTTATCGTCACAAGTCAATAAAGATAACCTTTGAAGTGTTTAAAAATAGACATTAAATCTACTACATTTACAACTTTCAGCGTTTTGAAAACCTGATTAAGAGATCTATGGAGAGGAAAGCCATTTAAACATTCCCCAAACATTATGAGCGCTGCTGTACAGCGTCAATGAACCACATGGCGCCTTCCTAGCCGACGAATGTGTTGCTTTTAATTCAATAAGTGCAGTAATATGCGTAAAATTGGTGTCATCGTCGGCGACTGCTGGCGATAATCGATAGAGACCGTTGAAAATGAAACCATTCGCCCTATAAAATACTGGCACACTGAATAGGACAGAATCGTATCGAATAACCGGCATCCAAATGTGGAGAAATTAACAAATTAAAATATCATTTCCTGCATTAACCTTGAAAGCATTATCGTTGTTGATATTCAGAAGCATTATCACGCTGATAACTCCCCAGATAATCAAATCTAGCTGCGAGATTAGTTACAAATCCAAGCAGCAACTTTCAATGTCAAAAATCGGACTTAAGGATCGGGCTATAGCTTGAAACGTGTCGGCTTCAAACACCCACAAACACAAAAGCCTAGTTAATTGGCAGTGGAAAACCCAAACAAAGCGGCAACTAAAAATACTTTGGCAAACACAGAGAAGCCTCAAAAATGTAGTATAGGCGCAATTATTGTATTTTTCCCCTTTTTTAGATGAATTACCATAGGAGAATTCACCGAAATTTCAGTCTAGGTCTGGGTCTAGGTCTGGGAAAAGTTTGTTATCATATTCGGCTTAAAGTTTTATTACTTTGCCAGCGGCTACTACACAATTGATAATGTACATACATTCTTTCTGATAAACTATTTCGAGGGCGGGATTTTATTCATATTATTTTGTATATATGAAGAATGTGCTTGTATTCATGCGTATGGCTCTCATTTTACTTGTTATCAGTGGCGACTTTCATGAATCATACGCACCGTTGGCTCAAGGGTTCATTTCTAACTAAATTTCGGCAGAATTAAAGTATTGAGTAACCTTATAGTTCTCTCTAAATTCAAGAGAGAAGCTTCACTTCCATTAATTAACACATCGATGCCAGACTGTACAGTGGGAATACATTCAACGAGATCGTCTGATCGTCGAATCTGACAAACAGCATGCGGGAGTACTGTGTTTACTTTGTGGAAAAAATGTTCTCGAATCCGGGGAGAGGAAAAGAGGGCGGATGCTATGATAAAAATCAATGCAAAATAAATTAAATCGTCTCGGAATGCCAGAAGAAGCTGGAAAGGAATGAGAGAAGAGAAAGTATAGCCGCGACAACTAGTTGTTGCTGTGCAGCGTTATTAAATTAAGGTAGGGGTCAGGTCAGGAGGGGTGGAGAGTGGAGGCCGATAAATATGCAGGCTCTCTTTGGCATTTAATGTGCAATATGCAACCAGTCAACAATTGTTTTCTCTTCTATTGTTTTTGTGGAGGGAGGCCGCCTTTGGAGCTCAGTTGTCAAGCCACAAACAACTAACAAACTCGGGCGGTAAACTTTGCTCTCTTCACTCTACAAAGCGCTCTCCAAATTGCAATAAAAAATTTCACCGACAATTGCCTTCTTTTGTTGTTGTTTTTTAGACTGACGTACATATTTTTTGGCGGCGCTATAAAAATTCTCACTTAAAAATCCATTAAATCCGAGCTCCAAAATGTAAATCCAAAATTTTCCATTAGTAATGAGCAGCTGGTAGGCTGAAACTCACCCACAATTAAAATACTTTGCTTCTTATTGAGTTAGAAATTGAATTTAAAGACCCTACTACACAAAGGTCTGGCCTTGGTGGATGTCTGCGGAAAATTCAATAAAATAAAAAACAACGTACGGCTCAGTTGAGGAAATTACCGTTCTTGGTTCTTTCTGAACAGCTGACGATGCGTCATTCACACACCCACAACAATGGCCATTTATTTAGATACGCAAGTTGCCAAAAAAATAAACAGGAAGCCAGCTATCTACTGAATTACTACCAAAATTTGATGTAAAATAAAGAATATTTCCCTCAGTGCAGAGTTTCTGTATGAAGCAAAGCAGGGTCGGCCCATTTGTGTGCCCTGGAATGTGGGATTGTCTCACTCGTAAAGTCAACAAGTGCAATTTTCACAGCACGCATTTCAAGTATGTTGAATTAATAATAAAAATAATAGTATTTCCTCCCTTCCTTTAATATCAAGAGTAAGCAAAATAGAAACATTAAATAAACAAATATGTAAAAAATGATGCGGTTGCAAGAAGATGCGATTTTGTTTACATTTGGGGATACTAAGGAAAGTTGAAAGAGAGAAAAGTGGGGGAGTTTTGGTGACTGGCACGATAAGAAACGGGATTGCAGATAAATACACACACACCGACACACACAGAGGCACTGTGACACATTAATTAAGACGCAAAATAAGCTGAACAAAGAACCGCATCCCTCACTCCGTCCAGACGGCTAAAGCCCCATTATTATTGGAGGTGATAAAGGGGCCAGTTTGAAACCGAACTGAGCTATTCCATTTTGCCTTCATACACCTGCATTGCAATCTTTTTTTTTACATTCAACTTTGGTAAACTTTGAACCACTGTGGACTGCAGTTGGAGCAGGTCATACGGCCGTCTCGCTCTACCGCCCGCACTCGAGCCCCAACGCACCCAAAAATTCAGGGCCAGCTATCGCGCTCGCTCTCTAACTCGAACTATGGCGGACGGGGGAGAAAAAATTTTACACAACTTTCTTAATTAATGGGGGGAAACAACAACGCAAAAGCTCCCGATTACGCACTTTTAACTTTGCACACCGACTTTAAAATCCTTTGGGATTATACAGACAGTTGATTATTGCGTTTTCACGGGCGTTCTGGTCCCCAAAACGGCCCCAATAATGAAGAAACGAACGACCGCAGAGGGAGATAGATAGCGACTGACTGACTCGCTTCCTGGCCAAGTCTTGTTTTTGTCGATTTCCAGGGCGACGTCACCGCTCTGGGGCGTTGCTTCTGTTTTTCGTGTCCGGGGTCCACAGGATAATTTCCTGCTGTATTTATCACTCTACTGATAATTTATCCAGTTTTATCGCTAAACTTACAACTTTCTACCACTTGCAATTTTATGCATAAAAAATCTTGAAAGTGTTACCGTGGGGGAACAAATTAAAAATACCACAGCAGTATTTACCAAAGAAAAATGGCAGCGCTTGTCAACTCTGGATTCAGAGTTTCCCCTTGTCAAAGAAAATATATTCTTCTTTTTGAAACATGTTTAGAAACTGCAAACTTTTTCTTTCAAGTTCTATTAAATTTACAGTCTAAAATTTGTGTGGACAAATGTGTCTGTTAGTTTTATAAAATACAAAAATCTGCGGTATTTTTTCACAGTACTGACGTCACTGAATTTAAATAGATATTCAAGGAAAAATCGAGCTCAAAAAACAAACAGCTAAAAGGAAATATAAATTAGATCCAAAATAATTAGCTGGAAACAATAAATTCGCCTAGACATTTCATTAAAAGAATGGTATTTGAAGTGTGACTGTTGTGTTAAAAAGCTTGGCTTGGTATTTTGCACTACGGTCACACTGGTCACACAAGTAATAACATTGGGAGAGATACAAGTGAAAAGTAGAAGAAAAAAAGTTAAAAATTTAGACACGGTTGAAATCGAAGCGAAAGGCTCGTGCAAGTAAGCCGAGCAATAGACGTAATCAATTCGGTGATTGGTTGAGAAAATGTTTGACAAACAGTAGATTTCCAACCGCGTCCTTACATACTCCCCACACACACACACACACTCACACGCGAACGCGATTTGCCATCGTAGCTGCGCCTCCTTTCACGCACACCTTTGAACGGGCATCGCAGTTTTTTTTTTGTCGCAGCTGCAACGCAAATTCCAAAAAGGATTCGCAAAAACGATCGGGATTATCTTGGCTTCGACTTCAAGGCGGCTGGCTAACCGCAAAGGTGCGCAAGTTTAGCATAAAGCTAATCAATATTGATTTTGGTTTTCGGTGTCTCTACTTTGGGTTAGTGAAAAATAGAAAAAATGGTGTACAACTCTTTGTTTTTAAGAAGGATCCTTAGTTTGAGGATGGAGCTATTTTTTTGCTATCCTACAGCTCTTAACATTTTGTTGGTGGTCGCTACCAGCTCCCTCCCTCCCATATTATATAAACTTCATCTCTTGAAACATATTTCTTTTTTCTCCGCAGATGGCTTCCAACTGATGTTCTGATGTTCTAGGGAGTTTGCCTGGTTTCTGACCCAGAGTGTAGGGTCGTTCGACACTAGCATGTTCACTCCCATCAAGAAGATATTCACGTATATACAAAAAAATGCCAGCGGCTCAAACATGTTCAGTCCACAAACGAACACTGCAGGCCAAAGGGAAGCCGGAGCTTCCGACCCAACTGCCCACGAAGAAGGCGCAGAAAGAGACCAGATTGGAGACCGGGAGGATGAAAGCGGACTAGATCGAGATGAGAAGAGGCAGTTGCTGATGCAGCAACAGTTGGTGGCCGACGACGAGTTCGACATTGAGCGACAGATCAAGACCTCAATTATTGATGCTACCAAAGTGCATGCGGCCAAGGCAAAGGCAATGGGTACTCTCCCTCTGCCGCTGGAGCAGCTGGACGACGAGCTGGCGGACTTCGCCCACGGTCCAGCCGATCCCGAGCTCGAGGAGCAGTTCCTGGAGCTCGATAACTTTCCGAACAATGAGATTATTGTTCTGAGCGATGCGGATCTAAATTCTTCAATAGCTTCGGATGCCGTCTCGGAGGATCCGCTGGCTATCGATAATATTCTGGACTCTTCCTCGGTGACCACAAACGAAGAGGCTGACACCAGTGGCGAATTACTTTGGCTAAAGCTGGACAACGAAAAGGAGATAGCTCCGAGTGCAGCAGAAGCCACCAGTTCCGGACAGCCACCTCAGGAGCCCGCTAAGCAAGTGAAAACCAAGGAAGACGAGCTAAGGGATGGCGGCTCGGATTCTGGCCTAGGCAGCGAAACGACCGCTTTGGTGAAAGGTAAACCGGATAAAGAACCCGAGCCGGAGCCAAGCGATCCGCAGGAAACCAAACCAACAAGATCCAATCTCAAACGGAGATTGGAGGACAACGAGAGCGATGTTATCGACTTGCCCGACATGTCAGCTCAACCTGTGGCGTCTCAAAAGCGAGCCAAGCGCTCGATAAACTTCGATCAGGTGAAGGTCTACTATTTTCCCAGGCAACAGGGCTTCAGTTGTGTGCCGACAGCTGGCGGATGTACCCTGGGTATGGGTGCCAGGCACGTAGCTTTTAAAACCATGACTCTCGCGGAGCACGCGGCGGAGTTGAGGCGAGCACATCGTAACCAAAATCAGGATCTGCAAGCGCGCGGCTCGAGCAGTGACGACAGCGAGGAATCTGAGGAGGATTACTTGAGCGAGGGAAGTGGCTCTGATGCGGACGATGGGTCCAACGGCTTCCTGCAGCCTGTGACCCCGAAACAAAGAAGAGCTCTCCTCAAAGCGGCCGGGGTACGGAAGATCGATGCCAGCGAGAAAAGCGAGTGCCGGGACATCCGGAACTCTCGGGAGGTTTGCGGCTGTTCGTGCAGGGAGTTCTGTGACCCGGAAACCTGCGCCTGCAGCCAAGCTGGAATTAAATGCCAAGTCGACCGGGCCATGTTTCCCTGTGGATGCACTCGCGAAGCTTGCGGAAACACTGTCGGACGCGTGGAGTTCAATCCCACCAGGGTGCGCACTCACTACATTCACACGGTTATGAGGCTGGACTTGGAACAGCGTCAGGGCTCGGTGCAGGGCATACAAGGAGGACACCTCCAACAGCAACAACAACAGCAGCAGCAGTCGCACCAGGCCATGAGCAGCTATTCGCCCGTGGGAACAGGCAACGCCGCATCCACGTACTTCCTGCAAACACAATCCAACTACAGTTCGGGTTACGCCTCGCCAGCGTACACGCCCGAAAGCAGCGTGAGCTACTACCAGCAGCAGGTGCAACAGCAGCAGAGTCCTGGCAACACGACAAGTGCATCGCAACAGACGCAGACGCAGGGATACGCGACCTACGGCCAGTTGGACAGCCTGGACTCGGGCCTTTTCGCTAGTGGAAGCAATGCCACACCCTCCTACGGAGAGCTTTATCAGTCGCTCAGCTACGGTGGCGCTCAGGTTGGTGGGGAATATGTTTCGTGTTTAATTAGTTAGATCCTCGTCTGGATTTGGTCTGGACTTTGTTATAATTCCCGAATAAACTATTGTTTTTTTTATAATCCTATTTAGATAACGTCCTATTCGGCCACATACCAATCACACTCATCATCATCAGCAGTCGTGGCTGCAGCCGCAGGAACAGTTAGCTCCTGTGCCTACAGCTCGTGTGCTGTACCCTCGGCCCCGCCGTACGGAAATGCCACCACAACGGCATCCAGCAATGCTCCCTATCAGACCACCGCCGCCTCTATGACCGCAGCTTCGACCCCCGCGCAGTCGCGTCTCATTGGAAACCCCACAGCCACTGCTGCCTCGACCTCGCCAGCCACCGGTACCGCTTCCTCCTCTTCTTCGGATTTTATCAGTCTAAGCACACCGATCGCCAGTTCCTCGCGTCTCTCCCAAATCAATGATCTGCTGCAGCACAATCGCAACACCACCGCCGCCTTGGTGGCAGTGTCCGAAGAATATAGTGGTGGTGGTGCTGTGCGATCCACCGCCGGTGCGACAACCGTCGACTCCATTGACACGCCGCCCATTGTCGAAGATGGCCAGCGGGGTTGCATGTCGTTTGAGGGCCTGCCGCCTCCTCTAGTAACGCCCGCGCCCATTGTGGCCGTTGTGGAAAGCAAATTGCCTCCAATGACCACGTTGCCTCTGCCGGCCGCGGCTCCGGTGCCGCCATCTGCCCCACAACCGCGCCAGCCGCTCGATCAGCACCATCAGTCCATTGGGGAGTCCTCAAAAATATCAGGGCTTGTGGTGGGTCTAGTAGGTACAAAATATTATCGATTGAGGATTCTTGGGTGTTGTTGTCTTGTCTTAAATACCCGACGAATATAGTGAATTTTATTTTTTAAGAAACAAGATTTAAAATGAAACATTCCCATTTAAAGTTCCTTTTTGTTTAAGTTCTCTATTCTTTATTGAGTTTCATGTTTATTTTTCAAAAAGTTTATTGTTCATTGATGATTTGGATTATAGTTTGCTTCATAAATTAAATTATCTTCTAAGACATAATATCCAGGAATTATAGATCGATAGTGTTTGTCCTATTTTTTCAAAGAAAGATCCACCCCCTGCTGGAAACTCGAGGATCAATGTAAGAGAGAGAGAGATAAAGCTGGGATAGTTTTTATAGCAATTTTATACAGCAAAAGACTTCATTACGTTTAAGGCGGCGAGGGGCGTGGCACGGATGACGGAAAAGGCAAATCAGGGGCAGGAATCAAAAACAGCACTTCCCCGAAATCGGGAATCGGGAAATATATCTTCAGTAGCGGCAAGAGCCGGAAAAAAAGCTCGAACCGTATTGTAAAAATTTTTATTGTTAAATTCTAATTAGTCTCTAAGTGCAAAATGTAATTTAGTTACTTTGTTGCTTAAGTTATGTTTCTTCCGCAAAAACAACAAATTATATTCTTACTAATTATACCTCTATATATTTTTTTTTTGGATCGAAATCGAACAAATTGATTGCCGTGTTTTGAAAACAAAATCAAATGGAAGAAAATTATATATTTAATTAGCTGAGAGCACTAAAATGTTTTTTTAACCCAAAAACCCAAAACTCTGTGTGTCAAAATCTGATTTGTATTTTGTATTTTTGCATTTAGTTGCAAAGCCAATCTGATTACGTTGTTTTTTCAATTCGATTGTAGCTGAGCCTTCGCTAGGATTAGATTAAATGCGTTAGCTGCGTTTTAAGTATTCTTTTAGCCACTAAGTTCCTCATTTCTGACCAGACCCATAGCGTATTAGCCTTAATGATACAACAATTGGCAGCAACCGGATAAATAGAGCCTAAAATAGTGGACATGATTTAAAAATATGTATATGAACCACAAAAGCATAAAACTTCAAAAACGAAAAGTAAAAAAAAACCATTGCAATTATTTAAATAAATATTGAATACAAAATAGCCCCCAACCATAACTAATTGATTTGAAATCGTTCAGGTAAATATTATCCACCGTATCGATGTTATTTATAAATATAATTCTTTATTTAAAACTAATTTAAGCTAAAAGTCCTCGAAGGTAACGCCTATCTGACGCCGTATCTCATCGCAGATGGCAATCAGCTCCAGACTCTCGGCGTGCGTGAATTTGGGACTCTCCAGCAGACGCTTCTCGATGCAGCGACGCACCTCCTCCGCCTCGTACCTCAGGCCGCAGGTGTTGGTGTAGTGGAAGTCGAACTTGGCTCGCGGCAGGGGCCAGGACTCGGGCGGTCCGTTCGAGCGGGCCATCTGGGTGCAGCACCAGTAGTTCGACAGCTGCAAGTCGTACAACGTGTGTGGCTTAGACAGATGCGCACCGCACTGATAATCCCCCGTGATCCGTCTGGACCGGATCAATAAAAGCCCCCTGATAAGCTCACCTTAATCTCGCCTTTGGTGCCCGTAATGACGGCGTCGTTCTCCAGATTCTCTAGACCCGTGACCAATGCCACCAGTCGTCTGCCATCGCCGTAGTCGAGCATGAACTCGCCCTGGACATCAATGCGCTCCTTGTTGAGCTGCGTGCCGCTGGGCAGGATTTTCACTGGCGAGACCCCAAACACAAACTGACCCAGCTGCAGGGCGTAAATGCCAATGTCCAGGAGTATGGAGCCGCCCAGAGAGCGACTGCAAACCCGCTCCATGTGGGCCAAACGAAAGCCGTGCTGGATCTTCACTTGGGTCACCTCGCCAATAGCATCTGCGTTTAGGAGCTCCCTCAGGCGTTCGTAGCTGGGAAAGAAGCGAGACCACATCCCTGAAAATCGGTTTGGATCATTAAATAGAGTACAAAGTAGTCCTAGTCAAGCGCACCTTCCATCAGGAACACTCCCCTCTGCTCCGCCAGGGCATACAGCTCCTTGGCCTGATCCATACTGAGGCACATGGGAGTCTCGCAGAGCACATGTTTCCCTCTGGCCAGCATCAGGTGGACTACCGCGTAATGATACGGATTCAGAGTGCCCACGTAAACCACATCAACCTCCCGGTCCAGGGCCAGGGCATCGAAACCATCATAGTGCCTCGGGATCTGATTGCGCTGCGCAAAGTCCTGAGCCCGCTGGCCATCCACATCAGCCACGGCCACCACTACATGACAGGACTTCTCGACGGTCGCTAAGGCTGTCACAAAGTCCTGTGTTATCCTGCCCGCTGCCGCAATACCCCAGTTTAGAATAGTCTGACTTTGCATCATGATTCCTGTCCAGACTGTTTATATATGCGCGGTGTTCGGTGTTTTCGAATCGAGTCTCTCTCGGGCTCGTGTCCGGGGTGCTACTGACGGCATGATAATACCAAGTGCCCGTCCCGAGGGTCTCCTATCAGTCCCTGGCATCTGCATTCATTGCACTTTTCGTACTGAATTGCATTCCGGTTGATAAGCGAACCCACACTGGCGCTATATTGGTTACAATTTTCTAGAATCGATGATCGGGAGGAACTAAATATTGTTTAATATCAGTACTAAATAGTTTCAAAATCATTATAAACGAGGTCGGTCTTAAAAGTTATAGGAGTTTTGGAGGTTTTTTTGAAAATACATTATTTAATTGATTCAGGATATGTTTTCTCTAAGGATTATATTTAAATGTATATAAATGTAATAATATTTTTAAAACCCTTAAAGCTACAAAAAAACATCTATTTTTGATCCATTATTTGGAATATCAGAAACTGAATACTGAAAAATTAATACTTTAATACTTTGAATACTTTGAACAGAAATACATATGTAAAATATATTCATAAATGGTATAAAATATACAAAGGTTTACTTCCTTGGGATTTATAAATAAAATTCAGTAAGTATATAAGTTATAATAGTTTTAAAAAAAGTAAATGATTAGAGCTCACATAAGTAAATACAAATAATTATAATTAAATGCTAATAATATTAATCTGAAAGATGTTCCATAAGAAACATATTGATAATATCTTTCCAAATATCCTTGGACACTGTACCTAAATAAATCATAAATCTAAAAATCTAAATAAACTTTTTAAGCCCTAGAACCTTCAAAATGTGATTTCATAATTTAAGTTAATACCTATTTACGTTATTTACTATCTTTCTCATTAAAAAACATGACAAATTCGCAATTTACTGATCATAATGTTGATACATTCCCGTATTCGAAAACTCTCGAGGCCTTGAGAGAGCACTACGAATACGTAATCAAGCCAAAAGCTATTTCGTAATTGATTCTTATCTCCTTCAACTGGGACGAGCCCCTCTTTTTTTGAAGTCCACCAGAAGATAACGAATATTGTTAAAAAACTTAAAATGGTACAGTTGTGTAGAAAGCCTACAAACTATAAAAATAGATTAAAATAGATAGATTAAAAAATAAAAGCTTCCACGAATTTCCTAATACTATTATGGGTTATAATAAATTAAAACTATATACATAGATCATCGTACATAAACCATTCTAAACTTTGTTTTCTATTAGAATTTTTTGGCTAGACTACTAGGTGGTAATCTTGATGGCAGATAATGGAACAGGAACCCCTAAAAGACCCGGAGATAAGAGGCCCCCTCTCGCTTACCAGGCCCCTAAATTAAAAAACTCACATCACGCAGTGGAAACGTGATCAATAAAGTGTAGATTCGAATATTTTGCCATGTCATTTGCTTTAGTAACGCCCCAACAAGAGTTTTGACCTAGTGGGAATGTCATACGTAGCTGGACTTGAATCTTATCGCTCTGTTTGTCAATCCTTGATTTAGAGGGTCTAACAAAAATGCATATATTGAGAGGGGTATTTTATAAAGGAGAGCTATTCATAAAAAATATTAAAAGAATTATTTGTGGTTTTGCTTCTCGAGGTTCCAGTTTATAAACCTTACGTTCCAAACTCTTTTAAAAAGAAGCACCACCGACTTTAATATTTATAGTTTTATTATAAAGACTTTTATTTATTATGCTTATTATTTTATAGATTCTATACATTTATTCCTCATCGAACTTGTTGAGGACTCCGATCTGCTTGCGGATGGTGTCTTCGATTTCTGCGAAGAGCAGACTGTCGGCGTAGGTCACGTTCTTGTTCTCCACCTCGCCAGCGAGGATGGACTGACGCACTGCCTCCGCCTCGTAGCGCATGGCCTCCGAGTTGGCGTAGTTGGTCTGGTACTTGCCCTTGGGCGGCAGCCACTCCTTCTCCTTGCCATCAATGTCGATCAGTTTGTTGGGAGTCCAGAAATCAATCAGCTACAAAGTTAAATATATATGAGTACTAGAGTTTTAAGATCAATAGCGATTAGATTACTTACAGTGACCTGTCCTTTGCTGCCCTTGATGACGGCGGTGTTGGAGAGCTTCTCCTTGGAGGAGAAACGCATGCGAGCGGTGCGTCCACCACTGTAGGTCAAGGTGGCGCTCACATCATCGTCGATGCCTTCGGCGTTGAGGGAGCCCTTGGACTCGATCTTCTGGGGCTTCTCCTGGAAGGCCCACTGCGACGCCTGGATGGTGTAGATTCCCAGATCGTAGACCACACCGCCTCCCAGCTCACGTTTTCTAAGGTAATCAAATATTATATTATTTTTAAAAATTTAAGGCATTTAATATTTTGTACTTACTGCAGACGATCCACATGCTCCAGAGGGAAGCCAAAGTTAACCTCCACATCCTTGATTTCGCCGAGCTGTCCGCTGGAGATGAGCTCCTTGACACGCTGGTAGGATGGGAAGAAGCGAGACCACACGGCCTCCATGAAGAAGCGCTTGTTGGCCTTGGCGGCGGCCAGGATTCCCTCAACCTGCTTCTTGTTCATGGCCAGAGGCTTCTCGCAAAGGACGTGCTTGCCATTGTTTAGCATGAGGACGGCCACCTCGTAGTGCTGGGGGTTGAGGGTGCCAATGTAGACCACATCTGGGAAAGAAAATCATATCCCTATTGATTTGGACGTTCAATTGGTGCTGCCTCTTTTGAAACTCACCAACATCACCGCTCTTGGCCAGAGCCTCGTAGCTTCCCAGGGCAGTGGGGATCTCGTGCTTCTTGGCAAACTCCTGGGCACGTTCCAGAGAACGAGCAGCAATAGCCTGGACCTTGTGGTCGGTGGAGGGCAGGGTGCTGAGGGCGATGACAAAGTCCTCGCTGATCTTTCCAGCGGAAGCGATTCCCCAACGGATCAATTTCGACATATTGCTGATGTTTCTCGGTTCGGTGACGGACTGCGAATGAATGAAAAGCCGCTAGAATTGTTATTAAATACATCTCTGAAAACAAGTACATGGAGCTATGAAGTACTCCCCAAAATCAGAGAGAGAGAGAAACCTCCTTATCAGCTGGGGGAGCATCGGACCCTATCAAGCACTTTACCACAACAGGTTTATCTTTCTCCGGGTAGTGTTTGAAAGCCAATCGGCTAGAATTATTTGTATTATTTCACAACGTTATTGAGTTTGACCTTGTTGGTGGGCTACCTGAGCGATTTTGGATGTGCCACCTGTGGGAATTCAAAGTTATCGTTCGATCGAACGGGCCTCTCTTTGCTAGTAGTTTCCTTAATATAAAAAAAAAAAATAAAATACTTGTCACGTAGATAAGCTTAAATGACGTTAGAGATAGGCATTTACTGAAGGATAGGGTTCTAGTTTTTAAGAAATGTTTTTGTTTTGTTAGTTTAAAATTTTGTTTATTGGAAAAAGTTATTAGTTTTTGTAAGCTATAGGTTTAATTTTCCAGTGCCCACAGTATACTCTGACAGTTTCCCTGGAATAATTGCAGTTGGTTCTTTGTTTATTTTAGTATTCAAGTAGCAACAAGTGCCTCTACCAATTTTTTATTGATCACTTGTGCATTTGTAATTATTTTTCCCTATTTATCGCAGCTTATATACTAAATGGAGACTATAAATAACCTTGAGAATCTAACTAGCCGGCTCGGTTTTATATATTTTCCTAAAATATTTATCAAAAACTAAACTTTTTTTTTGCAACAAACTCCCCTAAACTTTGTTTTTTCTATTTGTTTATGTAAAAAAACATACTTTAAAGTTGTGGCAGAACTAAACACTTGGATAAAACTTTCCACTGTGTTTTTTTTTTATGCGCGACAGTTCTATTTATAAACTTTTTTTAATAAACTAATGGCATCCACCCGACAAAAGGTACATTTTCACTATGAATAGCTTTTCATTATAGGGGTAGGTGTCTCGGCTAAGCACATGTGGTCAATCAGCTGTTTTGTGTTTCAGACTTTCTTTCTCCCAGCTGACTGCTTACTTTTATTTACAAAATGCTGAGAAAAGTATTATTTAATGTTAGAGTTGTATTAAAACAACAAAATCAGGTAAGTTTTCTTGTGAATATAATTATATCATACTGATACAAAAGATTTATTTTATAGTTCCACCGCGCCAAACACCTGGCCACCCCAAAGATTTTGCAACTCGAGCAAATCCATATCAATGAAGCTATTAAATTGGAACCCACATTATCCATTTACTCCCCCGAGATTTGGCGGCGGGCCCACGAAACCTTTCAAAATCATGGTCTGGAAACTGTGAACTTCCTGAGAATCGTTACGGGAAATCCTGCCGTGCTGAAGCGAACACCGGACAAAATTATAAACAGCCTGGAGATTTGGCGGGCTTGTCAATTTGGAGAGCATTTGCTCCACCTGCTTCTTACAAAATACCCAGAGCTCTTGGACATTACCGAATCCCACCAGCTGCTGGAGCACATAGCCTTCCTGAAAAGTCGCGTCTCCACCAGTAAAAATGTATGGAAACTTCTGATGAATAGTCCAGATCTGATTGCTCAACCGGAGGAATCGCTGGAGGAGAAACTAAATTACATCATAGATGTAATGCGTATTGAAGTTCCCGAAATTGTCAAATCCGCTGCTTTAACATTGCCCTTCGAGGAGATTCGCTGTCGCCATCAGTTCCTTGTTCGATTGGGTTTGTTCAAGCCTCGTCCTTTAAAGGCAGATCCTAATGAGCCCACGACTAACCATAAGCTATACCAGATTACGGACACATCGGAGAAGTCCTTTGCTACCAAAATCTGTCATGTTACTTTGCCGGAGTACGAGGCTTTCAAGGAGCTCTACGCCAAAGAACTGCAGCGTAAGAATAAAAAGTCAAAGGACGAGGAGGAGTTCAGTGATGAGGATGACTAGAATTTAAGTGTTATAATATGTCCTTTATATAAATATAAAATTTATTTCTTGGATGCCTTGGAATTTTCCTCTCATTGATAAACTGTTAGGCGGGGAAATTTTAAATTTCTTTCCAACAAACCTCAAAGGACTATTATCCTTCGTGCGACGTGTCCTTTTTATCAATAGTTCCATCTCTATGAACCTATCATATCATTGGCCATTTGCAACCAGGTGGCAACGCAGCGGCGCCGATCTGGCAACTGTAGTTGCGTTTAGACGACAAATAGTTCGCTGAAATTAAAAAGAAAACAAAGCAGTCGAAATGGAAGTGTGTTAGCACTGATGTAAGTCATTCGAAAATAGCTCGGCGTCGGAGTGAAATCGTTTAGCAGGTTTTCAGAATTTGATTTTATTTGGCTTTTCAATTCAATCGTGTGCTTTGTTTGTGTTGCATTGGTGTGGGTAAGTGTGAGTATGTGTGCGTGTGCGGTTCGGTGCGTTGGTGTGAGTACTTGCGCATGTATGCGCAGTTGTCAAAAACAGCTGATTCGGTCAGTCGAAGAGTGGAGCGTAGTGGGTGGCAGGGGGTGCCCAGCCAAGGCAAGTGATTAGGAAGCGCTCGGGTGCGGGGGTTCGCACTCACCTGTAAGCTTTCGCCAAAAATGTGTGGAAAAACTTTGGAAAACGAAATTATTGAAATTCTCCAAAGGACGCCATTACGATGAACTGTCAAACGGTTTCTGACAATCAATGACTCAGGACTTTTCTCCTGACGTTTTTGCGTCCACTTTCATTTCGGGCTAGTGACTTGCAACGCAATAAAGGAGGAATTGAACGACCCTATCGACATTTTTTCAGGATCATCAGCTGTGTATGTTGTTTTTCTGTTTGTAACGGTATTGTTCGAATAAAGTGAAAGCGCTTTCTTTTTGTTTAAAAATGTGGGTAGAATTTTAAGGACTTTTTTTATGGTTTGGAAGATAAAGTTCAAAATAAAACGACATATTCCTCTTATCGTATAATCCTCCTCCATAGATGTATGCTCATTTAAGGATTTTATCCTCAATCTTCTATCCTAGCTTACTTTTTTTTTACTTCAAGGATCTAAAACTCATTTTTTGTTGCCTATTTTCAGCTGTTATTTGGGGCAATTTTGCTCGTATCTCTACCAATCCCCCGATCCTAAAACTTGAGTTATTTGTGGCCAAAATGCCTCTTAACGATATGGCCACCTCCGCTCCGGGCGTCTTCTCGGAAAATGGCACCGTCAAGCATGCTAAGCAGAGCCTGGCGAAGCCGGAAATATCGGCCACTTCAAATTCCAATATGGGATCGGGGTCTGGAGCTGGAGCAGGGGTATCACTGTACGCCCTGCAGGGTCAAAAGTGGCAGCAGGTCTTTGACTTGGACAAGGTCATTAAGCAGCTACGCACCGCCGAGAAGACGTACTTGCGAGGAGGGAAGAACGGCTTGTCTGGCGGATCCGGGGATCAGCAGCACCAGAACCAACAACAACAACTGCAACAGGCCAAGGTGCAGGTGCAAAGACTCCAATCGGCAGACATGGCCTACTATGACCTGGTCCCAAAGCTGGCCACCCGCGACATTGTACTTTGCGGCTCCTGCTCGGGGAGCTACACAAAAGCAGGCTTCCAGCATCACATTGCGTTACAGCACCCGAGCGTATGGGATGCCACATCCAACAAGTTGAATCCAAACGCTAGCGGGAACCTCCTGTCCAGCGAATCGCGACTCACTGCCACGGAAAACAGTCAGGAGCCTGGGGGAGTCGGTGGCAGTGGTGGGATCGTGCCCAGCTCTCCCACAGACACCCTATCCGCCTCAACCCTATCCAGCTGCTCGAATGGCTCCAGTAGTTCGGTCTCGCTTCAGAACCAGAGCGTGGGTACTTCCTCCTCCACCACCTCCTCATCGTCGTCATCGTCACGTCACAAAAGCAGCAGTAGCAAGAGTAGTTCCTCAAAAGGCAGCAGCAGCACCTCCGGTGGGAGTCGTGCGCGCTCGAAATCATCGAAGAACCGTCATCACTCTTCCCCGGCTCCGGCCCCGGCGTTAGAGTCCAACCACAAGGACTCCAATGGCAAGGGCTCGAAGAGAGGAAGCGGGAGTGCCATAGCAGCTCCACCACTTGCTGCAATCAAAGAAGAGCCCCTTAACGCAGGCGCTAATTCGGCCGCTGCTATTACTGTGTTTTCCTCCTCCAGCAACTCATCCTGCAGCCTGCCACCGACTCCTACGATAGCAGCGTCAAGTGACATGACCCTGGGAGTCAACTACTCACCCGCCCAGCTCCAGACGGAGACAGAAAAGCTGCCCGAAATACAGCCTAAGAAAAAGGTACGACGGGTTTTTATGGTCTTTCGATTACCTACATTATCCCTTTTCCTTAATCCTGTCTAAATCCGAACCATCCTTAATCCAATTCGCTTGAAGTTGCCTCATAAATGTCGCCGACTTTCTCTTTCTGAAAATATATATCTGGAATATATTTTAACCTGCTCCTTTTTCAGCTGAAGGGATCCAGCGACCATCGAACAAAAACCGAAAAGGAAAAGAACAAATCGAAGAACTTGAGCCTTTCCTACGGGCAACAGCAGCATGTGCTCAGTGAACTGGACCAGGCTGTTTCTTCCATCACGGGAGCGGAAGCGGAACAGGCTACTCCCGATGATGAGGAGCTGCCTCTGCCAAACACCTCCGACGAGAATTCCATTTCCCAGACGCTCGATGAGATGCTAGATAGCAAGCTGATCAACGAGATACTGAACAACTTCGATGAGAGCGAACTAGACACCGCCCAGCAGCAGCAGCAACAGCAGCCGCCGCAGCAACCGTCACAAAACGGCGCACTTTCACATCCCGCACAGGCCACCAAAAGACTACGCTACCAAGATGGAACGATTTGCGCGGAGACTGGTGAAGATTACACCATCTATCAATCACAGGTGCAGCCGGAGGGGCAACAGGTGTATACCACCGGCGAGGAGGATCCGCAACAGGGACTTACTACTATCGATGCCATGCAGCTGCAACAGCTCATCTACCAGCAGCAGCAAATGCTGGAGCAGCAGCAACAACAAGAGCAGCATCACGGGCAACAGCAGCAGGATCAGAAGTTGCAGGATCCGGATCAGCAGCGTCAATTCAGTGTTTACAATGTGCAGAGCATTGCGGATGGGACCCAGCAGCCACAGCAGCAGCAGCTGGAGGAGCATATGATCCTGCCGAGCATTATTTATGAAATTGCTGATGGCAATTCGGTTTCAATGCTGGAACAACAGAAGGTTCTGGCGGAGTTCCTCACTCAGGCGGGCTACGAGAATGTCGACGTGAATGTCCTGCAATCCAATATGAATTCCGGGGTCCCGGCCGAGGTCAATCACCTGGCGGAGGAGCTGAACGACTTCGAGTTCCACAAACTGGAGACTGTTAGCGACAATGTAAAGACTGTAAAGCTGGAGGCCACCAGCCAGCCATTGGCCAACGCTCCCAATCATCATCCATCGCTTGCCAATGCCAAATACCACGAAGACGGCTTCTATAATGTAATGATGTACTCGGGTCCACCGCGTCCTCTGGCCCTGAATACGTTCGGTATGGTCAAGCTGCCCCAGGGGTTGGGTGTTACCTTCCGCAAGAATCTGCTTACCACGCGAAAGGCCAACAACAATTTGCTGTCCCTAACTGGTGGAAGTCATCAGGGCGTCGTGGGTCAACTGGCACGACCACCCCCACCACCACCTTCGCCTGCGTTGAGTAATGGTCTGCCTGGCAAAAATCCTGCAGTCGGCAGGACCATCTACGCCCAGAGGTCGAGTGTGATAGCTCAGGACCGCTTGAGATGTAATAAGAGGGCGCTGGTAGGCAACAAATCCGGATCGGGAGGTGCCGGAGCAATGACGGCTAAAAGATTGAATGAATTGCTGATGGGAAAGGTTAAAAAGGAAGAGAAGCCTTCCCTGGAAAGTGATGAAATGGAGCAGCAGAAGGAAAAGGAGCGGGAAAAGACGGAAGACCAGAAACAGCAGCTCACGTATAGTTTCTACGAGAAACGGCGCCGGCTGTTGGCGGGCAGGCAGGAGAAACTGCAACCACTTAGCCCCAAGTTTAACCTTCCGCTCCTGACTAGCAATAACAACAATAACAACGCCAGCCTAAGTCAAAGCCACTCGCCACAGCATCTGCTGAAGAAGCAACTGCTTCGCACCTTGTCCGAAATCAACAGCAACATCAACCTCACCAGCAGCAGCATGAACAGCAGCAATAGCAGCAACAATAGTAGCGGCAACATTACTAACAGCAACAACACTCCCAATGCCAACAGCAATCCTCCCTGGAAGGGATCATCGAATTCCACACTGGGAGGCAACTCCACTCCAACTAGCGGCGACTTGATGCGCGTCTTTGACTGAGATCCTAACAAACATCCCCATAGTTATGTTTATACAATGCAGTAGGTTCTGTGCAGCCTCTTTAAATGATAAATTAATTTTAAATCATTTTTTAAAATCAATTTTTTCTTCATTTTTTAAAAGTGATAATTAGTTTTCAATTAGTTCATTGTGTAACTCTTTGTTTAGTTTATGCGCTAATTTAATTTAAACGATATATTCTTAAAAATAATATATTAATATAATTTTTTTGGCTAAGCATTACGTTAAGTATCCGTAAAGCATTATTTAAAAAGCTACAAACTTTTAAAAATACAAGAGCATGCCTAAGTTCAATTCAAATATTAAACGATGTTTTAAATGGGTGGGAATTTATAGTTTGTTGATCATAGCAGGCTTTGGGAATTATTTTAAAGTATATTACCCATCCTTTTGAAAATTTAGCGCCGATTTTTGAATTCGAAATCGTAAAAGTCTGACCGCCTTTTTCAAATCGCCGTTAGAGGCTTTTGTTTATTTTATTCAGCGATGGGCACACTGCTGCCGGCTTTCTGGTTATACGGATTTTGTTTTTGTTCGATTTATGCGGTTGTCCTGGTTATCCTGCTCTCAAAATGCGTGCGTTTAATGCGCTCGTGCTCCTCATCGCTATCCTGCCTGTCCTGCTGACCCTCGTCCAAGGTACCCTATCCCCAGACAGCCAGAAAACGAAGGGGAAAAACAAGGAGGCGAATGTGCTGCGTGGCCCCCAAGACAATGATGTGTTTACCCTGGGATTGGTAAATATTTTAAGCTTGTGCTGAAAATTAATAGTATTTTCCAAACTTTTCATAAAGGTAAGCCCGGAACCCTTGGGAAAAGACATCCTGGCCAACCACAGAGCTTATTTCAAGGAAACTGGATTGAGACGTTTCAATGGAACTACTTTGGGATATGTGACTCCAGTGGGTAGAAATTTAGGCTCCAGTTGGACTCCATCTTACCATTCCTTCTTTTGCAGTGGAATTCACATGGCTATGATGTGGCCAAAATATTCGCCAAGAAATTCGACATCATTTCTCCAGTTTGGCTCCAGGTTGTAAAGCAGGGGGAGGAGTACGTCATGGCTGGGGTCCACGATATTGACGCTGGATGGTTGACAGACCTGCGAAGAAAAGGAAAACAGGCCCACAACCAGCGTACAGTAAAGGGTATTTACTTCTTAAACTGTCTGTGAAATCCATGAATCCATGAATCCCATGAATTCCAGTATTTCCCCGGTTTATATTCGATCACTTCACGGATCGGGACATCAAGTTACTGCTCAGCGATGCCCATGAACGTACCAAGGTTAACAATGTTCTGATCAAGTGCTGCAAGGATAATGGTTTCGATGGCCTCGTCCTGGAGGTCTGGTCCCAATTGGCCGGCCGTATTGATGATAAAATTTTGCATACCCTGGTGTTGCAAATGGGTAACGTGGCGCTATTTCGAGTCTTACTCTATTTCTTATCCTAATTCCTGTACAGCTAAAGAACTTCAAAAGCAGCAGCTGCGCTTGATCCTGGTCGTGCCACCATTTCGCAAGGACACTGGAAATTTATTCGGAGAGAAGCACATGGATAAGCTATACAAACACATCTACGCCTTTTCGTTGATGACTTACGACTTCTCCAGCGTTCAACGTCCGGGAGCCAATGCTCCGCTTTATTTTGTTCGTAAGGCAGTGGAGATGATTGCCCCAGAAGGGTGCCCGGATATGGAGGCCAAAAGGGCTAAAATCCTTCTCGGCTTAAATATGTATGGCAATGACTATACGCCCGATGGTGGTGGTCCTATCACCTTTTCTCAGTATTTGGATTTGGTGAAGAGCGTAAAGAAGCATTTGACCTACGACGAGAGGGATGTGGAAAACTTTTTCGAAATCAAGTAATGGGCTATTTTTCTATAGTAATGGATTATTACAAAACCAAATATTCTTACTTTTTAGAAACGAAAATGGACGTCATATCGTCTTCTATCCTACGCTTTATTCCATCAATGAGCGGATAAAACTGGCCCAGGAACTAGGAACTGGCATTTCTGTCTGGGAACTGGGACAGGGTCTAAACTATTTCTACGATCTCTTTTAAAATAGGTTGTAAGCAGCATTCAATGCACCACAATATTCCAATTAAAGGCTTTTTTAACTTAAATAACATTTTGAAATCAAATACAATTTTTAAACTGACGGTCTAAAGGCGCCATCCTAAGTTGTTTTCCAGTACTAATCTTGGATGCGTTTTACAACACTAACATTTTATTATTGGATTTGTTTTCATTCTTCGCCGGCGGATTTTCATTAAAAATCCGCAGAAATGCGATGGCTCTACGCCTGCTTTGTGATCGTGCTTTGTGCACTAATCTTCTGTGAGTACGTAGCCGACTTTGTGGTGCTCCAGAAGTGCAAGTGGCCGGAGATCAAGCGGAAGAAGTACGTCGATGATCCGTTGCGGGCTTTAATCATTGCGGACCCCCACCTATTGGGTCCACATCGAGGCCATTGGCTGGACAAGTTTTATCGGGAATGGCACATGACACGTGCCTTCCAGGCGGCATCCCGCCTCTTCCAGCCTGATGTGGTTTTCGTCCTAGGCGATTTGTTCGATGAGGGTGACATGGTGAGCGACAAGCACTTCCAGGAGTACGTGTGGCGCTACCTGAAGATGTTTCACCTACCGCCGGGTATTCCACTTATCAGTATAGTCGGTAACCATGACGTGGGCTTTCACTATAAGTGAGTAACAATCCACTGATACGGATATCCTGATTAAAGAGCTTTTCTTGTTTCCAGGATGCATCCTTTCTTTATGTCCCGGTTCGAGAACTATCTGAACAACTCCCTGGTCACGCTTTATACCATTAAGCAGATACACTTCGTGATAATCAATTCCATGGCCATGGAGGCCGATGGTTGCCTTTTCTGCTCCCAGGCCGAAGAACAACTGAGAAACATCTCACGAACTCTTCACTGCATGAAATTCCCGCAGGAGGCCGAGTGTGCCCGCACCAGGCGTCACCCGTATAGCCAACCTATCTTGCTGCAGCACTTCCCCACATTCCGCATTTCCGACACAATGTGCCAGGAGTATGATGCTCCCTTTATCGAAGCCTACCGCGAGCGTTTTCATGTTTTGTCAAAGGAGGCCACGGATATGTTGGGGAAACTGTTGAAGCCCAGGCTGGCGTTTGCTGGACACTCACATCACTATTGTCACAGTGTCAATCGGTTGGGCATCGATGAGTACACGGTGGCCTCCTTTAGCTGGAGAAACAAAGTTAATCCAAGCTTCATGCTGGTAAGTATCTGGACCTTTGCAGATCTATCTTTAGATAAAGAATCTCTCCTTTTAGGCCACTATTACTCCCGACGACTATGTGGTTTCCAAGTGCAAAATGCTCCCTCAGCAGTTTGTAATCAACAGTTACCTGAGTGCTGGAATCCTCTGCCTAATCCTAATAGCGTTTCAGCTACGAAAATACATAGCCAAGAGGCAGTCTTTGTCCACGTCCAAGGATCTACAAAAGGACAAATAATTGTACGTCGTCGAGAAAATACAGGAGTCCATGCTCTTTTGTGATTTACGCCTAATCGGTGCTTAGATTAGATTAGAAAAACACCCAGATTAATGTTTCCATATCATTCCCGCTACTATTTGCGATCGCTGAACTAAATTCTAGAATAAAACAATCTGGTTTGATCTATTTATTGAATTTATCACAGACATTATGCTTGTAAAGTCACACGGAATACATATGAGACACAGTCTGCTGACTACAAATCGAAAATGCCAAAGAATTATGCCTAAACTGAGCCTGGGAACTTCAACATAAGGGGATAAGACAGATAAACAGAAGAACCTTTGAATAAACCTAAATTATAATACACTATTCACACTATTAGATAATGATTGTGCATCCTGTAGTGGGAGATGCAGATTCATAGGTTCCTGTACTTCGGTTTGTGTGTGTTATCCGATCCAACCACTGGATCGAATGATACTAGACTAGGCTACTAGACTACGACTAGTAACTACAACTAAGAACTATACCAACAACATAGGGGGGTGTATGGAATGCAATGCCACAGGTAAGAATTATGTATCTAAATCAATTCCATTTGATTTGGCACAGCGGATTATGGCGAATTGTCTTTAGGAGGTGTGGAGGAGGTTTTTGTGCGCTTGCGCCTGTGGATTGCGACCCTCGAAACATTCCTTCGGGAGGAATCTATGAATTACGGGCGATATCAGGTCAGGATCGAGGGTTTTCATGTTCGTTGGCTTCGTCACCAAAGAGACTAGAGCTCCCACCACCAGAACGGTGGCCACTCCGATGGGATTAATCCAGTGATATGACAACCGGTAAAGTGGAAACACTTGCTCCTCGTCCACCCACACGTTCTCCGGAAGCGTGACATTGGCGGCACATCCTTCCACAGAGACCGGGAGCTTTTGGGAGTTCAACTGTCCGGCTGCTATGGTGAACTGCGTTCCAAATGATATCCATCCAGCAAGCAGAGCACTTGCGATTCCACCCACAGCAGTGCCCACTGTATTGGCCCAGGGAACTAGCATTCCAAGGGTAAATAGGCCAAAAGTGGTTCCAGCTGCGATGGCTGTCATCGAAGTGCAGATACTCAGGATTCCGCTCAGCTGCTCCAGGACAAAGACCAGCGATAGCGCCACTAGACCCAAAACTATGATAGTCGACTTGACCAGTATAGTGGAGGCTCTTTCGCTGGGCTGCATCTTGAAGCAGCCTCGAACTATGTCCTCCAGGATCACCAAGGATGTTGAGTTGAGCACAACGGACAGAGAACTCAAGGCGGCACCAAAAATTCCAGCTATAAACAGGCCAGGCATTCCGTAAATGTGGCCCACACTTTGGACCACAAAGAGGGGCAGCAGCTGGTCATCGTGCTGGAGGAGATTATCGGATAAATATTTACAAAAACTATACAAAACTTAAATGTACTAACCGTTATCAACCCCGCACTTAAGGGGTCACAATCCTTGTACATCTCAAAGATCAGGAGTCCCACCCAGCAGCAAACGGATACAAAGGCAGCCACTCCAATGGTAAAAATGGCCATGGAAGCACGGGCCTTCTTCAGCGACGGCAGGGACATATAGCGCTGGACCATGGTCTGGTTGACGGCATTGAATGACGTCCAGTAGGAGAAGCCACCGATGAGGACGCTCCAAACGGTGTGACGGACATACGGCGAGGGATTCGTGTTGGTGAATATTATTCGTCCACCTTTAGCGGCATCGTCGAACATGACGTCCAGGCCGTTGGCGTAATAGGTGGCCAGAGCGGCCACTGCCACAACTGAAAGAAACATTACCAGGACCTGCCAGGCATCTGTATGGACCACGGCTTTGATTCCACCCTGGAAAAGCAGAGCTCAGAAATGGGTCATAGAGGATATATTGTTGCAATAAAACCTACCACAAAGGTATAGAAAACACACACGATCACTATCACGACAGCAATAACATGGAGATTAATGCCAGATACTAGATGGAGATTAGACGGAGATTAGCGTGAGCTAGTTGTGGACTTATTTAGTATAGCTTACCCTGGTTGAGAGCAATGGCTGGCACGTAAACAATAAACGGCAGAAAAAGTATCTAACAATACAAGTCATGACTTAGTAACCAATAGAAAGTGTTTCTCTAGAGAGACCGGCACTTACCTCATCCAAAATAAACATAAACGAGGCTATACTTCGTATGATGGAATGGAAGCGCATCTCCAGATACTGAAAACGATTTTGAATTTAATTAATCTCAGCTTTAAAAAAAAGACCCTTTTTAATTGATAAACTAATGCCTAGACCCATTTGGAAGCCAATTGTCAAGTGGCTGTGAAACACATTGTAATTAATCATATCGAACCCCACAAGTGGGCAGGAGCAAAGTCCAAGAAATTCCATTTCAAGAGGGTGGTGGTCTCGAATTCTCGGTTGATTAAAATGTTTGCAACGCTTTTCGTTCATTGATTGAAAAAAAAATAGAAATAACTAAAGTGACGGAAGAGTCTATGTCTTATTTTTATCAACCATTACAGATGCACTTCCTTAACTACAATTTGTAGTACCAATTGTCTATTATTGTTTAACATTTCCGTTTAAAAAAAAGAGAGTGCTTTTATTAAATGATAAAGGTGGATGCCAAAAAAACGTGACTTCAAACCAAGACATTTTAAATTATAGATTATCTGAACTTTAAAGCTAAAATGCTAAATGATTTCTCAGGCAATTAATTCATCAATTGATTGTTAAACTATAAAAATAGCTACTAGTTTTTGATACAAACCTCATACGAAGACCCCACTTGAAGTGCCGAGAATACCGGTATATATACATAGGAGACGGCAATGCCCTGTAGAACGATTGCTATGGCTATAAACCAATATTGCGTGCCATAATTATAGATTTCCGATGTGGTGCCCAGTATCGTGACACCCGATATATAGCTGGAGATAAGAGGTTAGAGATTCAGGGGATTCACGTGACATCCTCCCAGCTTACCTGGCTATGAGACTCATGGCAACGGGAAAAACTTTCAGATTGCGTGATCCCAGCAGATACTCGCTCATCTTCTCCGATCCGAAATCGTGCTTGCGCCTCGCGGGCACAGTGGTTGGTAAGGTGGGTTCCACCTCCTCGATCTTCTTCTTGCCCTTCCTATAATTAACGCATTCGATTGGCATTGATCCGGAGATCGAAGATCACAGATCACTTACTTGATGCACCCGAAATAGATGCCCGTACTGGTGGATAGAACGATCATGCCCAGAAACACTACATAGTCGACGCTGCCAAATCTGTAGCCCGACTGCACCAACAAAAAAATGTTTAAAAATAAAGATTAAAAACTAAAAAAAAACATTCCTTGTAGGAATATTAAAAACAAAGTTATAGTTTCGCGGTGGGGAGCCATAAAGTTAGGCAACCACGATATCTGATATGGGGGCTATATTACAACAGCTGAGTTGAGATTCTCAATCTTGGTTTATTTCTTCTGTGTGAACAAGTGCGCGAAATGATGAGATTTTTAATTATGAGGGTTTAATTGTAATTACTGGGCCTTATCTAACCGAGATTTGTCCAGACCAGACCAGACGAGGAACCTTTAAAATCCTAAAGACTAAAGGTCTCTTCAACTCGAAGTTATAATTCAACAATTTCATATTAACATACATGATGTATGTTTATTATCTGGAAGTTCTTATCACCCTAAAAAGAATGTCTTATCTCAAATATTTTCTCTAATTATGGTCATTCGTCCACCGATCTATGACATATTATTTAGGTTTATAGACATACCATAAGTTATGAGTAAGTGTTCCATCAGGGATTAATATTAGAAGACTGGTGGATTATTCATAAAAATATAACCCTTTTAATGAATTTAAAACTTGATTCTTGACTTGATTCCTTCAAAAATACTAAATAATAGTACTATTGTAATATTCTACTTTATTTTTATTTTCTTCAAAGTTTCTTAAAAAGGAACTCCAAGAAGGATTTCTCATAAAAACTACCTCCTCCATCAATGGATCCATCTTATCCAAGAACTAGCCCCATTAGAAAAATAGAAAACTGTCTTATCAGAGTCATGGATCAATCCGATCCAATCACTAGGAGAGACTTTAACCTTTTACGCAATATCTCGAGCGGCATTATCGCCCTGGACCTGGACTTTGTAACGTGCCAGCCCCCCAAAAAAGCGACCGAAAGCTATTTTGGGGAGCCGGGGAAAAGGACAAAAACTCACCGATTCCATGTTGTAAAGAGGCGGTTTTCGACGGTGATTCGACGGCTGGCTGGGGCTAGTGGGTGGGGGGGTCCAGAACTGGAGCAGCAAAGCAAAAAAAGTGGAAATGTGCGTCGCTCACGAATATCAACAAGAAAGCAACACACGATAAACCGTAAGCAACAGCAACCGAACGACAACAAATCGGGGGGAGCACAACGAAAATGGACTTGTGGCACCGAAGGGTTCACTGGATTTTGGAATGCTTTTTTTCGAAATTATTATACAACACAACGGATACGAAAACACAACTCAAAAACGTGTATGTAAATTGCGGACCGGAAAGCGAGAGTGAAAGGCTAGTTTTGTCGGCCAATTCTGTCGGCTGTGTTTTCGGCCCGATTCTTTAGAAGCCACAGTCGAAAATGTGAAATATTCCACTCCGGGCCCGTAACTGCAACTGATGGGTGCGAGTGAGAGGTGGAGCCGTTGGGGCCAACCAGCTGGGTAAAAGCTCTTATAAGAGAGAGTACAAAAAAAAAAAACGTCACTGGGGGGAGAGAGAAAGCTTTGCGTGGGTTTTGTAATCTCCGATGGGTTATGTTAAAATGAGCAGATCGGTTAACGGAACTTGGCAGTATAGGGATGCAGCGTACAGGGGAAGAAAATATTATATGAATATAGCTAATTAAATTTTAAATATTAATTTTAACAAATTTTGTAACTACTATTAGGTTATGACATTAAAGAGAAACAGATGTTTGAGGTCAACTCTTGAGTTTATTTTAAAGAAATTAAAGTATCTTTTTTTCAGGAACCTTGTTAGGAGAAAGTGGCATCTCCACATGCCACTTAGAATGGCCAACCACAAGAGGCAATTGGACAATTGTCAGTTTCAGACTTTTGCCACTTCTGTGTTGACACTGCGCCGTGGGTTTCCATTGCTGAATGTAATTGGATTACCAATCCAAGCAGCAACCCAGTCCGAGACCTAGTGTCTCTGGCCCAGTAGCAACGGGAACCCACAGAGCGAAAGAGGTGTCACTCCAGATCGGAATTCGTGAAAGGTTGCATAATCTGGATAAAAAAAATGAGCAGGCCACATCAACCCAAAATTATGTTTAAACGAAGGACGAGCATGGATAATAAGAACAATCCACTCATCAACTATGAACGCATCCAGGTCGAGAAAGACCAGGTGGCACCTGCTCCTCCGCCTCAACCTCCCCCGTTGGCAGTTCCACCACCAAGTGGTTCCCCCGGAAAGCTTCGGTTGAAGCTCAGTACGGCTAAGATTTCCCTTCGGAAAAATTCACAAATTCCGCAAAAGAATCTCCAAGCGATTCCCATATCGGACTCTGTGCGTCGCAAGTCGGCTCCCCAACTCTTTACATTCTCCATAGCTCCCAAGGTTGACCACAGTGCGGAGAATCCGCCTAGTACAGTGCCAAAAATTCCGGGTTTTGAGCTGAGGAGCTCCATTCGTCGCTCAAGGACACTGGGTCTTTCGAATGGCGCTAGAATGGGAGCACAAGGGCTGCCCAACGATGACCTCCAACTTCAGGATAGTGCCAGTGAACCCAGCAGCAGCTTAGCTGGAGGAGGTAGTTCCACCTCGCCGGAATCCATCCTAGACAATGTACTAAGTGGTGCCTCATCCGTATCTGTGCAGAACAGCAGCAGCTCCCAGACCAGCAATGCCACTGTAGCTCAGACCATTAAAGGCAAGGAGCTCCTGCCGAAGAGATTACTGTCCCTCAAGGCTTCTCCAGAGCTCAGAGTGTGCCCGCCCACTCCGGACACCAACCAACCCAAGCTGGAAATGCTACCCCGACTACTTTTGGAGGCCGCAGCCAGGTCAGAGATCTACGATGCGTCATCCCCCATGGCCCGAAGTCGTTCGCCATCGCTGGCCATTTCTCCAGCAGTATCTCCGGCACCCTCGCCCTCCCCGAGCATTACCTTGAGACCCAGTACTCCGCCGGAGAACACAGTTATCTTTACGGATGATCTCAAGTGCGGGATCTGCCTGGACGTCTACACGGACCCAAGAACCCTGCACTGCCTTCACTCGTTCTGTCTGCAGTGTCTGGTCAGTGAGAACTTCAAGGACGAGTCTACCTGGGAGCAGGATCCGTCTCGCAGTGAAGACCCTTCCTGCTACAGCCTGAGGTCCGATATGGGCGGGTCGAGTGCAGAGCTTACTGCTACGGTGTCACCTGCCAGGCAGAGGGGTTCCAGCTTCAGTTTGCGCCGGAAGAAGTCCATGGATCCACTGGAGGTCAGGGTAAGAGAAATGTACCACTACCCGGCTTCCCTTCCATAATTCTCATGAATTTTCAGTCAAGAAGTGAAGGAAAGAGGTCGACGAGTTCCTTCAACACCCGGTTTATGGGGAGCTCCGTAAATCAAATGTCCAAACGTAGCATCGTGTGCCAGAGCTGCAACTACCCCACGGACTTGCCACTCGGAGGTGTCCGTCAGTTGCCCCAAAACTATCTATTGGTGAGACGCATAGAAGCCCTGCGGTTCCAAGCCAATGAAGACGTCATATCGAGGATCTGGTGCTCCCTTTGCACGGACGAGATTAGTGTGAGTAGTCTTAAAGATAGAGGTAGGCGGGTATACAACCTCATCAACCTAACCCGCCAGGCTACCTATCACTGCATCAGCTGCACCTTGAACTTGTGTACCCTCTGCAAGGAGGCCCATGAACGGCAGAGGAACACCGCCAACCATCGGCTGAGGAGTATCCTGGAGCTGCGAAGGGCCCGAAAGCAGAAGCAACAGCAGCTGGGACTGGGGGACAGTAGCAAGCTGGTGCTTCGTTGTGGCATTCACACGAATTTCGAGCTTAAAGCATTTTGCACCCACTGCCGGCAACTGGCGTGTACAGACTGCTTGGTCCTGCTCCACAAGGGTCACCGTCATGAGACCATCAACCGGGCCATTGGACATCATGGCAAGTTACTAAGGGAGGCCACCGACCAAACTCGTCCCCTTTGCCAGTATGCGGAGCACTCCATTGAACGGCTGAATGAGATCGCCCGCGGCATCAACGCCAGATGCGATGACATCCAACACCAGGTGGAACAATACTTGCAGAGCTACTTTGAGGCCTTGGAAGTGCATCGGAGGACTCTGCTCCAGCAGATCAGCAGGGCAAGGGAGTCCAAAGTGGAGGTTATAATCAAGCAACAACTGGACCTAGGTGAGGGTAGAGATATATTCCTAATTAAGCCCGAATGACCCCGGATTCCTTCCCAGAAAAACGCACCCAAATGGCCGTAGATGCAATGCGTTTCAGTCAGGATATCTTGGAAATCGGCGCCGATGTGGAAATCCTTAGCTTTGTGGATATACTCCTCAGACGTCTGGAGTTCTGTCAGCAGTTTAAGCCTCCCGTGGATCCCAAGGTAAGTAGCTAGCCAAGGAAGTAAGTATCCAAGGATCCAGTCTCAGTGACTCGTTTTCAGATCTCCGATTCCCTTCATTTTCTACCGAAGATCCGAGCTCCCGCCACCAAGGACCAGCGAGACATTCCCTTGTACGGAATTATCACCATGCAGGTGGTGGAGCCGGGACTTTGTACCCTGGAATGGGAAGGCTTTTCTCAACTACGCCTCCACAAGAAGGCCGATCTCCTGCTGCATTCAAGAGACGCCGATGGAGTGTCCCTGTGCCACGGAGGACTGGAGATTAACTGCATCATAAAATACAAAGACCCCGCCTCAAAGTTCCTGCCCGTCGAGGTGTCAGACAATCGAGATGGCACCTACAATATCCATTTCACCCCAGACTCCCAGGGCGCCGTAATTCTGACGATTACCATTAATGATAGACCCATCAGAGGTAGTCCATTTACGTTCCAGGCGCGACAGGTTCGTCCCCACTCGGGAATCTATCACTGCTGTTCCTTCTGCTCCGGAAAAGGAAACCGGACAGTGAAGTGTTCGTGCGAGGGCCGCATGCCTGGGTACAGTGGCTGCGGTCATGGACACACAGGACACCCTGGTCGTCGTCACTGGTCCTGCTGCGGCAATGTGCTAGAGAACTCGGAATGCAATGTGGCTAACAAGCTACTGAATGCTTGAGGATACTTAGCGGAGGGCAGAGCTCTAAAGTAAATCCAAAAAATCCCGCCCGGAAATTCTGAAGTGGCTAATAAATACTCGGACCTCTACCTGGCATATGGTCAGCACATGCGCAGCAGACAATAACCTTGAATCTTCGATAGAAAGGACATCCAACTGTAGCATATACAACATTTGAACATAATTTGTGTTTATTCATTGAAAATTTAAATCATAAATACCAACATGAATGGGGAGACAATAGAATGTGCCTTTCGATTCATGGCAGGGGGCTGAGTTTTGGGAGATGGATTTCTAAAGCCCTAAACTTTAGATGGATGATACATGATGTTCTTGTTTTTTTTGTATGTTTCTAAATTATAAAGTTCAGATGAGGTTGCTTGTTGCGATTCGGAAGTTAGTCCTCGTTGTCCGAATACCACGACAGGCGTTCTTCGTAGAAGTGGATTACCATCTGGGGGATTTTAACGTTGGCCACAGTTGAGGGCACCATCTCGGCTTGGTCCACCCCCTTGAATTGTATGAGGAATGTGAGGCGACCGTTGTTGTCGGATGCCCCAAGGATCTTCTCAGCCTCGAGGCCACGATCGAAGCCAGTGGAACCAGGGGCGACTAGGGCATCACTGCTATCTGCGTCCGCCTCTGAAGTGCGCTTTGATTTGTTGGTGGTAGATGCTGTAAAACAAAAATATACAAATACGAATCATTAACAAGATATTATATATAAAATTCATCGCTTTAGGCGCGTAGATTTATGTAACCCAAGAAGTACCGGGTACCTTATATTTTTTAAAACAAAACAATATTTTCTGGGAAGAGATAAAAAGGACTAAGCCACTCAGGTAAACAGTATTTCTCAGGTAAAGGTTTGCAAAAAAACGCAGCTTAAGACTAAGACAATGATCTTTTATTCTTACATGGTTCCTCGGACTTCCGTTTGTTGCTGGACACCGTTGTGGTGCTGGAACGGCCGGTGGGTTCCTTAGTCTTGGCACTGCTACTGGGTCGGTCTTTTTTCAAGGACTTGTCAGTCTTTTCAGCCTAAGATGTCACCAAGATTTAATGAGCACAACTGTACCCGGCATCACACCGGCGGAAATTGCAAATCACTTACCTCATCTTTGCGGCTTAACTCGTACAGCTGGATGAGGTCCTGGCAGTCGAGGTTGCTCTCAGGCTCCCAGGTATTTTCTGTGTCGGCGTAGCCCTTCCACTTCAGAAAGTACTCAACCTGCAAGAAAATTGAAGTAGAAGTTGGGTGGCCAGGGCCGGCAAGCCGGGTGGATGTTACTAACCTTTCCCTTCCTAACACGACGGTCCAAAATCTTCTCCACGGCATACTCCTCCTCTTCCTCGCCATCGGATTGGGTGGTGGCATTCTCGTTGTTCTCCGTTTTTTTACCCATTATGTATTGAATTCGCTAAATGGGCGATAAATTCAAGCACAAAATTTTCGCGCACATACACAGATACGCACACAGGCACATGCAAAAACTCATTTAGTTTTCAAACTTATTCTTAAAAAAAAAATGCCTTTACACTCACCACAATTTATAAACAAAAATCAAAGCTCCAACTCTTAATAGTGTCTGCAAACTGTCCACTTTCTTGTCTAGTGGCTAAAAAAATAATATAATGGTAGAAAAAATGCGCCTTCGCAAGCGACGCTAGAGGTGTTAGGGCTGTGATTCAATGTGAAACTATCGATACAATTCTATATCGATAACAATCCGCAAGCACCTAACATTTTCACTTTACAACACTGAACCTTACCGGCAGTTGCCGATATCAACTGCTTGTATTTTATAAAAACTGCTTGTTTTTCCTCTAGAATACCTTCGCATTAAAATTCTAAGATGGGTAGAATTTACTTTTAAAACTGATTTGCTGATACAATTAATTTCATATCATGTTCAATTTATAAGTATTTTATGTACTTAATGTATTTGCGCCAGAGACTTACTGTTCCGCCAAAATTATACAATTCTTGAAATAAAATGTTGTTAAATTATTTACTTGTCCGAAATCTTAAATATAAATATATTATTGTAAACAAAACAATCAACATCGCCTATTTTTAGACTTTTTTTAGTAATTAGTTGAAGCTTAATTTTGAAATTGCGCCATTAATAGATGTTCAGTGGGACCAGATGACAAAAATCTAAAGTTCCATCTCTAAATTAAAAGTTTCCAAGTCGGCCGAGCAGCTAAGCGTTTTTCTTGTTTATTTCGGTGCTTTAATTAAAAACAATTTCTTCGGCCGCAAAATGATGGTAAGAAATAAGATAAGAATAAACCCGTATTTCATTGAACTGTATTTTCCCCAAACTGAGTCGCTGAGAGCAAATACAAATGAGGTCCTCACACAAAGAAATCTTATCAAAAAAATGGGCGTAATTGGATAGAGTGCATTAAACTTTTCGTTGCATTTGTAGGACGGCACGGATGACTCAAATCTGCTGAACAGTAGCTCGGAGAACAATGGCGCCACGATGGAAATAGCCTCGCCCACAAATCCTCTTGCAGTTCCTCCCACATCCGGTGGCAACGTGATAACTGGAGCAACAAATGGCAGTGGGTCGGCAACTTCGCCGGACAGCTCGTCCTCTGCACCGGCCACGCCCGCCGTTCTGGGTGAAAATGCCCTCCATGTGGAGATTTCCGATGCGCTGAGCGAAAAGGAAAAGGTCAAATTTACAGTCCATACACGCACAACTCTGCCAGGATTCGCAAAAAAGGATAATAATGTGGTACGTCAGCACGAAGAGTTTGTCTGGCTGCACGACCGCATCGAGGAGAACGAGGACTATGCTGGCTATATTGTAGGTAACCCAGAGAAAGTTCTGACTAGTTTTAATTTGAAAATCTTTATCTCAGATTCCGCCCTGTCCGCCTCGTCCGGATTTCGATGCCTCCCGAGAGAAACTACAGCGCTTGGGAGAAGGCGAGGGAAACATGACCAAAGAGGAATTCAAAAAGATGAAGTCGGAGTTGGAAGCGTAAGTTGAATGGGTTTTATCGACAGGAAGAGGGAGATATCCCATAAACCTTAGACCCATTGATAAGACCTTTTTTTAATCGAAGAATTACAAAATATAATATAACTTATTACTTATACTATGCTTAGGTGAAGTTTTGTCAATACTGTGATAGTCATTATCCTTGTATTATCTATTGATTATGTTTCAGTGAGTACCTGGCCACTTTCAAGAAGACTGTGGCCATGCACGAGGTTTTCCTGCGCCGGTTAGCCAGTCACCCGGTCTTTCGCGTTGATCAGCACTTGAAGGTTTTTCTCGAATACGACCAAGACCTATGCGCCAAGCCGCGTAAGAAGATGGCCATTTTTGGCGGCTTCGTAAAGTCCTTGGGCAAGACCACGGACGAGATCTTGCTGAGTGCTACGGTTCGTGATGTAAACGACTTCTTTGAAAACGAATTGCAGTTCCTGACCGAATACCATGGACACTTGCGCGAGGCAGCTGCGAGAACTGAGAAGATGACACAACGCCACAAGGATGTGGGTGACTCCCACCAAAAGATTTCGAATGCGCTGACACAACTCTCGACCACAGAAAAAGGAAACATGGAGACATTTGTTGCCAAAACGGCAGAGATATTTGAAAGAATCAAGGTAATCAAAAGAGTTATTAGTTTAAAAAGGTTATTAATATTATTTTTTTCAACAGAATCTGGAAACTCGTGTAGCTAGCGACCAGGATCTCAAGCTGGGCGATACCTTGCGATACTACCAACGAGACAGTGATGCTGCCAAGGCTCTGTTGATCAGACGGCTGCGATGTTTGGCTGCCTACGAGACGGCTAACCGGAATCTGGAGAAGGCTCGCTCAAAGAACAAAGATGTCCATGCGGTAAGATCTGGTGAAGGGTTGAAACAAATGCTTCCAAAACTCTCTCTTTTTTGAGGTTTATTCTAAAAGCAATTGTTTTTCTACGAAAAATCTTTTAGCGGGGCAATTAATTCTCACGCTTTACTAATTTGAAAGAAAAAAAAATGAAAAAAATTATTTGCGTTCTTGTATTTTTTTCTGCTGACATTGCTCTGATCTCCACTCGCCTGTCCCCCTCCTGTTTCTTCACTTTTTCGTGTGCGTGTTTGTGGTTCTGTGTTCTGCAATCCGCCGCAGCCTTTGGAGGTGCAAGAGGTATTTGGAATTTAAGGTTTTAGCCAAGTAGATGTGTTGCTCACCCCACTTGTAACTGCTGCATGCATCATTTCACTGTTTGCCCCACTGTAGCATGTATTGATTGATTTGACAACCTTGCCCTGAGAGTTTTCTTATGAATTTCTCAATTTCCATTAGGCCGAAGCCGCCCAAGCGGAGGCTTGCGAGAAGTTCGAGTCGATGTCCGCTTGCGGAAAAGAAGAACTGATTGGATTCCGCAATCGCCGAGTGGCTGCATTCAAAAAAAGGTAAGGAGAATCGCTAATAATTATATAAATGATATAATTAAAATAAAATCATATACTTGACAGCCTTGTGGAACTCTCCGAACTGGAGATCAAGCACGCCAAGACCCAATACGAATATTTGCGTCAGTCGCTGCTGGCGCTTAAGGAAATTGCCTGAGACGGGGAACCGGGGCCGGAAGAGGTGGAGGAACCGAATGCAGACTAGCCAAACGCCCCGGGTGACGAGTTAAATCAATTGTTCTAATTGCTAAGCAAACAGTTTATTATTGCACGGGTCGGATCGAGTGCAACACCCATTATTTACCTTAGCCCACATATTGTATTAACGAATATCCATTTGTTTTGTGAACAGAGCGCTTTTATAATTGTAAAACAAGCATTCCTCTCTAAAGCATAAAACTATACAATTTTATTGTAAACACTTGCATTTGAAGCAGAATATAAACGAGAAATATTGTACAGTAGGCAGTCTATTTGTAAACAGTCAATATATACTGGGGCTGATTTCTGGGATTTATTTGTAAACGTTGGTAGCCAGGCAACAGGACAACCAAGCAGGATTACCACCAAATTATAGCAATCCAAAGAGAACACCACCGATAGACGGATTTTCTTTTGGATTTTTTTGAATTTTATTGAAGTTATAAGAAATCCTTTAGCCATGGATGTCTTCGGCTGCTATGATTACAAGCGTCCCGTCAACGACAAGCAAACCGATTGGCGGACCTCGCAGTACCGCGGTCACCGGCACATCACAGACCTGCGGATGGAGAACAAGCTGAATGCCAAATTCGCCGACAAGGGAATCTACGTGAGGGATCCATTGTTGTCCGAGAAGCCGCAAACCGACATTTCGGCCAATTATGTGTGGAAGGTAAGAAGATATATCTTAGAGATAATACCTCTCAATATCTACCCTTCATTTGTAGTACGCCAATCCCGATGCCCTCAGGAATCCGTCGCTGAATATGAAAACACACTACATGAAACCCCTTGATGAGTGCTGTCTTCGGTTTATTAAACGGAAAATAAAGCCAATATCCAGTGTGACCCACGATACCTTTGTGCTAAAGGAAATGCCCGAAGAACAGGAGATATTACCCTTTCCTATGCCCAGTGCAGTTAAGTCCACCGAATTGGTCATCGACCGGTCCGAGGAGGGCATTAGCAAGTACCTGGACCCCAATGCCACCACTTACAATTTGTCGTATGTGCGCCACAGCAAGGAGGCCCTGACTGGCGGCATAGCTGCCCACGACAACCTCACCTACTGGAATTGGTCGGAGAAGGTGGTGCCCACCAGGAAAGTATCACGGGAACCAGATCCCATTTTGTGTGACGAATTTCCCTCACAAAAGTGTACCAAACGACGTTGCGAGTTCCAGAACATGACGAAGCCGGTGCCACACTCTGGAATGTGCACCGAAGTGCGCGAGAACTTCTCCGATCCACAATTCCGTAAAGTAGAGTTTGATCCGGACGTGACTCCGAAGTTGGTTCATGCCGATGTGGTTCCCTTTGCCAAGAAGAGCGAGTATGCCATTTACGGATCTGGTGAACCCGTTGTGAAGTACGTCTAGGTGTTCTAGTTATCTAGACTTTTATTTCGTCAAAATTAAAGTTAAGAGCATTTCGTTTATTAATCATGATGGTACCTATTTTCTATGAGGGTTTGATTTGCAAAGATGTAAATCACGGACATGATTTAATTTATTAATATATCCATAATTTATAAAAAATAATTTTAGGTTAGCTGGATTGATGTAGGATTTCATTGCAAATTTTTCAAAGGATATTCCTTATTCGTATGAACTGAAGCTGTGGGGCAGGAGATTGTAGGCAGATGTCACGAGCACCTCTTCGTCCTCATCGATTGCTGGTATGCAGCCCTCCTGTTCTGGTGGCGGAGCCTTGGCAATGTAAATGGGAAAGTCCTTCGATGCGAATTCCCGGATAAATTGTCGGCATACGCCGCAGGGCGTTGTGAAACCATCCGGATGGTAGGCCACCACGGCACCAGCCGTGTACCTCTTCTCGCCCTCGCTTACTCCCTTGGCCAACGCACACCGCTCCGCACAGTTTCCAGGAGTAAAGGCCACGTTCTCGATGTTACAGCCCGTGTAGATTTGGCCGCACTTGGCCCGAAACGCGGCTCCCACCTTGAAGTTGCTGTATGGAACATAGGCACACCTCCGGGCCGCAAGGGCAGCCATTAATAGTTCGCGACCATCTTCACCTGGAAGGGATTAAGATCACACCAAACCAAACCACTTTAAAAATGATCAACCAACTCACCCACATAGCGAAAGGCCACCGTAAACTCGTCCAGCTTCAGCGGATGGGGAAGGTTCTCGGACTCGCTAACTCGACCCCGTTCTCCATTGGCAAAGGCCTCCCGCCGAGCTAATTCGCGTAGCAATCCAGCCAGGGTCCTTTGATGGGAAATGAGTGCATTCTTGAGGCACTGGCGTCGCTCTTCCTTTTTCATCTGGCAGGCGCACTGGGTGCCACTCTGTTCCTGGCGACGGGCCAGTTCGCACTTAAGCTTCTCGAGCGTTTCCATTTTCTTGGCCAGTTCCTTACGCTTGAGCTCGTCCTGCATCTCGTTCAGGCACTGCATGTACCGCTGAAGGAGTTTACGCTTCTCGGCCATTTTGTTTAAAATTTAAATTTGTTTTAAAATGCCTGTTTATACTTTAGCCAAAAAATTTTACTAAATTGAGGAATATAGGAAATAAGGTTCAAAGGTAGCTTTTACAGCAACAAAATTTTGTTTTATAAAATTGGTTTTGGTTTTCAGAGAATATTTGAAAGGTTTCCCCTACAATTACTTCAATACTTTAAAATACATTTTATTGGATGTCTAACTAATAAATATACTTTATTTTCTAGTCAATTAATCAATAAGTTTGAGTTTTGAATTGAAAATAATTTTAAATTGCTTCCAAACGTCTACCTAAATCGATTTCTTTGTCTTCATTTTCTACAATTACTTAATATTTTCTATCATAAGTCCTATCAATTTAATTGCAATAATTTCAAAATATGACATGAAATATACCTTATCAATAGCTATTTTATTTTATAATTTCTGATGTCAGTCAGCATTTGATAAAATCTATTCCCCGTGTTAAGCAGTGTAACTTTCTTTATTTCAAGTGATTAGATTAAAATTATACAGATTACAATATAAACGGGGCAGTTGGGAGGAGTGGGTTGGTCACCCGACCTTGAAAAGCTCATTTTTTTGTTTTTTTTTTTGCAATATCGCCTCTCCGCCTGTCTCATTTCCGATATGTGCGAAAACTGCTCGGCAACAGATTGAAGATAGAGGTGCATAGAACAGGGTCCTCGTTACGGAAGGGTTCCTCCTTGGCAGCAATTCTGGCATCAATGCTCTGGCCAATATAGATGGGTATGTCGTCGGTGGCAAATTCGCGTATAAATTGACGACAGACACCACACGGGGTGGTGAACACATCTGGTTCATAGGCCACAACAGCTCCGACTGAGAACTCGGTGGTGCCCTCGCTTACGGCTTTGGCAAGAGCTGTTCTTTCGGCACACGAGCTGGGCGTAAAGGCAGCATTCTCCACATTGCAGCCGGCAAAGATTTGGTCATTGTCCTTGGCCCGAAAAGCAGCACCGACCTTGAATCCACTATATGGCACATAGGCACGTTGGCGTACCTCGAAGGCGGCCCTAAGAAGTTGCTGAACCGTGGTATCTGAAAGTCAAATTAATCCACGTCACAAAGGGTTTAAAATTAATGGTTTGAACTTTTTTTAATAAATGATTCTTAATTTAGAAAACTTAAACCAAGATCGAAAAAAAACACTAAAGTTTCTTCCTGGTCAGATTCAGGAATCTTACCCAGACTGCCAAAGGTAACAACTTCCTCCGCCTTTTCTGGACGGGAAAAATTTTCAGTCAGATGCGACATTATTATTTAATATTTTTAGTCAATGGAGGCACGCCCCTTTTTGTTTTGCCCACAAAATAAATTTGTTATATTTTTAGCGAAGCGAGTGCGTGGCTTCTTGTTTCTCCTCTGAACGTCCGCTGGCAAATGGACGGCTTCTGGTGACGACGCGGCGCTAAGTTGGCTATGATAATAGCAATAGTTCTCTCTACCGAACGGTGGTGACGAAAATAAACACTTGGCCAACACGGAGAGGGAGAGATAAGGCAGCGATCGATGATCGGAGAGCAGCCATAATAAACAAAACAGATGGTATCGTTAGCCCCAGCTATCAATTCCATCAACAACAACGAGGGGTGGGTTTACTATACATAAAAACATTAGAAAGTAGGGACTTCACAAAAATTGATATATTGCACATAGACTGCAGTTGAAATGCATCCGGCCCGTCTATTTTCCGTTCGAGAAGCTAAAGCTGTTGGGTAGAAGTTGGAGCACGCTGGTACATAGAACCCTCAGTGGCAGATTGCTCGGTTTGGCAGCGTACAAGGGTATGTCCTTGCCATTGACGAACTCCGACAGGAACTGCCTGCAGACGCCGCATGGCGTGGTGAATCCATTGTCCTGCTGGGCCACCACCGCACAGGCCACAAAGTCACGCTTGCCCTCACTGAAAAATACAATTATTAAAAGTTGTGGATAGGCCTTATGGGAGTTACATATGTATATATTTTTTAATGAATGACATTGCTGGAATAAATATTCAAGAATTTATATTTACTCTGTTTCACTAAAAACATTGTTAATCAATGATTTTAGCTGATAAGCTATAATTATATGATTATTGACGCAATAGCGAAAAAAAAATGGAAAATCCAATATTAAAAGTGCGTTTATGTATTACGCCTCATTAAGCTTAAACTTCCTTGAAGCACTTGTGCCACCTTAGATTATTGACCCACTGACCTGATGGCCTTGACAGCCGCTGTGCGCTCCGCGCAAATGCAGGTGGCATAAGCCCCGTTCTCGATGTTGCAACCAGAATATATGGTGCCATCGCTGGTGCGAAGGGCAGCTCCTACCGCAAAGTTGCTGTAAGGGCAATATGCCTGCTTCCTGGCCTCAGTGGCGGCATGGATAAGCTCCTGGATGGCAGGATCTACGGGATGGTAAACGCTTTAATTCTTGAATTTATAAGCTATCCTAACACTTACCCAAGCTGTCAAACTCCCGCACATTCAGCTCGTCTCTGGCTCCATTGATGAACACCTGTGTCATGGCTGTAGTGCTTGGCAAACCGAATATTTCGAAACGGAAAACAGCTCAGCAAACAAACACTTCCAATTATCAGTTCAACCTATAGTTCTCAGCTGTTTAGAAAAGGGTCGTAGTTTGTAGGTTTTAAGGGGGATAAATTTTAACTAAACTTTTATTGATAAAAAAAATTTAAATCTTCATCAGGTAGAAATTCATAAACTCTGTATGAACAAAAGGTAAAGTTATGTATGTATACAATAAATATTTATTAAATTTATATAAATATTTTATTATATTTTCTTTAAGAGGTGGTTTATATATAGGGCATATATATTTTTTTAATAAATTTTTTGTTTAAAAAATAGTTTAAAAAAAGTTTTAAAGAAAAACCCTCTTCCAACTACTCCCTCAGTAGAGGCAAGTATGCCGCAATGTTTTCCAACACTGTCATCCATCAACAAGAAAATAATAAATCCAGGTGATTGTGTGTAATTTGTTTACACACTACCACAATCTTTCTGCAACAATAAAATACACGCCGTGTGCCTGTTTTTTTTCCCTGTTATCAAGCAATCCAGAGCCACAATCGGAAAAGTTGCCGACCGATTTGGTGGGCATTACGACCGGATAAACCCAATTAAGTGAGTGGCTGTTCGTCGCGGTTTTCTTACCTCGAAAAAATACACAGAAATTCCGATTTTTGATTTTTGAAATAATGTCGACCAACCCAAGACTCGAGCTGCAACCGTCGGAGGACGTGGAGATCACAATGGGCAGATCTGGCGGCGGAGCTGGAGACGGAATCCAGGAGAGATTGCCGCCCATCAGCGTCGAAGCCCAGCGTTTCCCGTTTTGCATCGTGTGGACTCCCATTCCCGTGCTTACCTGGATTTTCCCGATGATCGGTCACATGGGCATATGTACATCCGCCGGAGTGATCCGTGACTTTGCAGGAGCCTACTTTGTGTCCGAGGATAATATGGCCTTTGGAAAGCCCACTCGCTATCTGCAGTTGCATCCGAAGAATGTCGAAGGCGGCAGCTACGCCTGGGATGAGGCAGTGTCGAAAGCTTCCGTGCTCTATGGCACCCGTATTCACAACATATTCTGCGACAACTGTCACTCCCATGTGGCCACTGCCCTGAGTTACATGCGGTACAAGGACAGCACTTCGTGGAATATGCTGATTTTGAGCATGTGGCTCTTTGGCTGTGGACGATACGTTGGGATTTCGGGTTTCCTTAAGACCTGGTTGCCGTTTGCTATTCTAGTCGCAGTTTGCGTCTTATTGGGCGTCTACTTTTAGTTTTTAAAATTACTTATCGTAATTGTCATGTAGTTTCAATTGATGTGAATGAACTGTCTTATCGCATATATAGTATACATACTATTTTATAGTTTAATTCCAGACCCGTTAAGGGAATAATTTTCTGAACCAAATAAACAAACGGCTACAGAAGCCGGCAATGCATTCTTAAAATACAAGAAAGCTTTTTACTCTGTAATTTTTAAGGGTTCTTATTTAAAAGAGTGAACCAAGAAGCCACTTTCATATCTTTATAAACATTTAAGGTAGTTTTTTATTCGTAGCTTTCTTGTTTATAAGGAAAGCAAACTAACATGTTAGTTGAACATCAATATTCTATGACTTGGAACGGGAAAAGGATGAACTTAACTCTCGAGTGCCTTAGTAATTTCGCCCGCTTGATCAATCAGTTTCTTCCACTGCGTGATGGAAAGCGAGATGCCCTTTCTGCCGGGAAGAGTTTTTCCGTCCTTTTCGTAGTGCTCCCGGATGTCAACCATTTTGCGACCGCGAAATTCGTTAATTGTGACCAAGCGCAACTTCTCAAGCGTCCAGGTATTTTCCTCACTTCTTCCATCCGTTTTCCCAGCCGCCGAAGTCGGCGTCTGTTTTGCTTTCTTGCTCGCCGGCTGATTGCGCTGGATTAGAATAAATGTAAAAATGTATATTGCGATTTTGTAGTGTGTGATATGTATGGGGACTTACGTCTTCAGGACCACTGTCACTCTCCGAGGAAGAGGACTGTTGCTTTTTCTTTATCTTTGGCATTTTCGGTTCTTTTTTTGGCAAATTATTAATTGATGCACAAAATATTGGCGCTTGATAGATGGCAGTGTTGGCTAATAAGTGAATTAGCATTCAGTGTTGCATTAGAAAAGTGTTGCTTAACGAAAATTTGGGTTGGCGGCAAATTTTGATTTTGTTTAAAAATCTTTTAATCTTTCAATTTACATAATATTGAACTCGTTATGAAAATCTTTTTAACGTCGTTATTTGTCAACTGGGCTTAAACTGAAACGTCAATGGAGTCAAAGTAAGTTTACATGTTGAAAAAACTTTTCTCAAAAAATTAAAATTTAAAAAAAAAGTCAGATGCACAAGCGGACTCGGCAGCGTGGCAGAAACTTTTCACCTTCCGAGGAAGTAATGCTTTTGGAGCTTCTCAAACCGTTTAAGGATGTTATCGATAATAAGAAATCCGATGCTACCACCTGTCAGTTAAAAAAGAACGCCTGGCAGCAGTTGGCTTGTCAGTTTTCACTCCAAACTGGCATGCCCCGCTCATGGAGGACCCTTAAGGATAAGTACAAGAATATGAATAGCAAGTTAAGGATCGAGGGATCGTTTTCAAGCCCTAGGCAATCCCAGGAAATGCAGGAACCGGCAAGCAGTTGCGTTTCTGTTGTATACGATGACGATGATCTTGACCAGAATGAGTTTTTAGAACAAGGTAAGAATTAAGCTGCAACCCAGTTAAATAAATTTTAAAATACCTCCACATTATAGGCGAAAATTTCCAAGGAAAATTGATTCAAGAGAAATTAATTCAGCAGGGGGTAAGTTTCAATTTGATTTAATGAATTCAGATTATAGATTTATTTATGCCTAGGAATCCATCCAGGATGTTCCTGTGGAGTTAGAAACTTCAGAAGAATTATCCCCTGAACAAATGAAAGAGGATAAGGTATCTGTTTCTAAACGGAAGCGCTCATTTCAGTATGAACAAATTAAACTCATCTTACTTCAACAACAATTCCAAAATGATGAAAATATAAGGGCCGCTGAGAAACATCACCTGGAGCTAAAATCAATTAGTCTAAGAAACGAACTCTTGGAATTGGAATTGGAGGAGAAACGTCGCCGTATGGGAATGTTAAGTTACGTTTAATCAAACAGGAGAAATTAAGCTGATTATACGTATAATAATAATACAGTACATAAACGAAAACCATAGATTGACTATTTAGTATTGATGGGAACAGACGGTGCCGGTTCATCAGGGGATCCCTTCAAAGCCTCGTAATCTGTGGGCTGTACTTTTGCGAGCTCCAAGTTGTTTTCTATATAGGGATTGTTCATATCAACGTATTGCTAAAATAAATATTAAATTTTTATAAAATTTGTATAAGCTTATGCAAAAAGAGGATTATTTGACTTACATTGCAAATTTCTGCTCCCAATATTTGCGAAAAACGTTGAACCAGCTCATCAAACAAAGGTCTACTCTTAGGACTGACAAATAATAAAAAATAAAAAAAAATAATAAATAAAAACAGTGGTTTCAAGTGCATATTCTCTAATGAATAACTTACATCTTTCGCCAGCATTCCAGCATGATCTCGTAGATCTCCTGGTTGGCATACGGAGGCTTCTCCATGCGGTAGCCATCGTTCAGTTTGTTCAAGAGCTGGCTGGGATCAATACCCGGATACGGCACCTTCGCCAGCGAGAACATCTCCCAGAGGACGATGCCAAAGGACCAGACATCGCTGTAGGTGCTAAAAACATGGTCGGTTAAAGATTCCAGTGCTAGCCATTTAATTGGCATCTTTCCATTTTCTAAAATATAAAAACATCGCATAATAACATACTTAATTTAGGTAACATATGTGTTTACCCTTTTTGTAATAATTTTGATACAAGGATCTGGCTAGACCAAAGTCACAGATCTTGACCACGTTTTTATCGCAAAGCAGAATATTTCTGGCGGCCAAATCACCGTGGAGAACCTGCTTGGAGGAGAGGTACTCCATGCCCCGGGCCACTTGGAAGGCCCAACTGACCAGATTGGAGGTCGTTAATGTGATAGGCTTCGTTGAGTCAGTTTCATAATTGGAACCCCAGATGGGATTATACAGCGTAGCTTATTAAAGAAAAAACATCACATATTATAGCAATCTTTGGAGAATGTACTTAAAGGTTCCATAAAATAATGCTCACCTTCGTCGTGGGGGTCAGTATCGGTATCCAAGCTAATCAGAGAACTGGTATCAATCTTATCTGTCATGGGATTTATTTGATTAACAAAGTGTGATCTATTCTTTAGAAGAACATTATGAATATTTCCAAACCGACAGTACTCCACAATGACCATGAGTTCATCTAAGAAAAAAATTGCATTAGCATTCCTATGTTAGTTTCTATAATTAAAACTCACGTTTTTCAACATTATTAGTTATAGCTCCTAGAAGATTTACTACGTTTAGGTGCTGGCCCAAGCGGATCATGATATTCAGCTCTGCCATGAGAGCCTGCATCACCTCACTGTCCGCCGAGCGTCTGGCCATTTTTACGGCAACATTGGTTGAGACCTCGTCCTTACGGATTCCCTTTGCTTCGCCTTTGAGTACTACTCCGAAAGCTCCTTCTCCCAGCTGCTTGCCCAGCTTAAGGTTGTGCCGCGGAATCTCAAAAACCTCGGGAACATGTGTATATTGTACCAGAGGCTCTTCGGCTTTGTCGGCATTTAATGCCAAGTGTCTCTTATGAGCACGGAAGTAGAATACAGCCAGACTGGCGAAAAAGATGACCATAATTAGCCCTATAATGATGCCCACCCACAACCACACCCATCTAATTGCACTATTTGGATCTGAAACGGTGTTTGATTATTAAAAAATTATAAAAGAGGATCTTAGGAGTCTCACCTGTAACAATCACTCTCACGGACTTTTCAATACTGCCCCCTAGGTTCGTTACTCTACATTTGTAGACCCCCTGGTCCTTCGGAAGCAAACTATGAATGTAAAGATTGGTTCGATTCATTTCGATGCGCGTTTCATTCGATTGGGTCAGCTCTTTGTTGTCCTTGAACCATGTCGCCGTGAATGGGTCCACGGCGTTGAAGCTACATTCTAGCATTAGGGATTCATTTTGCAGCCTTCCCATTTTGATTTCCTGAGGAGTATTTAGGGTGTGCCATTCTGGTGGTGGAGTATCATAGATGGTTAGATTATATATCAGTTTTTGGAACTCCTTGGGTCTATCGATGCGGTAAGCTCGACAGAGGTAGGTCCCATTGACATCGTCGTCAATGTTTGAAATCTGCAAAATGCTCTTGTACGAAAATGTGCCGTTTAAGTGTATAATTTTAAAACCTGAAAAAAATAGTATCTTCATAAATAAATCTGCATCAGTTCCTATAGTTTTCTTTTCTTACGGTTAGAATCGTTCAGCTGCCGGCCATCGCGAAGCCATAGAAGATTATTATTGTAATGGTAGGCCACAGCTCCGCAGGTAACATTTATAGTGTCGCGCCTATAAGTTTTTCTACCCAGTGGATGTTCATCCACATTAATTGTCATTCTATCGGATAAATCGGATAGAAGTATTTGGGCATCCGCGGTCTCATATTTTTTGTCCACCGTACTATTTGCAAAGATTTTGAGAACTCCCGGGTAGCGTGGAGTGAATGTGACCTCATAGGTCGAATATCCGTTCCCCTCAGCCGGTTTTGTCGTAAAGGAAAGCTAAAACAAAAAAATGTCTTTAATATCACTGGGGAACTTTCAGTATTTAATCACTTACTTCATTTCCAACTGAATTGTTGCAGTTCGGCCATCGTGGTTGCAGGTTGCACCTGCAGAAGTTAAAGGAGACTACTGCCGGCGGAACAGCTCGCACATAGCACACAAACTTAAATGGTCCACCCGCCTGGACGTAGACTTCAGAGTTCGGTACAAGTAGTTCGGGGGGGCGTCTTACGCTTACGTTGTACTTCCGTCTGTCATTGAGGAATATATTGTCAACCAACAGGACATAAGTGCCGGTATCCTCTTGCTGGACATCTATTCGCAAAGCGGTGCTCGACTTATCGTAAAATATCCCAAAATTTATTTCCGAAGGCCAGATTTCGCTTCCATTCGGTTTATACCAATGGATGGTTGGTCTCGGATATGCATTAAAGGAGGCATTTATCCAAATACGCTCGCCGGGTAAGCAATCAAAGTGATCAGAACTATTCAATCCTTGCTTATTTATATTCAGAAAAACTTGATTGGATTCTGGAATGTGTCTAATGGTTATTGGGCGTTAATGTATAACATCTTAAACCCACCTAGAACTTTTATATGGTAGTTAGCAGAAGTTATGATATCATTATCATTTACTTTGCATTCGTAAGCCCCGCTATCCGTAGGCTGAGCATTTTTTACCTTCAATTCGCTGTACCAAAATTCGTGAGTCATATCCATCTTAAAGGACCTTCGCGTATCTATGTTAAGGAGGGATAATTCCCTCTTTATAAGGAATTACAATTTATGAATTAAAAGTTAAAGAATTAGATACACTTGCAAAAACCTCTTGGATACCCACCGTGGAGTTCAGCGGAATCGACCAGGTCATACTATTATTATCATTTACGGAGGCCGTCTGGTCGCATCTGAGAATCAGATCGGAGCCCTTTATGACGTAGTGACCTAAATTGCTTTCGATGATGGGACGATCCCTTTGCTTAAAACCGACTAAATTATAAGTATTGGATAAATATGTTTAAATAAGCCCTTTAATGCAATTGGTTACCAGTAGTTTTTGCAGTATATATAATCGACTCCAACATATTTTCCTTGAAGGGGACTTGTGAAACACAGCTCAGCTTTGTGCCATTTCGAAAGCGGTTGTTTTTTAATTCAAAGCCTCTCTTGGGATTATAATTTGGGGTATTTTGGCTGAACAACTTGTGTTTAAAGAGAAAAAATAGGAACTTTAAAATCTACCTGTTGATAAGTAACTACTCACTTCATCGCCTTCGCTTTTTAGCAGAACCGTCGTATTGGGCATTGAGGGCTTGCAGGGTATCAGCAGGTTATCATACAGCCCGAAAAAGCTTACTGGTTGATGAGGAACCAGTTTGTTCTTAGAATCGTTTACATAAACATAAATTGAGCTGGCTAGTTCCAAGTTTACATTCTCTGCCATTATAGCCTCATCAATATCGGGGTTCTTTTGCATTTCCGATTTCTTGATGCAGTAATAGGCGCCCACCTCGCCCGCAGACACATTATTTAGGCTTAGACTTGTGGAATGGTTCGATTCTTCAAGTACATCCATTAATTTGTTATGGATGCTCCACCACGTTACCGGCTCTTCCGCCTCGCATCGCAGATTGTATGTGCTCTTGTACTCCAAAATAATAAAGTCTAAGCAGGGTGTGATCCTTGGTCCTCCGTTCTCTCCTCCGCAATTGAGGGAGTATTTATTCCCTATCATACCTAACGACGTATTTGTTTTTGCTTTTGGTAGGATATATTATTAGTTAGGTTTTAAAACAACTCTTATATAGCTACTCACATGCGTAACACCCTAATGTAAAAATAAGGGGCAGTAGCAGGTCCAAAAATAATCTCCTTGGCATGGTGACAAATTCAAAATATAATTTATAATATTATATAATCTTATGATGCATAAGCTAAAATGTACGTATAGTTCGATTCTTCGTAATAAGTATGATGACTTGGCAGTAATTTAAAAAATCGTTAGTCAACTTCAGTAAAGGGGAAAATGTTCAATTTTAAATGCATCCAAAAATGCAGTAAAATTGTTTTAAATGTATTCCAAAATATAGATTAAATACATCAAAATTATCAGGCGTAGATCTACGTGGTCTGAGTCGTTATTGTAATGTACATAAACCCTCTGGAACACTATAACCCTCTGGAACACTATAGATGTACATCATAAATATATAATTTGTATTAATCACTCTTCAATAAATTACGCCCTTTTTTTTAAGCGATCATTGTCGATACTTTAGATTATGTAATAGATATTATAAAACAGTTTTCACCACAAAAGAATGTATCGGCTTGTTTCACAGATTCGCTTTTTTTACGGTTTTATACTATTGTTTAAAAAAAATTAAAGCTCTATCACAACCGAATGATTAACATATTTTATATTTTATTTCAAAAGTTTTTTAGCACGACGATTTAATTCCGACGGTCCTCCAAAGGCAACTGAACATTTTGAACAGAAGAAATTTCACTTATAAGCTCCATTAAACCACTAATGTCGTATGAGACGTTTGATGATTTAACTCAAAAACTCAAATGAGCGATATTTCACTTAATTTTTGTTAGTGTTTTTCTGAGTTCTGAGTATTTGGAATCCGCATGATAATTTTCTGTTTAGTTCAATGATGATATTTGGTGAATCAAATAAAATAAGAAACTCTCCAGCAAAATATTTCTTAAAAAAAAAAAAATACAAACTTTTCACTTATTGTTGTTTACTTAAATTGTTCACTTATATTATAGTTAAAGTTAATTATTGAGTAGAAAAAAATTATTACGTTACAAATAAGTTTTAGTGGATGTAGGGTGGATGGAGAGCTACTTCAGAGTCTTCTAGCCGGATATACTTAGACGATCGTCACCATGGGTATTTCCTCGGGCGCGGTGGTTTCGCTTGAGAAGTCCGGAAAGTCGGAGGACCCGTCTTCCGGGCGCGATTGCGAGAATATGGCAGTGAAAGCATCGCTATCGGAGTCCTGGACGAGTCTCATCACCTGATAGTCGTCCGGAATGGATTCAATGCCTGAGTTTGTGTTCCAGCGGGTGGAGGTGCAAATTTGGGTGTCGGATGGTTGAATTTCATGTCTGTGGTCGGAGGAAAAGTCCAAATACTTACGAATATTGGCCACAATGCGTCCGTTGACATAACTGGGAGCCGAGGGCGCTATCTCATTCGGGCAACCCATCAAAGCGAAGTAATCGGTTCCCTGGTTTTTTCTGTACTCGAAGTTTTGCTGCTTATATGGGTTGTTCATGTCCACATAGTGCTATGGTAGGGAACCATTTTAACTAATATAACTTATAAATTAGATGGAGGTACTTACATTAACCACGTCTTCACCCACCACATTAGCCAAGCGTTTCTCTAACGCATTAAACAGCGGTCTGCTCTCAGGCCTTTTAATAAAATTAAGAATAAATTAAATCGAAGCTGTAAGCTATTCCGAAAACTTACATCTTTCGCCAGCATTCCAGCATGATTTCGTAAAGCTCTTGGTTGGCATACGGGGGCCTCTCCATGCGGTAGCCATCGTTCAGTTTGTTCAAGAGCTGGCTGGGATCAATACCCGGATATGGCACCTTCGCCAGCGAGAACATCTCCCAGAGGACGATGCCAAAGGACCAGACATCGCTGTAGGTGCTGAAAACATGGTCGCTTAGGGACTCCAGCGCCAGCCACTTGATGGGCAGTTTTCCACTTTCTTTAATCAGGAAAATAATTAAAAATAAATATTTAAAAAAGAAGAGATTTCTTTGAATATACCTGACTTCTTGTAGTTGTCTCCTCGGTACATGGACCGGGCCAGGCCAAAGTCACAAATCTTAACCACGTTGTCCTCGCAGAGCAGGATGTTTCTGGCGGCCAAGTCGCCGTGAAGGACCTTCTTGGAGGACAGGTAGTCCATGCCTCTGGCCACTTGGAAGGCCCAACTAATCAGATCGACGGTCGAAATCGTTGTTTCGTTTTTATATTCGGACTTCCTATCGGGCTGGGCAAAATCATTGGACATTGCTTTGTCATCTGTAAAATAGAAAGGTATTTATTTTATGTTGAAACTAAACACCATTAGCACCACTAGTAATATATTAGTTACCACAAGTCGCATAACTGTTATTTTTGGGGGTTTAGTCGCCACACCACAGGATCAAAGTACAGGACCCAGAGTGAGGCCCACACAGAGAGAAGGGAGCAGGATAACAAGCACAGGTGCAGATACATTCATTCACAATCAAAATGCCGAGTAAGTGTTGTTTTGTGCGTGAAGTGTTTTGAGAGTTGATTAGGATTCGTGTGGAACGAGTTGGTTGGTCGGGGTTAGTTGGGTGTTAGAATTGTGGTATGGATAGTGTCACCAAAACCAGTAAACGAAACAGAAACAGAATTAGTTGTTAAGGTTAGTGGTTGTTCCATTATTAATCCATTATTAGAGGTTAGTCAACAAAGAACATTGAGAGAAGGAAGGAGTATTGTCCCGAAACCACTTACCGATGCAGGTCAAAGTTGTCTGAAACCCTCTGGATCGTTATGCTGGGATCGATGTGATCTGTTTCAGAGTTAATCTGATTAATGAAGCACTTTCGGTTCCTCAGCAAGAAGTTTTGGATGTTGCCAAAGCGGCAGTATTCCACAATGACCATAAGCTCTCCTGGAAAAGAAAACAAAGTTCGACAAACAAAACTCAAAAATGTGTAACTTCCGCTTACGTTTCGCAATATTTTTGGTAACAGCTCCGAGAAGGTTGACCACGTTTAGGTGCTGGCCCAAATGAACCATGATCTTCAGCTCGGAGACGAGAGCCCTCACCACCTCATTGTCCGCCGTGCGTTTGACCATCTTTACGGCCACCGTGGTGCATCTCTCCTCCTTCCGGATGCCCGTCGCTTCGCCCTTGAGCACCACTCCGAAGGCTCCGGCTCCTAGTTGCTTGCCAAGCTTCAGGTTCTCCCGCGGAAACTCAAACTCGCGGTTGTAGGGCAATAGTTCCGCCTGTTCGTCTAGGGTCAGATCCGGATTGATGTGACCCACGGCGCCCTCCTCAAAGTTGGCTAGGGCCGCCTTAAGGGCCAAGTGCCGTTTGTGCTCCTTATGGTAGCGAACGGCCAGGAAGGCGTATAGGCTGACCAGAAACAGGAACATGATTATTCCGAACCACACCCAACCCTTGTTTATGCCAGGAAGGTCTAAGAAAAAGGACAGAAAAGTTAATATGAAAGCATTGTATAAAATGGGATTAGTTACCAGTTATGATCACAGTCACGGACTTTTCGATCCTGCCCAATCGGTTCTCCACACGACAAGTGTAGACACCGTCGTCGCGGGGATAAAGGTGGCTTATAAATAGCTTTGACTCATCGTCCAGGATGTGGGTAAGATTCGTTTCGACCAGTTCCTTTTCGTCCTTGAACCATCGAACCGTAGCCAGAGGAACGGCTGTGGAGCGACATTCCAGATCCAAGGACTGGCTCAGTTTCCGTTCTATTTTGGATTTCTTGGGGTGAATGGGTGTCTGCCACACCGGCGCCTGGGGCTCGTGGATATAGACGTCCACCTCCCGACGATCGTATTCGGAAGGACGATGTATGTGGTAAGCTCGGCATTCGTAGGTTCCCCGATCTTTGTCGCTGATGGCCAAAAAGTGGACAGTGCTTTTGTAGGAATACTGACTTTCGGTCCTTATGATTTTAACGTCTGCAAGATTTAAACATCAAATTACGTAACATTCTATATTAAATCTTAATTCATCTATTAATTTACCATCCGATTCGACCAGCTCCTCGCCGTCGTGATACCACTGAAGATTGCCATTGAAGTGATAGGCCAGGGCCTCGCAGGTGAAGTTCTCCTCGTCACCTCTGGCAATCTTTCGATTCAGATCGAGACCGTGTATAGTCATGTTGTTGGCAATGTCCCCCAGCATTATGTGGGCCTTCGCAATGGCTGAAAAGTTCTGGCCTTCCACGAAGTTCATTGCAGCGCAACTGAAGATTCCCGGCTTGGTGGGAGTGAAGATGGCCTCATAAATGGTTTCCACACTGAATCTGCCGGGCCTCATCTTGGAGGTTAGCTGTAGGGAGAGGAAGAAGACGAAATATGCAATGAATGTTTTCCCTCAACTAAATTTCAGATCTTACATCAATGTTCTCTCTGGCATTGTCGCAATTGGGCCAGCGGGGCTTCAGACTGCAGGGGTAAAAATTGAGGGAGACAATCGGCGGAGGATAACCGCGGACGTAGCACTCCAATTTGGCCTGTCCGCCCACCTGCACGTAGGCATCCGAAACGGTAACCACCGGTCCGGATTTCACGCTAACGTTGTACTTCCGGGTGACCCTGTTGTAGGTGTTCTCCCCTCGCAGGACATAGGTGCCACTGTCCTCCAGCTGGGCATTGAGGATCTGCAGGGTGGTGCTCGACTCCGTTGGGATGATTTTGAACTTGGGCTCCGTCTGATGGATGTCGCTTCCATCGGGCTTATGCCAATAAAATGTTGGTATCGGATACCCCTCAAAGATAGCTGTCATCTGAATAGTCTTGTTCGCAAATCCTTCAACCGTGGAATTAGATGTAGGTTCCTGAACCTTCAGATAGGTCTCATTCGTTTCTAGAAAGTGGGTAGGAATTTTTATATATTTTCTCTTGTCTGTTGCTCCGATGCGTATACGTACCCAGTACTCTCAACTTGTATGTGGAGTGGGCAATGACGTATCCATCGGACACAGTACATTTATAGGGTCCACTGTCCGTGGTCTGAGCCTTCTCCACCGTTAATGTGCTCCGGCCGACTTGGTGAGTGACGTTCATGGTCTTGGGATCGAATTTAGGAGTGGTGATGATAAGGCGACTCTGCAGAATAAAAACGGTTCTATTAGATGGACTTTCAAGCATATCCGGATCACAAACCATATCCTTGATGGGAGTAGACCATTTCATTTCATAGTTTGCATCTATGAATTCGGTCTGTTCGCAGGTGAGTGTGAACGAGGAGTCCTTTTGGACGTGATGATTTAGAGTAGATTTAATTACGGGCTGGTTCCTTAGCTTTTTGGGATCTATTGCGTTGGTTAGAATATTAGTCGTAATTATTTATCCTTTTAATATGTCGAGATGAAAGAAGCAATGCTACAGCTTCATGCGGATAATGGGTTGGGTTAGTGATTCACATTCTGACATGGATGGGTTAATAGTTAACTTAGTCAACTTAAATGGAAGCATGCGGATTAGCGATTAGGAATCCGTGAAACACATACCAAACAAAAGCGATCATTAAAAAACAAAAGCGAGTGTCAAAACTTAAGATCAAGTTGTTGGTTATTAATAATCACATCAAAGATCAGGCCTTCCTCTTGGTTGCCTGGGGAGGGTTCCGCAGGCAAGCACTCGTAATAGTGAATCCCTGCATTAGATTGTACCGATTGGCATACTTGCTGGAAGCTGTCTGAACATAGATGAATATGGTCAGATATCTGTATTCTCCACAAAATCACTTCCTAAATCCTATTAAACTCTACATACTTTTGGAACTTTATTATAACTATTTTGGGGGATGGGTTATCTATATTTACGATGAGATCCTTAAGGTACATAAATGTATATTTTTATACATAATATTTATATTTACATATTTTATGGTTTTCTAACTACGGTTTGAAAATTATTTGATTGCTTGAACATACGTCTATAACTAATCGGAATAGCAGTATCATTGCAGTACAGATCCTCTGGTGTTTTGTCTAGAACATGCAATATGAATCCCCTTTTCCGATCGTAGCTCCATTCTTTGAAGTACTTAGGAAGAACTTCGCTTGCATTCTGGGAACTTGTGATCCACTCGGTTCCCTTCAAGTATTAGAAGTCGGTGGAGTTATTTAAAATAAGTCCTTTACTATTATACTTAATATTTTTCTGATTTCTAGAGCCGACAAATTATAGAGCCTAGAGTCTGAATCTGTCCCCTTTTGCGGACCGCTTTTTGAACTACTTACTTCCGAGTTGAAAAGAAGAATAACCTCCGTGTCTGGCATCGTGGGCTTGCAGGGTATCACCACGCTGGTATACTGCCGGGCAATCACCAAGGGTGCGTAGGGAACCAGCAAGTGATCCGGATCATTCACGTAAACATAAATGGAGGCGGCATCATCATTGTTTGTATACTCCACCATCGCGTCCTCATCAATATCTATGTTATTTTCCAGCTCAGACTTTTTGACGCAGTAGTAGGCGCCTACACTTTCTGCTGTCACATTCTTAAGTACCAACTTGACCCCATGGGGCCGCAGCGGATTTGTCTCGGTGTTGTCGAACTCCTCTGTTTCCGTGACGTCGTCGTGGGCGTGGTACAACCAGGTCACCGGTTCCTCCGCCTCACATCTCAGTGTGTAGGATGTCTTAAACTCCAATTGAACAGACTCAAAACAGGGCGTGATAAGGGGCGCTCCGTACGTCCCGCCACAATATACGTCGTGTGAATTTTCCTTTAAATCTATCTGGGGTACTGTAACAATTAAAACCAATTTATAAAATATTATTCCATTTATAAATTAAACAGAATCCTACGTTTTAAAAAATTAAACTTATGCTTCCTTTCTATAAAAGCTATTTTGAATTTAATCAACCTTTTAGTAGACTAGTCAGTATTTATAGTATAGGTTCATAAAAAGGGGTTTCAAGATGTACTTACTCGCATCGCTCTCTGAGATCAAAATGTGAAGAAAATGCAGAAACAAGGATAAGCAAATCCTCTTAGTCAGCATTGTTGAATTATTTTTTAAATTTTTTGTTAAATAAAATGAATTTTATAAACACATCGGGACCTTTAGTGGGTTTTTGGATGTTTGCTGTTGTTATTGTAGAGTGTTTTTTATTCCTTATCGCTTGTGTATATACACTGTTTATAAAATTAAAAATTTAGATTAAATAAATATTTATATTTTAATATTTTTTTTATAACTACATATGTACATTTGTGATTGATTTTAAAAAGTTTCAAGTTTGATGACTTGGCAGGGATGTGGTAAATTATTACTTTTTGGCTCACCAAAAATGGGGGCATTGCGGGATCAAAAATTAAAATTATTAATATTTTCGAAAGGGACCTGTAAAACGTTCATTGGTGCTGGTGGGCATCCCCAATTTCTTAAATTTTTTAAAAATTTCTTAAAAAGACCCTGCATAAAAAATGTTTTTTTACCTATTTGGCTCTTGCTCACACTCATAGCTTTTTGTTGATTTGAGTACTAGGCTTTAATTTAAAAGAAAAAAAATAATTCCTAAAACGAATTCAAGTAGATATGGAATAAATGTCTTTTATAATTAATTTTTATGTGGAGATCTACGTGGTCCGGGTCTAACTATACTCTTTTATCTAGAGGGTATTATAATTTTAATCAAAAGTGTGCAACGCAGTGAAGGAGTAATTTCCGACCCTATAAATTATATATGTTCATGATCAGGATCATCTTATCGTCTTCAAACTTTGCACACACTCTTCTTTCTTTTGCACGCAGTATATAAGTCACCAGCCGTGATCGGCCGACTATATCCTATAGCTGTCATATAACTGATTGATCGGATATGCCATAACTATGGTGTTTTTAGAGTTAGGAAGTGAAGACTTTGTATGGATTCTACTTGTGGAACTAACCAATATTCAATAGCTGCTGTATAACTGAACGGTTGAAACGGTTCTATAATAAAATTCTCATAACGTTAGATCCGATATTTGGGAATTATATTAGATCTTAACTGCAAGGGTATGTATGTGTATCAACTCGGCTCTGCACCAAGTTAGCTTTTCTTTCTTTTTTAAATGTAAAGGTCTTTAAAGTTTAAACTCTAGACATAAGTCAATAATTATACAATTTTAACAAGTAAGGCTCTTTTTTGAATAATCACTGCCGTAGTTTAACTTTATTTAATAAACGTTTTAAATTTCACTTTATTTATAATTATATATAATTATTTATAATTATTTATTAACGATTTTACCTATAAAGTATTTTACCGAGCACATGAAATTCCGAAGATGCGACAAAGGCAACTGAACATTTTTTACTTCAGCACTAAAAATGAAATTTTAATTTTACGATAAACCCAATAAAACCACAAAATATCGTATGAGACGTTTTATGATTTTGCTTTTATGATTTGTGTTTATTCAAATGGGTATCAAACATGGTTATCAAATATAACCCGTGAGCAAATGAGCAACAGTAAAGGCTAAATTTATTTAAATATTTTTATTTAAAATGAATTCACGCTTTACAACACTGAATGCTAACGGTCTAAAAATCAAAGGAATTGTCAACGAAAAGACTTATAGTTATTGTATCTTTAATTTAAAAAAACAAATTTACTTACCTTAGTTTAGATAAAAGGAATAAACAAATAAGCATAATATTATACCCATTATATTTGAGTAGTTTTAGGTTTATATGTACATACACGCATACACAGTTCAAGACAATTAATTAAATAGATAAGTTTACATAGAACTTATGTCTAGACCCTAAACATACACATGAAATGGCGTTAATAAATGTATTACATCGATTGAGTGGGTGTGGGAGTGGGAGTAGATTTGGGGCATGTGCTCTTAAAGCTATATCAGAATCTAAACAATGCCACTAAGTAGTATTGTTGTCTAAAGGCCTCCTTTCCAGTTCAGGTGAAGTGATCACATGAAAGTTGAAATTTTAATTTTTGATTCAACAACAACATTTATACAAGTACATTTTCGTTAATAATTAAAAATAGGATTCATTTCCCAATCGATTGTGTTTTTTTTTTCAACTGAACCTTTAACGAGACCACAAAGGAGCTGCGAAGGATAATACTATTATCTAATATCTTCGCTGTTCCTTTTCGCTGGCGCTGGACAATGGCTGGTATCCCGGATTGGAGAAGGCATCCGTTGTCGCTCCGCCGACTGTGGACTTTCCGGGTATATTTTTTCTGGGTGGCTTCACATTTACGTAATTCTCGGCGGCGGAGGCGGAGAACTCGCCATTCAGCTTCGTTTCCACGTGATGGCGGGGCGAAGGCGTTGGCGTGGGAGTGGCGTAGTGCTGTTTCAGTGTTTGATTGAATCTCGTCGCCGGATCTGGACCATCGTCCGATCCGCCAGACTGGCGATGCAGCATGGGTATCTCTTCGGGCGCTTGGTCTGCTGCATCCACGGTAGGCACGCCGTTCTTCTTGCGGAGCAACTTACTCGCCCCATTATTCATGTTGTTACTTAACGTCGGCGACTGCCGCGATCCTGCTGGAAAATTGAAAGTGGTTTCGCTTGAGAAGTCCGGAAAGTCGGAGGACCCGTCTTCCGGGCGCGATTGCGAGAAAATGGCAGTGCAAGCATCGCTATCGGAGTCCTGGTCTGGGCTCATCGCCTGGTAGTCGTCCGGCACGGATTCAATGCCTGTGTTAGTGTGCCAGCGGGTGGAGGTGCAAATTTGGATGTCGGATGGTTGGATGGATGTGGGTGAGCGTGCAGAGTTAGTTTCTATGGCTGTGGTCAGAGAAGAAATTAGAATACTCACGGATATCGGGAACTATACGTCCGTTGACGTAGCTTGGAGCCGAGGGTGCCAACTCGTCCGGGGAACCCATCAAAGCAAGGTAATCGGTCTCCTGGTTCTTCATGTACTCCAGGTTGCTCTGCATGTATGGATTGTTCAGGTCCAAGTAGTGCTATAATAGGGTACATTTTTAGCTAATATTACTATTGATTCAGACAGTGGTACTTACGTTAGCCACGTCTTCACCCAGCATGTTGGCGAAGCGTTTCTCTAGCGCATTAAACAGCGGTCTGCTCTCAGGCCTTTAAATAAAATATGGATAAACTAAATACAAGATCTAAGTAGCGTTTCTGAGAACTTACTGTCTTCGCCAGCACTCCAGCATGATTTCGTAAAGCTCCTGGTTAGCATACGGGGGCTTCTCCATGCGGTAGCCATCGTTAAGTTTATTGAAGAGCTCCTGGTTGGGATCAATACCCGGATATGGCACCTTCGCCAGCGAGAACATCTCCCAGAGGACGATGCCAAAGGACCAGACATCGCTGTAGGTGCTGAAAACATGGTCGCTTAGGGACTCCAGCGCCAGCCACTTGATGGGCAGTTTTCCACTTTCTTTAATCAGGAAAATAATTAAAAATAAATATTTAAAAAAAATAAGAGATTTCTTTGAGTATACCTGACTTCTTGTAGTTGTCTCCTCGGTACATGGACCGGGCCAGGCCAAAGTCACAAATCTTAACCACGTTGTCCTCGCAGAGCAGGATGTTTCTGGCGGCCAAATCACCGTGAAGGACCTTCTTGGAGGACAGGTAGTCCATGCCCCTGGCCACTTGGAAGGCCCAACTGATCAGATCGACGGTCGTAACCGTCATGGCCTCTGTGAAGTCGGTTTTGTAGTTGGAACGCCAGGCGGGCTGGACAGAATTATTGGACATTACTTGGTCATCTGAGGAACAGAAAGATAAATGTTAAAGATTTTCAAAATAATATGTATAGCTATAATACCTTCCGGAACTGTGGTCATCACTGTGGCACAAGTGTCCATTTGCCGATCGTAGCTGTAGGTGGCATTTCCGGTTACTGTCCGTCCGGCTCGGGTGCCCGAGCGGGGATCATTGTCCGAGTTTCTGCGATGGGGCGATGAGTGCGTGTTATTGTTGTACACCGAGTTCATGTGATTTATATAGGAGTGGTGTGGGAACCCAATATTTGCATACTTCAAGCCACCACCACCATTCGCATCGCTGTTATTTTTGGGGGTTTAGTCGCCACACCACAGGATCAAAGTACAGGACCCAGAGTGAGGCCCACACAGAGAGAAGGGAGCAGGATAACAAGCACAGGTGCAGATACATTCATTCACAATCAAAATGCCGAGTAAGTGTTGTTTTGTGCGTGAAGTGTTTTGAGAGTTGATTAGGATTCGTGTGGAACGAGTTGGTTGGTCGGGGTTAGTTGGGTGTTAGAATTGTGGTATGGATAGTGTCACCAAAACCAGTAAACGAAACAGAAACAGAATTAGTTGTTAAGCTTAGTGGTTGTTCCATTATTAATCCATTATTAGAGGTTAGTCAACAAAGAACATTGAGAGAAGGAAGGAGTACTGTCCCGAAACCACTTACCGATGCAGGTCAAAGTTGTCTGAAACCCTCTGGATCGTTATGCTGGGATCGATGTGATCTGTTTCAGAGTTAATCTGATTAATGAAGCACTTCCGGTTCCTCAGCAAGAAGTTTTGGATGTTGCCAAAGCGGCAGTATTCCACAATGACCATAAGTTCGCCTGGAAAAGAAAACAAAGTTCGACAAAGAAAACTCAAAAATGTGTAACTTCCACTTACGTTTCGCAATGTTTTTCGTAACAGCTCCGAGAAGGTTGACCACGTTTAGGTGCTGGCCCAAATGAACCATGATCTTCAGCTCGGAGACGAGAGCCCTCACCACCTCATTGTCCGCCGTGCGTTTGACCATCTTTACGGCCACCGTGGTGCATCTCTCCTCCTTCCGGATGCCCGTCGCTTCGCCCTTGAGCACCACTCCGAAGGCTCCGGCTCCTAGTTGCTTGCCAAGCTTCAGGTTCTCCCGCGGAAACTCAAACTCGCGGTTGTAGGGCAATAGTTCCGCCTGTTCGTCTAGGGTCAGATCCGGATTGATGTGACCCACGGCGCCCTCCTCAAAGTTGGCTAGGCCGGCCGCCTTCAGGGCCAAGTGCCGCTTGTGCTCCTTGTGGTAGCGAACGGCCAGGAAGGCGCAGAGGCTGACCAGGAACAGGAACATGATTATTCCGAACCACACCCAACCCTTGTTTATGCCAGGAAGGTCTAAGAAAAAGGACAGAAAAGTTAATATGAAAGCATTGTATAAAATGGGATTAGTTACCAGTTATGATCACAGTCACGGACTTTTCGATCCTGCCCAATCGGTTCTCCACACGACACGTGTAGACACCGTCGTCGCGGGGATACAGGTGGCTAATAAATAGCTTTGACTCATCGTCCAGGATGTGGGTAAGATTCGTTTCGACCAGTTCCTTTTCGTCCTTGAACCATCGAACCGTAGCCAGAGGAACGGCTGTGGAGCGACATTCCAGATCCAAGGACTGGCTCAGTTTCCGTTCTATTTTGGATTTCTTGGGGTGACTGGGTGTCTGCCACACCGGCGCCTGGGGCTCGTGGATATAGACGTCAACCTCCCGACGATCGTATTCGGAAGGACGATGTATGTGGTAAGCTCGGCATTCGTAGGTTCCCCGATCTTTGTCGCTGATGGCCATAAAGTGGACAGTGCTTTTGTAGGAATACTGACTTTCAGTCCTTATGATTTTAACATCTGCAAGATTTAAACATCAAATTACGTAAGATTCTATATTAAATCTTAATTCATCTATTAATTTACCATCCGATTCGACCAGCTCCTCGCCGTCGTGATACCACTGAAGATTGCCATTGAAGTGATAGGCCAGGGCCTCGCAGGTGAAGTTCTCCTCGTCACCTCTGGCAATCTTTCGATTCAGATCTAGACCATGTATAGTCATGTTGTTGGCAATGTCCCCCAGCATTATGTGGGCCTTCGCAATGGCTGAAAAGTTCTGGCCTTCCACGAAGTTCATTGCAGCGCAACTGAAGATTCCCGGCTTGGTGGGAGTGAAGATGGCCTCATAAATGGTTTCCACACTGAATCTGCCGGGCCTCATCTTGGAGGTTAGCTGTAGGGAGAGGAAGAAGACGAAATATGCAATGAATGATTTCCCTCAACTATATTTCAGATCTTACATCAATGTTCTCTCTGGCATTGTCGCAATTGGGCCAGCGGGGCTTCAGACTGCAGGGGTAAAAATTGAGGGAGACATTCGGCGGAGGATAACCGCGGACGTAGCACTCCAATTTCGCCTGTCCACCCACCTGCACGTAGGCATCCGAAATAGTAACCACCGGTCCGGATTTTACGCTAACGTTGTACTGCCGGGTGACCCTGTTGTAGGTGTTCTCCCCTCGCAGGACATAGGTGCCGCTGTCCTCCAGCTGGGCATTGAGGATCTGCAGGGTGGTGCTCGACTCCGTTGGGATGATTTTGAACTTGGGCTCCGTCTGATGGATGTCGCTTCCATCGGGCTTATGCCAATAAAATGTTGGTATCGGATACCCCTCAAAGATAGCTGTCATCTGGATAGTCTTGTTCGCGTATCCTTCAACTATGTAATGAGATGTCGGTTCCTGAACCTTCAGATAGGTCTCATTCGTTTCTGGAAAGAAAGCACGTCTTTTTATGTCTCTTCTCTGTTGCTCTGAGGCGTGTACTTACCCAGTACTTTCATCTTGTAAGTGTAGTGGGTAGTAACGTAGCCATCGGACACAATGCACTTGTAGGGTCCACTGTCTGTTTTCTGAGCCTTCTCCACCGTCAACATGCTCCGGCCGACTTGGTGAGTGGCGTTCATGGTCTTGTGATCGAATTTAGGAGTGGTGATGATAAGGCGACTCTAAGGCGCAAAATAAAAACGGTTCTATTAGATGGACTTTCAAGCATATCTGGATTACAAACCATATCCTTGATGGGAGTAGACCATTTCATTTGATAGTTTGCATCTATGACTTCGGTCTGTTCGCAGGTGAGTGTAAAAGAGGAGTCCTTTTCGACGTGATGATTGAGAGTAGATTTAATCTCGGGCCGGCCTAATGACTTGTTGACCTCTGTTGCGTTGTTTAGAATATTAATCGTTATTATTTATCCTTTTAAAAGCTCGAGATGAAAGAAGCAATGCTACAGCTTCATGCGGATAATGGGTTGGGTTAGTGATTAACATGCGGGCATGGATGGGTTAACAGTTTCAAACTACGACTTAAATGGAAGCATGCGGTTTAGCAAACGAAGACAGTCCATAACCAAAGAAATATCAAATCATAATCTTAATCATATAGAATGATGAGAGGAGGACTAGAGCAAACACAAACCAAACAAACGATCACATTCAAAAGCGTAAAAACTGCCAGGACAATAAACATACAACACTTACGCCCTGGCCGAGGTGAGGACGACGAGGCGGGACTACGCTTCGCCCGATCCCATGATATAGCTTCGAAATCGGAGGTAACTCCGTCAAACCCGTCACCAGAGATTAGATCTACTTTACCCTGTTTCGATTGGTTAGTAACAGAAGGGACCTCGTCATCGTCCTCATCGACATAGTCATACCCTAAGGTAGATGTTGGTGCTTGGGTACTGGGATTATCCAATCTGGATGCTGGAGGAGTTAGCAAATTAACATATAAAGGATACTCGGGTATTCAATCATTAATTAACGCAGTGACGAAAACACTGAGAGACACGAAATGTGATGGGTTAGTGTATATTTATTCCACTTGCAGGCAATGTGTACAGCATTTTGTTGAACCAAACAAATAAAAAACACTGAGAATGAAGAGTGAAACTTAGTCTATCATTCACCAGAAACCGATTAAAAATTCGGAAAGAATGTATTTATGACTTGGATTTTAAGAAATGATACATGTTGCTACAGTACTAGCCTTTATGGAAAGAAATGTGTTTCAAATTTAAATTGTTTTAGATATTTTTAAATTTTTGTGCAATAAGCTTTTTGAAATATGTGCCAGCTTAAATTTTAAGAAGTTAATTTTGTTGAGAAGATTGTATAGATTGAATCCTTGACCCGTAGAAGCCTTGCCCGAAACCGAAACCGCTTCAAAAATATAATTGTTTTTCGAAAGTGGAAAGCAATATTTACGACATGTATAGACGGAAATCACAAATCACAAACGTTGGGGTGCAAAAACTCACTATCAATTTGTTCGTTACCCTTAAACTGCACATCAAAGATCAGGCCTTCCTCTTGGTTGCCTGGGGAGGGTTCCGCAGGCAAGCACTCGTAATAGCCGCCATGAAGGATGCTCTTGATTTCAATGGTGAATCCCTGCATTGGATTGTACCGATTTGCATACTTGCTGGAAGCTGTCTGAACATAGATGAATATGGTCAGATATCTGTATTCTCCACAAAATCACTTCCCAAATCCTAGTAAACTCTACATACTTTTGGAACTTTATTATTTCTATTTTGGGGGCTGGGTTATCTATATTTATGATGAGATCCTTAAGGTACATAAATGTATATTTTTATACATAATATTTATATTTACATATTTTATGGTTTTCTAACTACGATTTGAAAATTATTTAATGGCTTGAACATACGTCTATAACTAATCGGAATAGCAGTATCATTGCAGTACAGATCCTCTGGTGTTTTGTCTAGAACATGCAATATGAATCCCCTTTTCCGATCGTAGCTCCATTCTTTGAAGTACTTAGGAAGAACTTCGCTTGCATTCTGGGAACTTGTGATCCACTCGGTTCCCTTCAAGTATTAGAAGTCGGTGGAGTTATTTAAAATAAGTCCTTTACTATTATACTTAATATTTTTCTGATTTCTAGAGACGACAAATTATAGAGCCTAGAGTCTGAATCTGTCCCCTTTTGTGGACCCCTTTTTGAACTACTTACTTCCGAGTTGAACATAAGGAGAACCTCCGTGTCCGGCATCGTGGGCTTGCAGGGTATCACCACGCTGGTATACTGCCGGGCAATCACCAAGGGTGCGTAGGGAACCAGCAAGTGATCCGGATCATTCACGTAAACATAAATGGAGGCGGCATCATCATTGTTTGTATACTCCACCATCGCGTCCTCATCGATTTCTGAGCTTCTTTCCAGCTTAGACTTCTTGACACAGTAGTAGGCGCCCACTCTTTCCGCCGTTACATCCACTAGCTCCAGCTTGGCCCCATGGGGTCGCAGCGGATCTGTCTCGGTGTTGTCGAACTCCTCTGTGTCAATGACGTCATCGTGGACGACGTACCACCAGGTCACCGGTTCCTCCGCTTCACATCTTAATGTGTAGGAGGTTCTGACCTCCAGTTGGATGGACTCCAAGCAGGGCGTGATCAGCGGCGCTCCGTTAGTTCCGCCGCAATCAACGCTGGGCTTATTGTCCTCCAAGTACTGTGGCCGGGGTACTATAAAAATTGTTGATTAAAAAAATATTAATAAAATAAAATGATATTAAATATAACGGTTGTAAAATAAAATTGGATATAACTGGTTTCACACATGAGCTTTTTTAATATGAGTTTCATTGATAAAATGATGTGTATGTGTTAGGTTGATTGCTGTTCAAGTTTAATTTAATTAAAAAGCTTAAAAAAAACAACAACAAATCTTTTTTTCTGAAGCTTCAATTAAAAAGAAACTTAAATTCTTGAAATACCATTCTTTTTTTATCAATGGCGCTACAATAATAAATTAAGTGAATTGCGCCCAAGCGGCGCTGCTACTCTATAAAGAAGCCCCCTTCCAGTTGAGCCACTGAGATAGATGCAGACGCCGTTGATTTTATTATGCCGTACTCCAGAATCAATTATTTGTTTACTGGCGATAACAATTGAGCCTTGCCTCTGCGATACTGAAGGCATTATGTTCACTCAGCGCAACAAGTGCGAGTCTTATGTGTAGAAAAAATGTCTATATAAATATTCAAAGATCACAATGGTGTCTTAGACAAGTAGGAAAACACAAATTTGGACTGCTTATCAATTTCAGACAAAAGATCAGTTGAGTCAACAGATTAGGGAGCTTCAAAAAGTGAAATTTTAACACTATGAAGTGCCAAAAGTTTTATTCATTTTATAAGTTATATAATTTTTCGTATATATGTATATATTTTATTTAAAGCAAAGTCCACCCTATAGAAAGTTTATAAAATAACTATGAGAAATAAAATAAAATAACTTTTACGATAAGAAATTCTGTTTTTTATTTCTTTTTTTTTTTCAACCGAGACTCCAGACCCATTAATTATAAAATCTGTATGACAGGAAGCGATTGTGATACCGCTTACCCCCTCACAAAATGAATTCTATCAGAAATTGTAATCTCTGGAAATATGTTGGGTTTCGGATATAAGGTTTTAAGACTTGGAAATATACTTACACGCATCGTTTTCTGAGATCAAAATATGGAGTATAGGCAGCAACAGGGCCAAGGAGATCCTCCTTGTCAGCATGATTTAATTGTTTGTTGATTTTATGTTAAATATAATACTAATTTGTTTCTCCTAAATATTAAAAATATTAACACATTCGGAGCAGTAATGCCATCGTCACGCTGGAAGATACTTTGTTCACTTATCGATGCACTGAAATAAAAATAAATTCACACTTTGAGTTTTCTTCAAGTTTTTGGTGGTTTTTAATTTAAAGATTAAATTATATTGTATCACTTTTAAATAAACTATTTATATAAATCAATATTTTAATGAAAATCGTTTTATGGAATAAAATTATTCCTTTATTCGGTTTTACATTTCATTTGAAAACACAGGTTGTATGTATTTCTTTTTTGCTTAGTTTTAGTTTTAATTATTTCCACTTTATTTTTTTATTATTTCCACACTTATAAATTTGTTTGATATATTATATGTGTTATAATTTTTACCCACGATATTTGAAAGACGCTTAGCAAAAACGCTCAACCCGCAAGATCTTTCGAAGCAAACTGAAGCTTTGTAGCTTTGATACCCCGGAGAATTCCGTTGGTGGAGAAGAATTTCACACATGCATACAGTGTACCTCTCTCTTTTTCTTTCTTGTATTCTTTATAATTTCGATAAGACCGCTTCCCCTTTTCGGGGCTGTTGTTTTTTAACTCAGGCTCAGGCTGAGGCTGAGATTCAAATAGAAGTCGTTACATACCGAGCCCTTGATAATACTTGTATGAAAGAAAACATCTTGAGAGAATATACATACATAAAATGCTCTGAACTCAGTTAATCTGCATCCGCATATATCAGAAAATTCTTATGCGCATAAACAAAAACAAAATCATTTTAAGACTGATTTTGGAACATTGCGCATACGCACTGCATGCAAGAGGCGTTCTGATGCGTTCTTTATTTTTTGGTTTTTTTTTTGTGTCATTTCCGCATTTGGAAATGAGCCCTTATCCGACAAGGGGATGGGGGTTGTGGGGTGTGGCACACACCTACAAATAAGGCAACAGGTCACCCCCATGGCCATAATTCACTGTCACATACGTTGAGCCACTAAATGACAACAGGACATGCACAATTAAACACGCTGACTAACCATTGGATACAGATCAAAATAAAATTAGTAACAAAAATATAACTAAAAATTAAGTATTTTAAAAGTTTATTAACTCTATTCTTAAATATTCCCTAATCACATATTTTTATAATCTCTGTGGAAATAGTTTAGCACATTTGAGATGATATCATAACAAGTGAGATCATATTGGTACAAAGTACAAATATTGTGTCTGGTATTTCATGAACATTTGTTTAATTGCCTAAACTTCATATACACTTTTCCATCTGGATCTAGGCATTCAAAAATTATGAATATTTTTTAGAAATGGGCTATAAATTATTTTTTATGTAGATTTTAATTGATTGTTTAGTGAATTAAAGACATCTGCGGAAGAGGTTGTATTTATTTTTTTCCTGTGTAACTAACCGGCGCCATCGTTTGGCCGCAATTAGAGAAAACGAACCGACAGCTGATGGGCCACTTCCCGCAGCCATGTCGTAAATGTTTGTAATCCCGCCCAGTCGGATTACAACAAGTGTCCCGTCTCCACCATCTCTTTTTTTTTCCTTTTTGTTTTTATCAATAAACAGAAATTTAATTTTGCTAGCAAACTTTGCGGACGCACCTCAAGCCATGACATTTTGGCCCCATGGACTTGAACTCGCTAATTGCCGCAGTTGGCCAGCAAATAAAACCATTCATCTATGTCACCCCGTTGTCGTCCTTTTTGTGTTTTGGGCTTTCAAGGTCAGGGCATTATAAGGTATATAAGTTAAATGGCTCCTATCTGGTTTCACCTGTCTTGGCCATACCAGCATGTGAGCATTGTGGCTTAAGCTTCTTCGGCAAACGCAATCATCTGGCAAATATTGACTGGGCCACTAATCACCTGACAGAAGCAGGACAACAGGCTTAAGTGGCGATGAAAAGGCATACATTCTCTTAAAGAGTATTCAAGTTTAATAAAGTTTTTATGATACCCTTTCCTCAATAACATGAATCATGTGAATCATGTTATGTTTCAACAGCTTTCAAGAAAAATGAATTAAAATCCGATGTAGTCCGGATGTAGATAATATTTTGTTTGAAACAAAAAATTTTAAATAGTGTTTATCAAACAATTTTATGGAAATTATCAAAATATAATTCTTGGAATATCCCAATAAATTACCATAGTTGATAAAAACTAGTTTAAGCTTTATTGGCCGGTAGCCGACAGGCGATCAAATGTGTCTGGCAACATGTTGCAAGTCAGTGGTTGCAAAATATCGGACATTGATTGGCAAGCCTTGGCCAGTCGGCTTCTTGGCCACTTCGACTGCCACTAGACTGGCCGCCTTTGGTTTGTTGTAGCCTGTCGTCAGGGAATGTTTGTTGTCATGGCGACACGCCCACTTTACATTTCAAGGGCGCAAGTTTCGCATAGCTGAGGCTATTTATAACTTGCAACAGTTTTTTTTCCCCCATTTTTTCCTGGCTGTTGCGCCCTTTTGTTCCTCACGTGCCTGTGACGCAAATTGCCGGGTAGCCCTAATTGCAACAATCCCAGCTGCAGGCAAATCCTTTATTATACAGAAATTGTTTTTCTTTTTATTTGGCCTTTGATTTTTCTGCCCATGGGTCGTGCAATTAGCCTGGTCGAGGAATGGAGAATGGTCTTTGCATTATGGTATCTGGAAAGCACATATCCGCACTTAGTCATCTATTTTTGTTTCGTTTTCTGGGTAAACAGAAACAGATTATTTTTTTAAAAAATTACCTGACTCAATTTACACTTTTTTGTTTATTTCCAGATAAGAAAAACAAAGGGTATCTTTTAAGAGTAAGCTTGCAAAATTATTGAAAAATATTTATGAATGAATTTTGGCATGAATGAGGTAAATGTTTAAATAAAGAATTTAAAAAAACAATGGATCCATAACTTTGAAAGCTGCATATATTATTTTTATTAAAAAAAAAAACACCTTTTCTTTTTAATTAATTGCCCATTGCATTTCATATAACTTTTCAACAGATTTCTCTTAAAATCAGATAATACTTTATTTATTTTGGGACTAGGGATAAATCGTATCCATCGCCGGTGACTATTATTCGCGTTCAGACACATATTGTATTAAACATATGTTTATCAGACAATTATTTACGACCATGGGATCGTATAATGAACGAAAAGTGTATCAAATGACGTCATTTGGCGCCCCAATTCATTCATTCACCATTGTCCCTATATATCTTCATATATGCTATATGCCATGAATCTCCTGCCCCCTCGTCAACTCATGCATGACGTAGTCACTCACGTTTGCGTTTTAGGCCTCCATTAAAATCTGTTTACATAAGTGACAATATCTGGGTATTAATTAAACGGCTGTGCATACAGCTGGCATGCAAAAATGTACGAGAATATAAATAGAGTGCCTGGAGAGTACAAACCGGTTGGAAGAATGCATTTTTTATGAGGAGGGGCTGGGGGACGTTGCCTTGAGAGAAGGTGTCTCCTTGCCTTGATCATCAATCGATCGAACGAATAAGTATTGCGACATCTTTTGTTACAAAGTGATCTTGAATAATTACAAAATGATCTTTGCGAATAAAAGGAGGCCATATAAGTTTCTTTAAGGAAGTAAGAAGGCAATGCATTCAAGGGAATATATGTATATAAAAATTTAAATGTTGTGTTTATTATTACTTTGTAAAGCAAACAATAAGATATAAAAACTTTGTTGCAGTAAAAACTTTACTATGACTAGACCAAAGAGTGTTTATTCAGTTCAGTTTCCCCGAATAAATGCCTACTTTTAAAGCAAATTTATTCAATGGCCCAGGCGTTTTTATTTATGAGGAGACAAGAAAACTCTTTCATGCACTCTGGCCATAAAACAGGCTCGCCGTTTCATGTCCTAGCCCCATCATCAGAAACAACATTCTTATTAGTTCCATGATTTTTTCTTCAAAAAAAAAAAAATGAAAATATATATTTTCAGTTTTTTTTTACGTCCAAACTTTTGACAGTTTAACGCTTGGCCGGGAAATTCGTTCAACGTTATTTGGCTTTTTATGGCCAATAAATGGAAACTTGGCGCGTTGCATGTGCAACAGATTCCGGTTCAGTTTGCGGTTTTTGGTTTTCCGTCACGTGTTTCGGTCTGCGATTCACGCCCCTCACACTCCAGAGCCTGGAGTACGGACTTTTCCAGACTACGTGCTCGGCATGTTGACCCTCCCCTTCTGTTGGTGGAATTTTCCGGACGCTTTCCACGGCTGCTCATTTTCATTTCAGACTCCTGACAACACAAATTGAATTTTCTATAGGCCCACAATTCTGGGTTTATTTCAGCAATTATCTCTGGCAACAGAAAAGTGTGCTTCTTTGTTCGGATTAAGTCTGGATGTCGTCCCCCCGGCACAGTAGCACCTTGGAAAATTTACGACTTTAGCCAGAGTTTTCCCCCCTTTTTTTGCTTTTATTTGATTTTCCGCAGTGACCTTTGGAGGTGCGTGTATTTGTGGAAAAGTCAAGTGGCATTTTTCCAGCCGACGGTAACAAAAGCGTTCCAATTCAATTGAAATTTTGTTCGCAACATCTTAATGGAAAGTTTACGTGTACTCGGGTACAAGAATTCTGTGATTGCAATTACAAACATGCCGCTGGCTCTTGGCCAAAATATAATAATAATGAAAACATTCAACCAAAAAATTTATCTGGAAATAATATTATGCATCTGTACTGCATTCAAAAAAGTGAGGGGTACTTGAGGAGGGGGCCTCACGTTTGATTCATTAAAAATGCAAAAAGCACGCAGCCCAAATGGAAATTTGCAATTTGGGCCAAGCCAAGATTTGCGGCCATAAATCAAATCATTTGTCAATTGCCAACAATCGGTAAACAACAACTTTGCAATCTTTCAGATCTTTGCCCTGTGAAAATCGCGTGTGGGCCGCTTTGGGCCCACTTCAGAGCGTTTTTGGCCAACTTTCGCTACTTGGCCAAAGCCTAATCCTCATGACGCGACTTTTTGGGAGGCTTGCGTGCCACATAATGATGCAGGTGAGGGAATGGTGACACGGTAATGTTTCATTACACAGAATGTCAGGTAATTCCATTAAGAAATAGGAGTGTTTTTGTCCAGGAATCTAAAAGACATAAATGTCAAACATTTACGAGGAAAATATTTGGAGTTTCATACCACAAGTATAATGCATTAAAGCATATCTATCTAAAGACCTTTTTCTTCTATTTATAGTAACTTTTAATATATATTTTTTATCTTCAATTAAAACAAGTACTACTTTGAGACACTACCGCTCTGGTAATTTATTATCCAGAAGCTAAAAGACTTAATAGATTTAAGCTTGATTAATTAATCAGACGTTTTGGTGATTTGTTTTCCGATGAAACATTTCAGCAACATCTTGTTTTATGTTACTCGGTGGACTTTAATTAATTGATATATGGCTTCTGCAAGTGCCTGCCCCTTTTTTTATTGACAGTTTTTTCGTGGTACTTTAGTTTTTCGGGGCAAGTGTAGCACACGCTGCGAACACCACCCACACAATAGAGCTAGTTGTGCAATTTATGTGTCTGCTGTCACAGACCTACGCCCACAGTCACACCCACTCCCACTCCCACACCCACTCCCACGCCCAGGCAACCCATCCTATGTTTCATATCCAGCTGGGAAATCGAAATACGGGCTTCTAATGCATTTTTGAAATTTTAGCAGCAGGCAGCTAATCCGCAAGACAAATGCATAAACAACAACTGTTGTACAAACAAACCCTGGCTGCTGATAAATTGGCTATGCAACAAAGGCAGAATGTAGAGTAAAGACAAGGCAATCCCTTAGAAGCTGGTCGCGATAAAGGTTGCCCCGAGATTCTGCGGCTTGCTGTTTCCAAGCTGCGGGCCAAAACGGAGATACAGTATCTGGCAGATACCACGAAACCTTATCGCCCTGCCACGACATGTGTTTCGCCATCGACTATCTTTATAAGCGCTTAGATGGCGTTTTGATAACAGCCGGAAAACTGTATACTACTTTATTTATGTATAAACTTTTAAAGAAAAAAAAACGTGTAAAAATAATTAAACTTAAAATGTCTTAAGACAGTCATTTACATAACCGAGTCAAAGAAAGTCGCAAATTTCAAATGAAATAAAAGTGAAATTACCGGAGCAACAGCAGGTAAAGTAATCTTTTTTTTTTTTGCTATTTAGATGAGTCATTTGGGAAACTTTTGCCTCTTGGCATTGGTTGTGTAATAGCCCGCATCTTGGTCCTCAATCTGGTGAGTGCGGGAAAATAATATCTTTGGCTTTCCATGAATTGCACGTCTATTAAAAATTCTACGCAAGAAATCGAGGAGCCCCTGAGTATTCGACTGGCACTTTGCCCAGTTCCAATAAATATAAACAACTACAACGCGTGGCGACAACAAGTTGTTGGGCAGCTGCTGGGAAATAAATAGAAATGTTATATTCGTTCATTTAATAGTCGACAAGTGTTTAATTTGTTTGTTTTCGGGGCTACGCCTGGTTAATAAATAAATAAATACGACCGGGTTGGGGACGAGGGGGCATTATACATATACGATCCATATAGCTAATTTCGATATGCGCCATGACCTCAAAATTCATTTTGTTTGTTTACCCAATTGCATTTCTTCAACTGACATAATGAGGTGAACTGAGAAGGCTGAGATAAAGACTGCACTCAAGGAAGTTTGCACAAAGTTCCCCCCGTTTAGGATCTACTTGGGGAAACTTTATGAATGGATGGGCTGTGTTCTTGGGCTCAGGTGAAAGCCAAGTTCGGACTTCAGTGAGATTTATGGCTTAGGCGATGTTAAACGGTTACGGGTTACATGCAGACAGCTCAAATGGCCTGGCCAAAATACTCCTTGTTGCTGGCCATTTATTATTTATTTATGTTCGGAAAAAGTGGCAGCTGCACCAACGGAAGTATGGAGTCTAAAGGTGTCACAAAGTCCATTCATAGAGCCACACAGAAGGGCGTGGAAACGTGGTCAATATGGCAGAGATATATCGTTTTATTTATGGGTATTGGTAACCGGCAAATTCAATTACACAGATATTATCTCAAAAGGCAATATTTATGGGGCAAGTGGCCAAGCTAAGGACTAGATCCACATAAAGAAAATTTGTATAATAATATAAGATCTAGCAACATATAATTGCATAATTTTTCGCAGTGCATCTAATTTATACCACTTTGGTACTACCAACACTGGATACCATAATCAACAGCAACAAAGTGGCTTAAATTTGACACGCCGTGGGGGCCAATCGGGACGTAGAGTATCTTGTAGATACTTTCTGTTGGCCATAAACCGACGCCTGATTAATGCGGCTCGTATTCAACATTCAGAATAGAAAGGAAAGGTGTGAAAGAAACATACTGCAAGCCCCATTCCAAGAAATGTTTATTCCTATTGATTTTTTGCAAAACTCGCGGAGTGGGAAATTCCACTATAGTATGTTTATACGCCTATTTCCTTAGATTTGACAGCATTATGACTCCTGGCATTTTCGGTTTTTTCGTTCATGGCCCCCGCTTGATGGATAGCATCCAGCAGTTAGTACTATTCTCAAGTACCCAGAGATAAACGGGGCACCAGTTCTCCGGGCGAGGCTGGCGAGTGCAACAGATCTGTATTCAATAAACAAATTGGATACAGTGAGCAATTGGTGTTGCCCCAATTGGTGGCAGTGAGTTATAGGCCTTTGATTCCGATCGGAACTTCGCCAGTGAGGGTGAACACTGAGTCACGTATTGTTGTTTATCAAAACTTTTTTTTTATATTTTGGTTCGTTGGTCAAGAAACTCAAGAACCGGTTTTGGAAAGTCAATACAAAACAAGGTGATACTCTATACATATACACACTTTTCATCAAACAAACAAAAGAAAGGTGAACTCTTTCATTAAAACTCTTATTTTTTTATTTTGAAATGGTAGTTGCTAGAAAACGATGATTAAGCCACTTGGTAAGATGTACAAATTTGTTTGTAGCTTCGTATCTTACGCAGTCTACAGTTAACCGCATATTTACAGTCACGATCGGCGATGGATGATGATTCACGATCTTGAATACCTGAATCCGGTGAATTGACAATGTTTGTAGTCTCGTTTTACTTGGAATGCCGTTGACGTATTCGATGGTCGATGGTGGTGCCACAGATACACTCAATACTATTTTTTTTTTCTTATTTGTATTCTTATCAATATACACACTCAAATTTGATAATACCTAAAAAGGTCACTGATAACCAAAACACACACTTCCACACTATATGGTATAGCATATAGAATTTGTTTTTCGGTAAATTGAATTTCTTTGAAACCAACACAAAACCACAGTCACACACACTAAAGTGAATTGATTCGAATTTGATTTTGTATTTCAATATCACACGACAAGTCACCCACCTGTAGATGGATTTGTATCTGTGTTGGTTATTTACCTATTATATTCCTATGTATTGGCTGTTCTCGCGCTCTCTAAAATATCTAAACTTTTGTTATTTATTTAGCACTTATTGAGCCGCCACCTCGTGCACGATTTTTTCTCTTTTTTGTTTTTTATTTAATATATATATTATTTTTTATTTTATTTTTCTATATTTTTTTTTAACCTTCTATAAATTAAATTACCGCTTACGTTGTGAATTTTTGTTTAACACTTCTGCGTGGGCTTTTGTTTGTTTGCTTTTTTCCGTCAAAAAATTATACTGCGACGTCGACAATATTTGAATAATATTTAACAACTGGCTGAAGAACCACAATTAATAAAAACACGCTCCAAGAGCTTACGAATATTGTTAAGAACAACACACGTCCGACTTCCACGACTGTTTATTTCGATGTGAGGTCTTGAGTCTTGCAGCAACAACAGATGACTGTTGCCTGTAAAGAGTTGACAATTAGATAGTCTTTTTTTCAAGTGTTTCAATGGGATTAACTCTCTCGCTTCAACTCTCTCTCAGAGCAGGGCGGAGTGTGTCTTCTAAGACGGTTGAATTTGAATTGGCGTTGCCTTTTAAAACTTCATTTAAGTTTTGAATATATAACATTTTTAATAAAAAAATGTTTCTTTTATTCCACTGTTCTGTTGCTCTCTTGACTCATTTCTCATAGGCAAGTGCTGCCCGTCTGGCGTAAAAATGTTTCAGTGCTGCCAAGTCTAGGGATAAAGACAGAAGTGCTGCCACGAAAAGTTTTCTACATTTTGGCCAGCTTAATTTTAAAATTTTTCTCGCATTTAAAACTTGCGCCATAATGGTTAAAATAAATGGTTTTAATAAATTTTTTTAAATATAAGTCTAGAATCCAGATTATTAAAAGATATCTACGAATATAAGCTTTTATTAAAAAGTAGTCCAGAAATGGAAAGTTTTATAACTGAAGTTTAATGACCTTTAAAATGTATTGTTCATGTTAATAATAATATTTAATATATTTAATAAAATTTAATAATAAATAAGTCTAAATTCAAAACCATTTAATAAGAATTAATATATAAATTACATTTTATTATAATTATAAAATACATTACCAAACCAAGCTAACAAAAAATATAATTAAAATATTGTATAAAAGTAGACACTGCGGGTTTATACATTTCTTTATTGAATGCATTTAATTAATACGCTGCCATTAAAAAGTCAAGCATCCATTCATATCACAGCTTATCAGTTACACTGCACCAAATATCCCTGCAACAATGCAGTTGTCGGGTAACAAGAGTGATGACTACTTATCAATTATTTTCCGCTGATTTTTAACTGGAGTTTGATGATTGGGCCTTTATTTTGGTTGCGAGTGCAAACAAATTTTGGAGTGATCCCGAGATCAAATTCCATCGACATGCTAATCATAGAATATACAAACTCAGAAATAGATGTCATGCCTGGGAGTAATTAAAAAAATAGCTGACCATAATAATTCCGGCATTTAGACGGCTTTAATGGATGACCGTCGGCCCAGTGGCAGTTCAGCAATCAATTGAGCCGAACGATCGCTGATCGCCAAACCCAAGTGCCGCTTAATGCGCAAATAATTGCGGATATCCAAGAATCGGGGTTAGCCAGTAACTCGTATAAATAGCGGTAAGGTCATCCTGGACTGGCCAAAACCAAAATCAGCCTCAATTTGGAATTAACAGCATGCTGCGTGGAATTTGCTTTGCCCTGCTCTGCTGCCTGGCCTTCCAGGCAGCTCTGGCCTGTGTAAGTTACAAGGATAATCGAACCGAATTATAACTAATCAGTGAGATCCTTGCAGAATGGCTACAAGGCCAAGCTGGTGAAGATTGAGAACTGTGCCGGCGACGATGCCATTATGACCGTGGGCGATGACTTCAGCTTGAAGCTGAATAAGAAGTGCGAACTGGTGCCCTCGGGCTGTATCATCAACAAGCCCTTCTCCACCGCCATGGCCAAGTTCAAGGTCCAGAAGGACGGCATCGTGATGAAGGAGGGCAAGGTGGATCTCTGTGCCGCCATCGATCAGGCATCCACGGAGGCCAAGAACCTGATGAAGCTCTTCGGTGCCCCCTCCGCCTGTCCGGTCGCCGAGGAGAAGGTCTGTGCCAATGAGCATACCGTGGACTTCAGCAAATACAAGGCCATGTTGGGAATGGCCCGAGGACATCTCATAATCGACGCAGAAATCAAGCACGACACTGTGGGTTCTTCATTTATTTGTTACTTGGGCTATTTTTTAAACTTTCCATTTTCTGTTGCCTATTTTTCAGGGAAAGTCCTGCATCCATGCCGAAATCGAGCTAACCAAGAACTAAAGGCAATTGGGTCCTGTCAAAGGACAATGTTTATATTATGAGTCTTGCAAATCTGTAGTTGTAAATACGAAAACAAATAAATCTGGTATTGAGGTAATGCACGCAGAAAATAAAAAAAATTGAGAGAGCAGCTAACTTTGGGATTCATGTGGAAAATGATCAACCCTTTCTCTTAATATGGAAAGATGGCACTTGGGCAAATGGACTTGAACATATTTTAGCCTAGTTTTTGTCTATTTCTTGACTAGTTCAGAAAGGGACCAATTTTTTGGGTTCCCTTGAAAATGGGGTTTTCCCCTATAGAGTCCACAGTGATGGCTATATCTTCCCCAATTCTTGGTCGATTCTCAAGCGGAGTACCTTAAACGATTTGTGGATCGATTCGCCACCATTTTGCATCAAAAACCCCAGACGAAATATTTTTAAGTTTTTTTGTCCATTTTTCGTGATGCGATCCCTTGAAAATGGGGCTTTCACCTATAGGGTCCACAGTGATGGCTATATCTTTCCCAATTCTCATCCGATTCTAAAGCGGAGTACCTTAAACGATTTGTGGATCGATTTGCCATCATTCTGCATCAAAATCCTAAGACGAAATATTTTTAAGATTTTTTGTCCATTTTTCGTGATGGGATGCCTAGAAAATGGGGTTTTCTCTTATAGAGTCCACAGTGATGCCTATATCTTTCCCAATTCTTGTCCGATTCTCAAGCGGAGTACCTTAAACGATTTGTGGATCGATTTGCCATCATTCTGCATCAAAATCCTAAGACGAAATATTTTTAAGATTTTTTGTCCATTTTTCGTGATGGGATGCCTAGAAAATGGGGTTTTCTCTTATAGAGTCCACAGTGATGCCTATATCTTTCCCAATTCTTGTCCGATTCTCAAGCGGAGTACCTTAAACGATTTGTGGATCGATTCGCCATCATTCTGCATCAAAATCCTAAGACGAAATATTTTTAAGATTTTTTGTCCATTTTTCGTGATGGGATGCCTAGAAAATGGGGTTTTCTCTTATAGAGTCCACAGTGATGCCTATATCTTTCCCAATTCTTGTCCGATTCTCAAGCGGAGTACCTTAAACGATTTGTGGATCGATTTGCCATCATTCTGCATCAAAATCCTAAGACGAAATATTTTTAAGATTTTTTGTCCATTTTTCGTGATGGGATGCCTAGAAAATGGGGTTTTCTCTTATAGAGTCCACAGTGATGCCTATATCTTTCCCAATTCTTGTCCGATTCTCAAGCGGAGTACCTTAAACGATTTGTGGATCGATTTGCCATCATTCTGCATCAAAATCCTAAGACGAAATATTTTTAAGATTTTTTGTCCATTTTTGTTGATGGGATGCCTAGAAAATGGGGTTTTCTCTTATAGAGTCCACAGTGATGCCTATATCTTTCCCAATTCTTGTCCGATTCTCAAGCGGAGTACCTTAAACGATTTGTGGATCGATTCGCCATCATTCTGCATCAAAATCCTGAGACGAAAAATTTTTTCGATTTTTTGTCCATTTTTCGTGATGGGATGCCTAGAAAATGGGGTTTTCTCTTATAGAGTCCACAGTGATGCCTATATCTTTCCCAATTTTCGTCCGATTCTCAAGCGGATCGATTCGCCATCATTCTGCGTCAAAATCCTGAGACGAAATAATTTTTAGATTTTTTTTCCATTTTTCGTGATGGGATCCCTTAAAAATGGGGTTTTTCCCTATAGGGTCCACAGTGACAGCTATATCTTCCCCAATTCTTCTCCGGTTCTCAAGCTGAGTACCTTAAACGATTTCGGGATCGATTCCCAACCATTCTGCATAAAAATCCTAAGAAAAAATATTTTTTAGATTTTTTTGTCCACCTTTCGTGTAGGGATCCCTAGTAAATGCAATTTCGTCAGATTTGTATCGGAGTACCTATAACGAATTTATCTTTAATACTAACCCATTAATCACATGGACTTAAATTGGGATTACGTTAATTAAAATAAAAATGAAAACAAGTCTTTTATATTAGTAATCTCATTTATATAATCGTGTATACATATGTAACATTCCACAACACTTTCGGCTTACAAATAGGTTTCAGAAACAGTTAAAACTTAAAGGTTAGTTTCAATACGAATTGCATAGGTAGAGTGGCGTTAAGGTAAGGAAGCTGTTCTTCGAAGACCGTCTTGGGCAGTTGAAGGAGTAAGGAGAGCTCCAACTTCAGCAGATTCCCGAAAAGCTATAGTCGTACTCAGAGTTCTTCTCGTTTAAACGACCCAGATACTGCGAGTGCTTGATCCCAAAGCTATAGGCGGGCACATGGGAGAGATTAACCTATTTGTGAAGGAAAAAAGAAAATAGAAACCAGAATAAATGCAATCTGAATGGAAATGCTGTTCAGAGAATCTTATTAACAAATTTGGTTAATTTTAGAAATCATTAAAGCCCTTATCCGGACGACCAGCTAACAATATGCGATTACAGCGCTCGGGGACAGCGACCATTGTGGTTTTCTTGCAATACTTGGAGTGCAAAATTCCAAAGGATATGGCCGGGGGCGATCGCTTCTCCCAATACTGTGGGCGTGGCAGAAGTTTAATTAATTTAAGGGTTAAAGGGATATCTTTGGAGCCATATATGAACAGCTCCGTTTCCACAAGGGCTTACACCGCAGAAATTAAAATAAACATGAAAAATATTGCTCACCTTCTCCGGACAATGGGCTCCGGGTCCGGGCTTGTTGTCATCACTCAGCATCTTGAACTTGCCACGCATCGAGTAGACTGGCGGCTTGGACTTAACCACCGTATACTCGCCATCGTAGTAGCCGGGTCCGGGGAAGATGAACACCGGAATCAGTGGCGGCTTTTCGCGTCCGGTCATCGTGTAAGCCGGAGCCGATTTGATCTTTCCTTCCTTGCTGCTGCCCATGACGGTTGGTATTTTGTAGACGTTAGGAGCTGTTGAACATTATAAAAAATAAATAAGCAAATTTAATAAGAAATTAAATAAAAAAAAGGTTAAAGGTAGTTTCCAATGACTTGTCTTTCAGAGCTGGAGTTAGAATGGTTTGGGTTAGTTGTGGATTGTTGATGATGATCTTGATTTGTAACTTGGCCTGAAAGTAAATACACAACTCTAACACGAATCATATTTTGAGATTTATTAGGGCTTGAGCCTTGAAGGATTAAATAAAAAAAAATACCTAAGATAGTTAAGAATGGACAACAGGACGTATGAGTAATGTCCAGTTCACAGTGCGTATACTTGATATGATTTTCTTGATTTTTGCCCTTGGCGTTACCTGATGATCTTCTCCTGTACGCTGCTCGCCTCCACAGCGTACTTGACCGTCTGCATCCTCGAAGACTGGTTACTAGACACAATGGCGCCATCGGAGCGCACCACCGTCTGATGGCTCACGGCGGCCGTCTTGGTGGCACTGGCGTCCGACTTACCGCTGGCCACTACTTTCATGTTATCGCTCATCTTTTCGCCGTGCACCACCTGCTTCTCTGTAGTGGTGGTGCTGACCACCTTCGAGTGGTTCCCATTGCTAAGGGCTGCTGACTTGAGCTCATTGTGGGCGACGCCATTCACCTGCTTTTTGGTGCTTTGCTTTGTTTGCTTTTGCACCAGATCCGGTTGCTCCACGCCGTTGATAAAGGTCTTTGTGGTTGTCGTGGTGGTTGTAGTTGTGGTTGTGCTGCTGCTACCATTTGCATTGTTTTGGCTATTATTTGTGGTTGTGGTGGTGCTGGTGCAGTCACCGTTGTTGCGTACTGTGCAAAGGATAGTCATTGGATTGGTTGAAAGAAAAATAAACACATAAGTTTGTGGTGCGATATATTCTAAAAAAAAGCTTGATGAAATAAAATGCGTTTCAAAGCGGATCAGCCGTAGAATTATGAATTAAAAGCCTACAAAAATGCAAAAAAATGTGGAACTAATTTATTAAGCTTATTAACCATTTTTATACCCTTCCAGACATATTCCAACCTTAATATAAAAGGATTCTAGATCAGGATCCTGCATTAGTAATAAGTTTTGGTTTTGGTTTGGGACTTTGGGACGCGTTTTCCTGTTCTCAGGCCCTTTGGTGGTGATTTGGGCTTAACTTTAGCTTGGACCTTTCCCGATCTCCCCCATTTCCTCGATTTTCCTGATCTCCGTCCTCCAGCGGGAGGATCGCCAGCAGGAGGATCTGCGCCACCTTCAGGGGCAGGAGCTCCTCCCTCGGGCGCAGGAGCTCCGCCCTCTGGAGCAGGAGCAGGACCAGGAGCAGGAGCTGCTCCATCATCTGGAGCTCCGCCTTCGGGCTTTGCGGTTGAAGGAAAGTCGGTTGGTGGCTTCATGTGGAACTGGCAATCGTTCCGACAACTGCTCAGGCTGCTGTAATCGTTCCTAGTATGCACTCGAGGGCACTTCGAGTAAACCTTAAAAATCGCATAAAGGACATGTGAGATGGGATGGTCAGCAGTAGTACTACACAGTACCTTAATGCAGTCGAGAATCACGCGATGGAAGCTGTAGAAAGAACGACGTGCCCCATGGCAGTTCTTCTCGACACTGTATCTGTTTTTGACGAGACAGGCATTGTTCCGAACTTATAAAAATCGGGATAAAAAATTGTATTATGGGCCTTGGGAATGCCGATTAAATCGGCTATGGTGGTTAATCCTTACACCGGTTCCTCATCTGCCACGGACTGACGAAAACCACGATGCACCCGACGGTCAAACAGAAAAACATCAACCGTCCCATTGGGAATTTGAAAATGGACTGACGTTCTACATGGAGGGCCGTCACACTTTATAGAATTTTCTAAATTAAATTTTTCATTGTATATTTTTATATAAAGTCGACAAAAGAGGCGAAACTGGAAGCATTTTCTAACCATTTTCAGGATCTTATCCCTAGTCGGTGTGGTTTTTAGGTTATTTTAAGGGTTATGATATGTGATGCATTTCTTTTCATCGACTCTTTGCTGGGGTAGCGGCCTCATCTCCACCTCATGGGGGTAGATCTTCAAAGGGAGGGGGCTCAAGGGGATGCTCAACCATAGGCGCAACCGGTGGCTCAAACGGAGGCTCAAAACCACGTTGGGAACGTCTTCCAGGTCTTCCAGTTCCCGCAGGGCCTTTTTCAATGTCTTCCTCGCTGTGTTTAGGATCCTCGAAACCTTTATTTTTGTCTGGTTTGTCTTTATCTTTATCTGGTTTGTCTTTATCTTTCGTCGCGCCTCCAGGAGCTCCTCCAGGAGCACCTCCAGGGGCACCTCCAGGGGCACCTCCAGGAGCACCTCCAGGAGCACCTCCAGGGGCTCCTCCAGGGGCGGCTGGCGCGGGAGCTTCGGTTGGGGCTAAGGTTGGACGCTGCATGTAAAACATGCAGTCATTCCGACAATTTGACTTGAGATGGTATTCGTTATATCTATGCACCTTTGGACACTTGGTGTATACCTTTAAATATAGGACAGGTTACGTGGAGCGACAGGGTTTTGGTTTGGTTTGGTACCGTGGCACAGTCATAGATAATCCGATGGAAGGTGAAAAATATACGACGTGGCCCTCTACAGCTCGACTCGTGCCTGTATCTATTTCTAATCAGGCAATGGTGGTTTGGACCTGGCAAAGAACGAGGTTAACAATAGGACACATGGTGAGGGGTTACCCCATCCCCAACTTTATGAAAATCCTTACGAAAGTTTTTCTTGTACCATTCACGAGCGCTACAGCCAATAATTACGAAGAGGGTCAAAAAAATATATATTCTCATAGTGATAGGTTCACTAAATACTTTGCATAGACGTAAAGCCATTTCTTTATGAGAGATTCAATTTTATTTAATACTTAATCCATAATATTAAAATTACCACAGACTGATATATTTTGAAACGCTTTCGGAGAACAGGTGACTTTTAAGAATGAAATTATGATTCTGTGGCTATTCTTACCGGGACTGGCCAGACGACGCTCGCGTCTTTGGACAATTCGATCTTCGATGTAAGCGCCCTTTGGCTCTAGTGATGGGTGATTATATTTACAGAGATACATACAACATGGATGAGATCATGGCCAGAACACCAAAACGATAATAATGTGCGAAAGAACATGGAATAAAAAAGAACAAGGACACAAAAGAAACATAAAACACATAGAACAGATACCCTTGAAGAACCACAGTCCGGTACCAACATGTAAGCGGATAGGAAGTAACCTACCTGGAAGGTTTGGCAACGGAGCCGTTTTTAGGCCAAAACTGTAAGCCGGGGAGCTGTCCAGCTTGCACTGCTCGGGATGGTAATGGCCGGGGGCTAAAAGGCAGGCAGGGATAAGAAGCGGGATACATGCAACGCACAACGACAACATGCAACACTAGCGAGAAATTGTGGTCTGAGCCATCTCTTACCTGGGGCATCGGAGGCCACTCGGATCTCCGACTTTGTGCCGAAGGTGAAGGCCGGTGTTGAGTGCAGGGAGTGCTTTTCAGGCTCGTATGCAGAGGGTGCTGTAACGGCACAGACCCTAGTTAGTGTCATCGATGCTCAAGGACTTCTAGGTAGAGTATTCCACACATGGCCCACCCTGTAAATAACTTGCCTGGTGTATCAGAGACGAGTTCTCTTCCCAGTCGCATGCCAAAGGTAAAGGCAGGGGTGCTGTCCACATGACACTGCTCCGGATGGTAGTCGCACGGAGCCGGGGTCTGGCTCACCGGCTCGGCGGTCGGACGACCTGCAATGGTGTAGGCGGGTGTATGGTCGAGGCGAACTCTCTCGGGGGCGTAGTCGCATGGCGCAGGATGAGTCACTTCCGCCTTGGGGTCGTACTTGCCGCCAAAGCTGAAAGCTGGGTTGTGATCTTGGCGAACCTTCTCCGGAGCGTATGCCCCAGGAGCCGGGGTGTCATTGGGTTTATGTAGATCGTGGCGTCCAGCGAATGAGAAAGCGGGGTTGTGATCCTGCCTTACTTTTTCCGGATGATAGTCACCAGGAGCCGGTGTGTGGTTATCGATTTTTAGGTCGTTCTTTCCCCCAAAAGTATAAGCGGGAGTGTGGTCTAACCTAACCTTTTCGGGACAGTAATCACCAGGAGCAGGGGTATCACTGGACACCTTTTGAATGTACTTTCCAGCCATCGAAAAAGCTGGATTGTGGTCTTGTCTAACTTTCTCCGGAGAGTAAGCTCCAGGAGCAGGATTGCTGTTAGGTTTGTGGAGGTCGTGTCGACCTCCGAACGAGAAAGCCGGATTGTGATCTTGTCTTACCTTCTCTGGAGAGTACTCCCCAGGAGCAGGAGTGTAGTTTTCAATTTTGAGGTCATTCTTTTCCCCAAAAGTATAGGCAGGAGTGTGGTCTAATCTAACTTTTTCGGGGCAGTAATCTCCTGGGGCAGGAGTATCACTGGACACCTTCTGTGTGTGCTTTCCAGCCATCGAAAAAGCAGGATTGTGATCTTGGCGGACTTTCTCCGGGGAGTAGGCTCCTGGAGCGGGAGTTTCATTAGGTTTATAGAGATCGTGGCGTCCAGCGAATGAGAAAGCCGGATTGTGATCCTGTCTGACCTTTTCTGGATGGTAATCCCCAGGAGCAGGGGTATTGTTCTCCACTTTAGGATCATTCTTTCCTCCAAAAGTATAGGCAGGAGTGTGGTCTAATCTAACCTTTTCGGGACAGTAATCACCGGGAGCAGGAGTATCGCTGGACACCTTCTGGGTGTGCTTTCCAGCCATCGAAAATGCAGGATTGTGATCTTGGCGGACTTTCTCCGGGAAGTAAGCTCCAGGAGCGGGATTGCTATCTGGCTTGTGGAGGTCGTGTCGACCAGCGAACGAGAAAGCGGGATTATGATCTTGTCTGACTTTTTCTGGATGATAGTCACCAGGAGCAGGGGTATTGTTCTCCACTTTAGGATCATTCTTTCCTCCAAAAGTATAGGCAGGAGTGTGGTCTAGTCTAACCTTTTCGGGACAGTAATCACCGGGAGCAGGAGTATCGCTGGACACCTTCTGGGTGTGCTTTCCAGCCATCGAAAATGCAGGATTGTGATCTTGTCTGACTTTCTCTGGAGAATAGGCTCCTGGAGCGGGAGTTTCATTGGGTTTATAGAGATCGTGGCGTCCAGCGAATGAGAAAGCAGGGTTGTGATCCTGTCTCACCTTTTCGGGATGGTAATCCCCAGGGGCGGGGGTATTATTCTCCACTTTAGGATCATTCTTTCCTCCAAAGGTGTAAGCGGGAGTGTGATCTAATCTAACCTTTTCGGGACAATAATCACCAGGAGCTGGAGTATCGCTTGAAACCCTTTGAATATACTTTCCAGCCATTGAAAAAGCAGGATTGTGATCCTGACGGACTTTCTCCGGGGAGTAAGCTCCAGGAGCAGGATTATTGTCAGGTTTGTGAAGGTCGTGTCGACCACCAAACGAGAAAGCTGGATTGTGATCTTGTCTGACTTTTTCTGGATGATAGTCACCAGGAGCAGGGGTATTGTTCTCCACTTTAGGATCATTCTTTCCTCCAAAGGTGTAAGCAGGAGTGTGGTCTAATCTAACCTTTTCGGGACAGTAATCCCCGGGAGCAGGAGTATCGCTGGAGACCTTCTGGGTGTGCTTCCCAGCCATCGAAAATGCAGGATTGTGATCCTGACGGACTTTCTCCGGGGAGTAAGCTCCTGGAGCAGGATTGCTGTCAGGTTTGTGGAGGTCATGACGACCAGCGAACGAGAAAGCAGGATTGTGATCTTGTCTGACCTTCTCAGGGCAGTAATCCCCTGGAGCGGGAGTATTGTTCTCCACTTTAGGATCATTCTTTCCTCCAAAGGTGTAAGCAGGAGTATGATCTAATCTAACCTTTTCGGGACAGTAATCCCCAGGAGCAGGAGTATCGCTGGACACCTTCTGGGTGTGCTTCCCAGCCATCGAAAATGCAGGATTGTGATCTTGGCGGACTTTCTCCGGGGAGTAGGCCCCGGGAGCTGGGGTATTTTCGGGCTTCTGCAGATCGTGACGTCCGGCGAAGGAGAAGGCTGGGTTGTGGTCCTGCCTTACCTTTTCCGGGTGGTAGTCCCCGGGGGCTGGTGTCTCGCTTATTTTGTGCAAATCGTGGCGACCGGCGAATGAGAAAGCAGGATTGTGATCGTGCCGGACTTTTTCTGGATGGTAGTCGCCAGGTGCCGGAGTGGAGCTCTCGAGCCGCTGCTCGTTCTTACCGCCGAAGGTGAAGGCGGGCGTGCGATCGTTGCGATACTTTTCCGGGGCATACGAACCGGGCGCTGGGGTCTCGCTCACCGCCTTGATTTCGTGGCGGCCGGAGAGGGTGAAGGCCGGCGTGCTGTCCAGCCGCACCTTCTCGGGCTGGTAGGTGCCCGGGGCGGGGGTGTCGCTGGCCTTGGCGAGCTCCACGCGGTGGCCGAAGCTAAAGGCGGGCGTCTTGCTCAGCACACACTTTTCTGGTTCGTATGCGCCGGGTGCTGAAAGGAGTTAGAATTGGATGGGATTATGTAAGATATGGTGGAGTTTTATGGCAAATATGTGCAAGAAATTTATAGACTTAATGGACTTACCAGGCGTGCAATCTACAACATCATGAGAAGCCTTGCCTGTGATCGAGTACGCGGGTGTGGAGTGTAACTTTGATTTTTCGGGACTGTAAGCACCGGGTGCTACAAAATTGCAAAAAATAAATCCAAAATAATCTAAACTAATTGAACAGGTGTTGCCAAGGACCTTACCTGGGGTGTCGCTGACCTGAATGTGTTTGGTTTTTATGCCAAAACTATAGGCGGGATTGTGTTCGAGGCTAACCTGCTCGGGCTTGTAAGTGCCCGGCGCTAATTAAAAATCAAAATTGTGAAAAGCGTGAAGCAGCTACTTTTAGAAAATAATTCAGGAATTAAAATCCAAACAAACCTGGTGTGTAGTCCGGTCGCAGTTCATGGTGTTTGATGCCAAAACTAAACTCTGGCGTCTTATTGAGCTTCACCTTCTCAGGACAATAGGCGCCAGGAGCTGTGAATGGGATAAATATTAGGATTTAATTGTGGAGATCCGAGTGCCATAAATAAACAAATATGTGAGATATTCTAAGGATACTGTCCAATTGTAATCACTTCAGATTCAAATTCAAATACAGATTACAGAATACAAGTTACTGGGGGGGTGGCGGAGTGATGGGGATTATTACCTGGTGTGCCCTGGTCGTGTTGGATTTTAGTTCGTCTACCAAAAGTGTAGCGTGGCGCATTCTTTTTTGATTGCGTGACCTTTTCAGGGCAATAGCTATTCGGAGCTGTTAGTGTTAATAAAACGTAAAAAATTCGACTCGAATCAAGACAAAAACTAGTATTAAGAGGTCTAAGCTAAGTGAACTACAAGACTAGGGAGTGAGCATGTAAGATATAGATTTAGTTTGGGATAGATCGGGGTAACTTAGTGATGAGGTGGGTTGGAAAGACTTGTTAGAAGAGGTATTATTTGAGAGCGAAATTTAGACACCAAAGACCAAAACAGTTAGTTGGGTTACCTGGATTGTCAACAATGTAGACGTTAACTTTAATGCGAAAGGAATATCGAGGGGCTCGCCGCTTGACGACATCAAGTGGCACCACTTGATAATGATTGGGACCTGATTATCGATTTTGTCATTAAAAAGAGAAGAACGTCACAAATTAAAATCAAATCAAATCAAAGCAAAAAAATACACAAAAACGCAAAACACAAATTACTGAAACATAGAAACACTAATGGAACGTATATACAGCTTGAGTGAGGTGGGCGACTTCTAAAAATCTAACAAAAATAAATACAACGTCAGAAACGCCACCCACATAAAAATTTAACAAATTTAGATGTTAACTATTTAAGGCATAGAAAGTTGAATAAATAAATATTTAAAGAAAACAAATAAATCAATAGACTCTTGTTTAAACCTCAAATATATTGATTACTAAAATCGACAAAAGTGTATCCTATTAATTTTAAAGAACTAAGAGAAATAGAAAGTCTACATCAAGCAGATACAACTACGGAATAGCTACTGAGATACAATTACGAAAGATAAAGATACAAAGATACTGAATGTGGAAAATAGAGAGAGAGAAAGCAGGGGGTAGCAACTTACTTATGGCATGGTATAGGATTAGTTAATGAATACGCTTCTATATACAAGATGGATCCATGATTGATTCACTGATTCTTGATTGATTGATGGCTTGATGATCTCCCGAATCCGCAACAGGCAACAGCCAACATGCAACAGCAACAGCCAACAGCAATAACCACAACAGCAACCCGAAACACACACCAAAATTCAACGCCAAATTCAAAATTTTCAAATCCAAATCCAACTCCAACTCCAAGCCCGAAAACACCATATTTTAGAAAAGAAAGAATTCTGAAACTCACCTGGTATCTGGAAGGACTTGAGGGTCGCGGGTTTCTGGCCAAAGGTATATCTTGGAGGGGCATCCATAGCCGCCTTGGCCGCATGCAGAACATCGTATTCTAAAGATTTTATATATTTTTATATTTTGTATAAATTTTGAACTCAAAGCTTACCGCCTGGTCCTGGATTTTGGAAGCGGGTCAGTTCCTTGGGTCGACTTTGCAGGGTGGCAGCCCTTGGATAGTCCCTTCCCTTGGCCCTCAGACCTGTAACATTGTATTGGGCTGGACCCGGGCCAAAGGTGTCGTATTTGTTACCCAACTTGTGACCAAAGGAATACGAAGGAGCCGCTTTCTTTTTAGAATCGGGCACTTTGCTGCCTAATATTAAATTTAGTTTAGTTAGTTAATAATTTAGTTAGCCAATTAACTTACCAATCAAAGTTGGAAGCGTGACAATAGCCGGTCCAGGATTAGTAGTTTCGGCGGCAATCTTGCCAATACGGACAGTCGGGGTCCAAGGTCGCTGCTCCACAGTCCCGCCCATATTCAGGGATCGTATCTTTCGGGTACGGGCGCAGGGTCCCTGCTCCTTGAACTTTTTCTTCCTGAAACCGACTTGCTAAAATATAAATTAATACATTATTGCATTTAGTAAGTAAAAAGGATAGCCGCACCTTCTTCATTTTGGTATAATTTAAAATTAATTCAAGGTTTTAAAGCCTGTCCTAATAGAAAATGTTTTCAAAAGTTTGTTGATTTGACTGAACCAGCAAAGTTGACTGAAAACTCTAGAAGGGGTTTCTCAAAGAGAGGAATGGGAGGAGAGAAATTAATGGTTCGACCCCTAAAATTTGGGTAACCTAATAATCCAAATTCCGTCCTATTCCACCTCACTGCCAGTCGATGGCACAAAAATCAATCGTCTAGATCTGGGCGCGCCAAGTTTCGAATTTTCTGGGCCAATTCCGTGAGCCGGCTAATAGCCAGGCGTGTGGGAAATCCAATATAAAAAAAATGAAAATAAATTTGGTGGAATGGGGCGTGGCGTGTGGCGGCTGTCACTTTGCAGTGGCTGTTGCTCAGTTGTTAGCTTGTTTTTTTTTTCATTTCTTTAGCAGCCGGGGATTTGTTGGGCCGCGTGAAAGACAAACAATACCAATAACTTTGCGGTAGGCTCAAAAGTACAGGGACGGGGGAAATAGTACAAAAAAGGGGTGAAAATTAGTATACAAAGAAATAGTAAGGGCTTTATGTAGAAACCGATAATTTTACTACAAAATAAATAAGTGTTTGGGTAAAAAAACTATCACAACATCTGAACTCATGTCTTCATGTTCAAGTCTTTAATTGAAACCCATTTCAAAATATTTTCTTAAATTAACTTGACAGCTAATTTAAATTCTTGTTATAGTACATGGCTCCAAATTGATATCGTGTTTACTTAAATTAGCAACTAAACACTTTCGCAAACTAGATTTACAGATTACGTGACTACAAAATAGTTACAATTTTCCACAAATACCTTGCTGGAAAATGCTACTAATTTATTTACCAAAATAACCCAAAACATTCTCAAGACACTACCAATGTCTGTTTAGCATAAAGTTACCAACTATAGAAATGGTTGTCTATAATAAATATTTTTACGATAACCCCCCTCAACAACATTTATATTCCGCCTGATTTCGGCTGCCCTGGGCGACGACCTTCTTTCCATTTTTCACAGCTCGGCACAAGGCCCGGAACGTATGTATGACTTTCGTGCCCATCGTGGGGCGGGAAAACAGACGGTGCCGGCTGGTATCAGGACGAAACAAGACAGGAGCTTTTGGAACAACTTTATATGCATATGGTACACACATGGATCTAATTTGGCGCGTGTAATCGATACGGGGCTGGATTTGGAATTGAAGTGAAGTGGCTGGATTTGGAGTCCCACTAAGTACTAGTGGGTCTGGTCAACAAGGTTGGCCCCCAGGAGAGGCACACAGCAAGTGCTAATGCTGCCCATTTTGTGGGGCATGTAAGCCAACAAAACGATTACTTTTAATGACTTATGGCCGACAATTGCATGACGGACAAGTCAGGCAAAAAACCCAAAACTAAAGTCGAAACAAAAACAAGTCCTGATGGTTGAAAGGAAAGCGGAGCGTGCCACTTCTTTCATGGCCGTGAAAATTTCGCCTGGCTATGTAAATAATTACAACTATGTTGGGTGTAGGCGTGGTCTGGCTGTTAACAGGGCCAATAAAGCCGTCGTGTCGCTCTCCTGCCAACTGCAACACTTGTTACTTGGAGCCGTATACTTGGAGCTCGCCTGCCAGCCAGCCACTTTCCGAAATCCTCCTCAACGACCTCGCATGCAATTCGCAGAACACACTGGGTTCTAGAACCTGGTCTTATATGGCAGCTCTTACATCACCATCTCATGAGCTTGGTGTTGGCCCACGCAGCCATACAACATCTCATTTAGACGTTCAATTGCTGTTCGGGGCCAAGATCAGCCAAGGAAACTGATGAATCAGAGCCAAATGCCGCTGCTTGGCCAACAACAGAAGTCAGACATCTGTCAGACACTAAGTCTTAGCTGATGTCTACCCACGGGTTAGTTACTCATAGTTATAATAATATATATTTGGAGCATTAGACCGTTAGAAAATATATCTCATTAAAAAGAAAATGAATGTTAAAAACTTTATAAAAGTATAAAAATAACTAAAAGTATTAAAACTATGATCTAATCCATTTATATCATTGGTGAAATACTTTTATTTCTCTAAAATAAAAACTCTCCATAATTATATTCGGTTTTTTATTCACTTGAGTGCTCTTTGGAATAAAACGGCCTTTGTAGAGACCGGCTAAGAGGTCGCATTTAATCAAGTTAATAGACCGTTTGCTCATGCAATAAATTTGCATGCAGCGATCAGATTTCAGTAATCAAATTATAGATGGTGATGCTAGATAATCTATGCACGGGGTCGGTGGAAAAACCGGCCTTATAAACGAAACCACCCACATACACACTCTCTCTCCTGTAGATGCTTTTTTGCAATTTAATAAACAAATAAATAAAAGCACTCGGCTCTCCACAGACTTTGCAATATTCAGTGTTATCTTTATGACCTTCAGTGATTTGTTTATTTTGCTTTATTTTTATTTGATTTAAATTGATATTCACACAATTGACCCGAACCCGAGTGTAGAAGCACACGTCAGCCTCAATTTGTGATATCAACTTCAAAAATATAAATAGACATGAAAGCTTCAAGTTTAGTTAGCAACTAGATGCTCTATACTAAGAATTAATTCCACTAAAAATGGCAGAAATAATAAAGATCTTAACAACATACAACTCAATTAACTTTCTTTAAAAAGAAACTATAAACAATGATATACCTTTCCGTCCCACCATATAGGGTATTTAACATCAACAACAATCACTCAAAACCCAATGGTTTTTTATTTTTCACCAAATGGGGAATTAAATGTGAGATCATTCCCAAAATATAGACAATTTCCAGGCCGTCCATCTCAAAGACTTTTACGCCCAAATACGGCGGCTGGCGTTTCCTTTAGCCCACATTGGATCCACATTGTCCGAAAAAGCCAGTTCGGAATTGGGTTTCCAGACAGTTGGTCCGACCCACGCCTCCATGGAGCGAAAACTCCATGACTCCGTCAAATATTATGGCTATATAATTCGTTCGCTGTGCTGTCTCTCTATTAACGATTGACTCGATTTGTTTTTGTTTTTTAATTTTTGTTGGTTGCCTTAAGCACTAAATGTCGGTGTGTATAAGTTTAATTAACAGCCGACAAGTTGAGCAATTCCTTTCCCAAAAACAGCAGGCCACGAAAGCAAGTGAGCAACCGGCAAATGGCCAAAAAGAGTCAGAAAAAGACAAAAACATCCAAATCAGAGCCAAAACAGATGTGAGTTCTACTCTGATAAAAGATACAAAGTCCGAAACTTTAAATCAGTTTTTATAAAAATCTGTTCTATTATCTTTTGCAGAAAATTAGAGATTCCTTAGTTATTCAAAGAATTAGTTAGAAATTTTATAGAAAAACCCTTTATTTTTCTCAGTGCTCTTGACGTCAACGGAGTGAACTAGTTTGCGATCTCCAAATCTAATTAAGTTTGTTCAACATTCTCGATTCTCTGCGCCGAACGTGTTCTGGGCCTCTAAATTAAAACCAAGAGAAAGCTAGCTGGGAAAATACTGTTGGAAAATTGGCAAACCTTTCGCTCTTCGGGCCATTTGGAACCTGGTTTGGTTCTCAGATCACGTCAATAAAAAAACAACAAACTTGTCCAAATGGCTTGTAATAATTACGAGTATTTGTTAGTGAATTTTATGAGACATGTTACTTCCGTTGGCGGCTCAAGTCTGAGATCATTTGCATTTTGAAACACATAAATATACTTCAGTTAGATCATTTTATAAATATTTATTTTGCGGTAGAGCATTTCCCCCCGGGGAGATTTCTTTGGTTATTATATTATTTTTGTGAGTTTAACGCTTTTTTTCTGTTGTGGTGGAGGTGCTTCTCATAATCAGTGACTTTGAAAAATGAGCTTGGTCGTCGCTGGGTCGACCGGTTATTAGAGCTGGGCTGATGTCATGGGCCCGACAGGGGTAACAGGTAATAGGTAATAAAAGTATCAACTCCGCGGAACCTCCGGAAGGGTTACCTCGCTGCCAACAAGTGAGCTGGTGGCTGGTGTCATTGACAAAACAATGGGAGGAGCGCACTGCAGATGGGCGGAACAGCTGACTCCAGGGGGTGGTTGGGAGCTGCTATTCTGTTGGGAACTCTGCCGGAGTTTTCCCGAGACCCAGACCGAGGCCGAGGCCAAAACCGAAACCCACCAGGAAATGCCAATAGTCAGACGGATAGACAGACAACAGTCAATGAACCTTTGGATCGGGTCAGCACGCAATCTCTCTCTAGACTTGGTTAACGCCTACTCCAGTTATATCCTTACCACAAACTAATATTCTATCTGCAGTAACTCCACTGGATTTCGTTGGATTGCTGGATTCTCTATTTATTTTTTTTTTTCACAATAAAAAACTTCACTTTGGCCGGAGGTTGACAGTCCTTGCCAGGATATGTGGCGGTTTTCGGTGAGTTTTCAAAACATCTGTTCACCGAAAAGACACTCGAAGATTTCAAATTGCTGTTTTCGTTGTTGATTCGTGGATGATTTATTATTTCGTTGATTCGATTCGTTGATTGGGTTCAAGTGACAGACAGCTGCTTTGAAGTGTCGGTCTCTCAAGTCTCTTAGAGGTTTCCCGATTTATTTATGGCCAATTGCCTGTCTAGGTTGGTTTCGAACGATTTACACTGAATTTACTTAAGACTGAGCTGAGCTGACAAAACTTGAACCGTACTCGGGGGCTGTTGGACAGAAACTGCGGGCCAAACTCGTAAACACTCGCTTTTCGTTTTGAATTGGCGGCTTTTTGAATGGAAAGCTTTTGCGTTGGAGTCTTAACAGAGACTAGGGGACTTAACATAAGCTAGCTCTGTTAAAGGTTCTTGGAGGAGGTTGGTGGGAAATATTAAGAAATAAAATAAAGATCCTAAATCTATAAGGGTTTTAACTAAAGAATATTTTAAATAGTACATTATTATTAGATATTTTTTAAAAATTAATTCAAATGAAGTACTTTTTTTTATTTATTTTTGATTAAAGACCATATCTTCATAAAAGGTGCCTTGCATCCTTAAGATCCATACTTACCATACCATACTTCCTTCTTTAAAACCTTAAAACCAAACCATTCTTTATATACCATTTCTTATACAATTTCCCATCCATTTATATGCATTTCAATCTGTTTAGATTGAAACAGACTTTTTTTTGGGTCATTTACATTTTAAGAAAGTCATATCTAGGGGAAGGTCGCCAAACATAGACATTGCCCCCAGACTCCTGCCCACAGTTCAATTGTATATCTTAATGGCTCATTGGGTATCGGTAATTCGATTGGGCTTGTGCTCATCGGGGAGGCCTATTTATGGCACTGCTCACAACAAACAATGCCGCTTGACTGTGGTTATGTAATGCGAGATTATTACGATCTTGCCTCCGGCAGATCTATCTCCGCCAGCCCCCTGGCAGCCAACCAATGCGGTGGCATACAGACAACCTTCACCCACACACGTGACTAATGGAGCATGGGCAGCCTCTTTTTTTGCACTATTATTTTGAGTTTTTTTTTTGCATTTGCTCCGCTTTATAATTTAGGCTTTACAATCTAACAAAATATATAGACCCATGCACAATGAATGAAATGAAACACATTATTAAATATGATTTATTTGTTTATTATTTCGCTGTACCCTAAGAGTAGGCTAAGTTAGCAAAATAAAAAAATATAAAAGCTTTAAAATTAGTAATATAAAAAATATAAGAAATTGTTTAAACTCTACTGCATATTTTTAGGAAAATAAAAATTCCACAATTCACTATCGTTGTGATGGCTTTGAGAAACCTCAACGCTCCTGAAAGCAAAGCTGTGATATGAATATAAAAGCTACATGTCACCGCCACTTTAAGGAGTGTCGCAGTTTCCAAAAATCTAGTTCTTTTTCAAAAACCCAAAACTATTTAAAAAACTGCATGGAGTCTGCATATAGTATTTTAGGTTTTGTTTATTAGCAATATCACGTTGATGGATTTGGTTTCGACTTGTTTTCAAGGGAATGGGTTTCATGGCAATAAACGTATAATTCATATGTTTATCGTATATGTTTATGTATATTTTTAAATATATAGTTCTATATGCATAGGCGCAATAAATCAACTAAGCGGCATATTTATGTATTAATAGTGTAATTTGTAGATTGCATATGTTGACCTTAGTCCTTAGATAGTGGCTACAGCAAGGATATTGCGGTTTGGCAGAGAAATCGCGGCTGCACCGCCCAGCAAGAGGAATCATCATAGAATAGACATCTTGGATCGGCTAATACTACATATTTATATATAGAGTCTTACTGGCTACCACACTATACTGTATGCACCACCACACATATAAACGTATACAAACCTAAGCATATTCTCTCATATTTTTTTCGTGTATAGTTCGTATCTCGTATCAAAATGCTGTATCAAAGTTGTAAAAATGCGCTATTGGTGTTACGGCTTCTTGATTTGGTGTTTGATTCGGTTTCCATTGTGATTCAGTTACTATCTTGTATAGTCTGGCTATAAGTCTATGTGAGTTGCTTCTATTTTGGTTCTTTCCTCAATATGCTCTGATCGTGGCTCGAAAATGCATGAAACCGAGTTCTCTGTGCTTGCAGTCTTGGAATTTTCGCAAAAAAAAAAATTCTAACAAAACTTAGTGATAAATGAAATAAAAAATAATTAAATGTTTATCGTACATTTTATTTGATTTTTTGTTTGTTTTTGTTTGTTGTTTTCTCTGTTTTTTAATCTTACATGCAAATGGTAAAATTAATTAAGTAAAACTCTTCATAAAAATAGGGTAAAATATATGCATATCGATGTCGATAAAAAAAACGAAAAAATTCAATTAAAATATAAAGCATATGGTATAAATGTCTCATACGTAATATATATTGTATATTTTAAATCGTACTCGTTTCATACTTTGAGCGTGGGAGAAGTCATCGCAAGATCAAAAAATTAAATACAAATTATAAAGAATCGTCTGCAAGAATTAAACAATAAATCACAAAACTTAGGCTAAGCACGTAAAAATCTAGTCTAAAAATTGTTGGTGTTCTTCAAACATCTAACTTCGGTTCCTTTTAAATCATCCATTATATCCTTTATCAGTTGTGTGCAAACATTTCGCTTTCGACTTGAGGCTTACATCATAATTTTTAATGCTTAATCAGTTTTCTTGTTTGTTTCCATCTTCTCATCCATTTCTTTAGAGATAATCATATACTTTACTTAGCACATTGGCTCTCGCTATTCTCTAATCGCTATTTTATAAAAGCACAAGTATTATATTTTCCATTCGCTTTCGGTATTCGCTTGAAATGTATCAAAAATTGGACTATTAACTACAGTTTACTATACTTTAATCCGATTTCTCTTCTCATATATATATATGTATATATATATCTTTATAATTATATATTTAAATGGTAGTTGCTATAAGTGACTGTCAGTAGTTGCGCTGGGTATCTTCTACCGACTAACAGTTAACGCTTTCATAAACATAATGATATCATTCGTCAGCTCTGGCTCTATCAAATAATCCAAGTATGCGGCTCTGAATCTGGCTGTTGCTTAACTAAATCTTACTCTTTCATATACATTTATGCATAAATCTATATATATATTCATATATATATTATATTCTTTTTGTAATTTTAATGAATAAAGTTCTTCAATGTTTTTAGATGCTTCAGTGCGTGTTGGGAGCTGCTGCTTAGTCTGTTAGCGTCTGGGCCACAAGAGCCAGTTGGTCCATGAGAACGCGGAACGCAGGGCGCTCCTCGGGTCCATGTGACCAGCACAACTTCATGACCTGATTAGTAAACAAAAAATATAATTAATCCGACAATTAAAAGAAAGTATTAATTATTAACTCACATCGTAAATCTCCTTGGCACACGACTTTGGTTTCTCTAGAATAATTCCGCGCTGAACACGCTCTACAACCTCAGTGTTCTTTAGGCGACCGTAGGGCATCTTGCCACAGGTGAAGATCTCCCACATAAGGACACCTGAATCATAAAATAATAATTAATAAACATAAAGTGATAAGAAATTAAGAGAAACTCACCATAAGCCCAGACATCGCTCTTGGAGGAGAAGCGCGTATAGTTGAGGACCTCGGGCGGTGCCCACTTGATGGGGAACTTGGTGCCGCCGGAGCTGGTGTACTGATCGTCGAGGACGTAGCGGGCCAAGCCAAAGTCAGCCACCTTGACCACGTTCTCAGAGCCGACAAGACAGTTGCGGGCAGCCAGATCCCGATGGATGTAATTGTGGCGCTCCAGGTAGGTCATGCCCTTGCTCACCTGTATGCACATGTCCAGCAGCAGACCCATGTTGCCGATGAGGGTCTTCTCGTGCCGGCGCAAGTAGTTCAACAAGGAGCCATGCTTCATGTACTCGGTAACAATGTAAATGGGTCGGTGCTTGGAGCACACGCCATACAGCTGCACAAGATTGGGATGCTGCAGCTTGGTCATCACCTTGGCCTCCTCGATGAAGTCGTCCTCGGACATGGTGCCCTCTTTCATCATCTTGACGGCGGTGTCTATCGATCCGCGCCACTTGCCACGACGCACCACCCCGAACTGCCCCGATCCCAGTTCCTCCATCAGCATCAGCTCCATGGGATGGATCTCCCACTTGTCGTGCGACAGACCAGCCGTTGGTGGCACTGGACGGTCGCAGGGCGAGGACTTCAATCGGCAGGCCAACCCTCCAGAGTTGTGGCGATGGTAGTTGATCAGATCCGGGATAGTTTCGCAGCAGTGCTTCTCGCTCAAATAATACTCGCAGCGGGCATTCTGCTTGATGTGATAGTGCTTAACGTGCGATTGTGGACTGGAGGATAAATATTTCAGATTAATTTTAAAACATTAACTAGAGTAGCTTTGTAACTTACACTTTGGTATGCAGTGAGAGTGTGTAGAGACCCTTGGTCGATGACTTGCGCACCACAAAGCAGCCTTCCTTGTCGCCCTGCTTGAGCAGGGACTCGGCTCTCTGTCGCGACATATCGCCCACATACCATCTAAAAAAGAAACACAATTTTTAATTTAAATTTGAATCCTTTTTTATATTAAAATATGACTTACTCGTAGCGCTCTAGACCCAGCAGTGCTTTTGGCTTGACATAGTTGCTGGGTATATAGCCCACATTGCCCAAGGCATCTTTGACTTTCCACCAATGCTCTTGAGAATCATCAATAACCTCATACTCGGCGTTCTTTAAAAAATTAAATATTTTAAAATTAAAAAAATATAAAGCATTAAATCATTAAAGCACTACTTACTTTCTCCAAAGATAAATCGCCGCCTTCGATGGCCTTGAATGGATAGAGTGCCACCACTAACTTCACAAAATGTGAATTGTCCTTTAAAAATAAATTTAAAAATATTAAAATTTAATAATTTTTATTAGATTAAAAATAACTTCCACCTTTGATTTGGAATTTGGAGTTCCAGGAGTGGGTATACCGCCAGGCATATTGGCATCCAATAGATTTCCGTTGCCGTTCAATAAAGTCGGTGATTGCTTGAAAGTTGTCAGCGAAGACTGTCGAGGAATCGAAAGTTGAATTAGATGCGAGACTTAATTGATTGCAAGATGTCTTTGGTTTGGTGAGAAAAATGACTAACCTGAGGCTGTAGCGATGTGGGCGTGCAATTGCCGCCACCACCTCCTCCGCCGCCTAGGCCAAGGCTGCCGCCGCCACCCACTCCACCGCCCACTCCGCCGCCGAGACTCCCTGAGCTGTTGTGCTGCAGGCTGAATTGGCTGTTGGTAGTGGAGCTGTTTGGGCTGATGCTGCGCGTTGAATTCTGGGCTGGAGAACTGCCGTTGCCTGGAAGAATAAAAAAAATTGGAGGAAATTAGTAAAAATCGAAATCAATCGAATTTCAAGTTTGTTGCCTAAGTCTTTTGTTTTTTTAAGAGAAATCTTTTGAGAAAAATTTAAATTTTAAATTTTAAATAGTTTAAGAATTATTTAATAATTATTAATATAAGAATTAAATCAAGTTTGTTGTCTAAGTCTTTTGTTTTCTTAAAATATAACTGTTTCTAAAATATACAATAAATATAAAATTAAATCTTTAAAAATATTTCAAGCAAGTTCGTTGCCTAAGTCTTTTGTTTTATGAAGAAAACCCTATTTTTGAACAAAATCCACAAACTAATGTTATAAAGACATTAAAAAGTAAAAATAATTCCAAATCACAACTTTAATAATTAAAAAATTTCCTCTAACTAGATAATTATTATTTATATTGTTTTTAAAAATTAATAAACCTTCATACTAACGTTGAAACAAAGATATTTTTAACTTTTTTTGAAGCCCAGGGCTGGCCAATTAATTAGCCATCTACAAATATCGCAAAATCGACTTGAAAATATGTTGGTGGCTTGGTTTTTTGTTTTCCCCCCTCCACAGATATACATTTTGGTGGCCTGCGATTCTTGTCAAGGTAATAATTAATTTGAGGCTGACACTGAACATTGACAAGATTTTCAATGGTTCAAGGCACCACCACCAGCACCAGCTCGGCCACCAGTCGCCCACAATTCGCCAAATAAATCAAAGACATTGCGGGGCATTGGAAAGCTTAGCTTTAATGTGATGAGCGGCAAATGTTGATGGACTTTGCTCGCTCTGCTCGGCTTAAAACGATTTCTGTGTTTGCCAATCGAGTGCCCCCTCCCCTACCCATCCACTCTGTCTGTAATAATAACGTTAGCTCCTAAAGTGAACTCAAAGTGTAACCCCAATTAAAGAAAAAATAAATAAAGATAAATAAATGAAACTTAAATGCCAGTCGAGAGTCGAGAGCAGTCGAATTTCGGCAGTTGAGTGGGCGTCTCTTATGCAATCCCCCTACAGCAACTCTCGGCAAGTGAGTCAACAGGCACACATGCTCATGATACACATTTTATTTGATTTCTTGTGTGTGAATCCACTTGGGTAGTGAAGCCTCTCGGCTCGAGAATCGGTTCGAGAAACAAAAGTGAAGGTTAATCGCGAAGCGAAAGTGACTGCCTACGGGTCTAGCGATTATTTCCCAAGCCGTGAAATATTTGTATATATAGATTGACTTTCAATTGATAAGCCAATTTTCTCAACGCACCCCCTTTATTTTTCCTGCCACATTCTCACCAACAAGCCAGGCCTTGAAAGCAAAACACTAGCTAGTCTACTAGCGACTACAATACCACGGAGCTCATGCCCCAGCATTGATACAAGAGTTTGAAACTAAAATAGAAAGTTTCTCTGCATTTCCCAGCCAAGCTCACTTGCCGGTTGGTTGTTAAAGCCTTGTTCGGCCTTTTGTTTGGCCATTTTCCTACCCATTTTCCATGCAAATGAAAAACGCTTCAGGCTCCTTTCTCCAACCAGACACAGACATATACTTATAATAACAAGAAAATTGCCAGCTTTGATAGGTAGGCAGGTACTTCTTGGCCAAAAAGAGAGTCATAATTTTTTATTAAAACTCATGTCTGATTAATAAGATATACAAATAATCCAGTCCAACCAGTTTAACTTATCATTTATTTGAAAAAAAATTGGAAAATTGCCAAACGGAAGGAAGTGAATTTTTCATGTTTAAGCTGAAAGTCGAAGCTCGCTCATAAATGGAAAAAGTTGCTCTTTTTTTTTTGCGTTGGCCTGCCACATCAACAGGTGCCTTGCATTTCCAAGCCCACTTGCAACATTTTGTCATTACCGCCAGTACCACAGTACGAGTATTTAAAGCTAATTGTGTAATTGTGTTGCTTTGTCTGCAATGCTCCGCTTTCCTCCTCACTTTGGCATACAATTTGTTATGCAAATTGCGATTCTTGTTATTGCAGCTGGCTTGGCTCAGACCTCGAGTGTATAGCGTTTTGTGAAAACTACAAAGAACTGCCAAGACTTTCAAACACGTGTTGGCTGCTTTGTTCTTTGCAGGTGAAACTAATCAAAATGCTTGCACGATGACTCAAGATCTAAACAAGATCAAGGGCTAGTAGGCATTAGTCATTATACTATAAGTATCTCAAGTCTAAGAGTATCTTAAGTATCTCAAGACTAAGAGTATCTAAGCCCTCTTTCCAATCTTACCCAGCTTCAGTGCCGATAGAAGCATCATAGTTGCTTCAGCTTGGATGGTTTGTGAAGACTCTCCAGACTTCACTCCGATATCTGGCAGTAATTGTGTCAATTCACTTTCACATAAATCGCTTGTTTAATTTTTTTTTTATATTTTTTATTTGCAATTCTTTGAACTACAGTTTCAGGTTGTTGGGAAAACTGGTTTTTGCGGTTGCTTCCTTTTGCAATTTGCAGTTTGCTTGTTGTTGTTATAGCTATTGTTGTTGTTGTGTCTATTGTTGTTGTTGCTGCTTGCTGTTGACCTTTAAGCGTTCCCCATTCAGAGATGCTGAGCGGCTTTTACCGTTAAAGCGGCCCTCAACAACAAAAATAATACAACTCTGAGCTTCCTGTCCTCAAGATTTTATTTAAAGTTTTTATTTTTAATATTTTTTTTCTTAATTAAAGTTTATTTTTTTATTGTTTATGCTCTGTCTTCTTCTTCTTGGCTTTCACGCAATGGCAGACGACGCCATTTTGAAAACACCGTTTTCCAGAGACAAGCCACAAACTATAATGTTTCGATTTTCTTTTCGATCTTTTTTTAAATTACTTATAATATTTGATTTGGATTTTATTTAAAAAAAACCACAACAATTATAGTTGTTATATATATTTTTTATTAACATTTCTTATATTTTAAAGATGGAATTTCGAGCGCGACGCGAACTGTTTCATTTAATGTTTAAAAGCCAACTGACTGAAATGGCAACTGATTTTTTGTTTTCCAAGCTAGCTGGCACAACGGAGGCCATAAACATAAAGTAAAACTTAATTGTAGCACGCTGGTAGAGAGTGGAGAGTGGAGAGGCCCCGGCGGAGAGAATGGAGAGCAGCAAGTAGCAGACTCAACAAAGCAGAAGCCGCCAAGCGAAACGACTTCGACTTGGGAAATACAAGCAAGCCAATACATTGAAAAAAATTACAAAAAAATATATATTTATTTGATATTTAAAGTTAAAATAAAATTCTTGAAAAGCTCTCTAATATTTCTCTCAGTGCCTCTTTTATAAGCAAACTTATAGAGTCGAGAGCCAAGACTCTTCGTCTTTAATTTGAAAACTGTGAAGCTGCAACTATGTTGATTTTTTATTTATTTTTCTTTTTAAATTTCCAACTGTAGAGTTCCATAATGGCCAATGCAACAACGGCAAGCAAAATAAAACCATTACAACAATTACATCAATGAAACAAAACTTTTGAACTTTTCGAGTACAAAGTTTTTGGAGAACAAAAAAGCACAAAAAAACAACAGCAGACTTGTATAATGGCAAAGTGTGTGGAAAAAGCAAAAGAAACCAAAAAATAATATATGTAAAGTTTCCAAGAGGAAGATGAAGCAACAGGCAAGAAAATCTACAAAAAAAAAAAAAAAAAAAAAAGAGTCAGAGAGGCATTGTCTGCACACCTTGGCAGGTGAGTTAATAAACGAGAGAGTGTGTGTATATGTGTGTGTTTGGGAGCTCAAGCCGGTAGCTAATAAATAAAAAATGGTAGCTGTTGACAACAAATGTTGCCAAGACTCTTTAGCAACATGTTGCTAGGAAAGCCTAAAAGTAGGCAGCAGTTTCTGTTTAAAGACTTTTCTCTAAGATGCACTTTTTTCTTTAAAAAAAAACCTCACTTAACATGAAAGAAAAACATGATAATTATGCTAAAAAGGTAAGACAGCTGGCACAAGTCTAAGCCCAAGACAGACCCCGTTCAGAGACCATTTAGCGCCTTTAACAAATGGGTTTAGACAAGCCATGGAGGAGGTGTCGCCTTCCGGTTTACATTTTTATTGTATTATTTAATTTTAAATAAATTATGTATAAACTTTCTATTTGTTAAACTGCAATTAACCACTAACCTTCCTCTTGCAAAAAAAAATTAAGGTTAAATGCTTACATCCGAGGCTCATAAAAAAAGCGTGTGAAAAATAGCCAACTAATTGGCAAGTTGCATGTGGCAAAGAAAACAAATAATTACACGCAGATTGTTTGAAAAATTGTGCAGTCAGCGGCGGCGACACCAACCAGACAACAAACAATAACAAAAAAAAAACACAGAAAAATAAATAAAAAAAAAAAACAAAACACAGTAATAATAATCAAACAGGAAACGGCAAAAGACAACAAATTGTAATTGTTGCTGCGTCTCTGGCTCTGTTTTGACTTTTGTTATTGTTGTTGTTGTTGTTATGCAAATGTGGGTTAATAACATTTGAACGCATGCGCTATGAATGCGAAAACATTGCCGCAACTTGGCTACCAAAATCACTCTCTGGAATTCTAATCAATTTCGCAAAGTTGTGCAATTTTCAGAGACTTTGCTTCTAAGTCGAATTGAAATGTTAAGCGCGATTATCTCAGTGGCAGATAGTAGGTGTCTGCTTTCCCCTCTCCCATCCACTTACACACTTTACACGACTTGATTAATTGCCTGAATGAACGGTAATTTGCTTAGCCAATTTATGGCCAGGAATGCAGCGAATTAAGTATTCGATTCTGTCTAGTAGTCTGGCAGGCAGGGTGGCATTCAATTAATGACAGACGGAAGTGGCTGATGATTTAATAAGGTTATTAGCCAAGACCAGGGAGACTAGGAAGACTAGGGAGGATTACATTAGAAAACTTGCATAAGATTAATATATCTGTGATTACAGCTTATATACAACGATACATCGGCTACAGCCAAAATTACCGTTGATCCTTTTCTTGGGGATGGACCAT